CCCGAAGAAACTCAAAGATCTTTTGCCTCCTCTGCGCATCATAAGAAGGTCCCACCATCATTCTTTTTCGTTTCCCACTACTTTAAATAATAATTATGCCATGAATATCTTCGCGCACACATTCAACTTTGTGACCACCATTATGTTTTGTTTCAATCCTTTTTTTGCCAACTTGCACGAATTCTCGGCTGCGACGTTGATTTAATCAGCAGCAGGGGAGTCGAATTCTATTGGCTACTGTATTTTGTGTGATCCATGAAACCGTTCTGTTCTAACCCATATACATGACACGAGTATAAACCATGAAAAATCCACCTACCTACATGTTTAAAACATACGAGTAGTCTCTTTGTTAATTGGTAATAAATGGGTTGTCATAGTGTTAGAGATTTTAATACAATTACCTTCGATATGATACAAATCCAGCATAACATATAACTTGACTTTTACCCTATTTTTTCAATCATAATTGATAGGGTCTCGGAAATTACAGCCTAAGCCCAACTCAAGGGAGGTTATTGAGTCTGGTGTGTGAGTTGGTTTGGAAAGTTAGATTATCTATTAAAAGAGAAAACACAGAAGGTAAGTGGTTCGCCTTAGCTGATAGACCAAGGTTACGTCCACTGTAATGCAGTCTCTTGCTCCTTGATGTTGTATATTGAACCTCCGATGTATATAGTCGGGATATAGGCGCTGGGTCTTTACAGGGATTGGTGTTTTGCTTACAGAATATACAAGGTTGAGAAATGTTCTTTGGAAGCCTCATTTTCCTGTAGGGCACTGTTATACTTTCTTGACAGTTTCTTCTACTTTTTTATTGATTTTGTGGAGACCTCCTGTCTTTGTTCTACAAAAGCCTTTTTTAGTCGGCGCCACTGTGCTCACTATCTCTGGGGCGTTATGCTCCACCGTCTTCTGTGTGTGAGAGGGTGTAGCTATCACAGGTTTCAGAGATAATCTCCTTATCCTCTGGACGTGTGGCACGATGAGATGACTCCGAGGCAAAGATCAAATTCCTCCTTCTTGGATTGTCCTCTAGCTAGCACATAATTGGGTCGGGGTTGAACCACTACCCCTCGGGTGCCCATTGGGCCTTGCCCTTTTAGCTCTTTGTCATGAGTTAATCAAGGACGCTTTTTTTTTTGGACCAATGAGTTATGCCTTCAGTTCCTCGTGGTGTTTTGGGCTTCGGACTCATGGCGGGCTNACAAGGTCATTTTAAGAAAGTGTTGAATCTGATCTCACCGCCTATGTATACCATTGTGCAAATCAATTGTGATTCAACGGTTGCTTAAAGGGTTCTTTTATTTTATATTTTCTGCTTTTTTTGTTTTGTTTTTGATAGGGGATAATTGCCTATAGGAATGTCAAGAAAAAAAAAGTAATTTTAATTGTACTGAAAATGTAAAAGGCCTTGTCTACTACTTCTTTATCTTCTGTATATATTATTTTATAACCTGTTTGTTGCTATTGTCTTTTTTTAATAGAACACTTGATAAAGATGGACAAGCATATATAATTATTCTTTAAATAAACTAAATGACTTGAATGTCTTATTAGGTTACTGTGTTCCAATTTGAGAACAAATCTTTACCAACTATGAGATAAAACCCTTCTCTGAGGTTGTGGTGAAACATTCACTCCATTATAATTAGCAGGTTTTCTTCTAGCAGAAACCCATATTTGACTATTGACCATGTTAGAGTGTACAGCTCAGAATTATTCTTTTTTCATTTCTTGATCTAGTATTATATAACATCTGGTGATTAATTGCTGACTATAAAAAAGTCAGCATCTCAGGAATGCCTTTCTAGAAGTTCAAAGCACCTTGATCAAGCCATTAATGGTACTTATTCTTTGATATCAGTAATTCTTTATTTAATTCATGAATAAACACAGAGAGAGAGAGAGAGAGAGAGAGAGAGAGAGAGAGAGAGAGAAGAGGTTTGGGTGGAGAACTGGTAGGTCAAGGTTGACTGCATCTTATACTCTATTGTTCATTGTTTGCCTTTTCTCCGTTTGGTAGGAATGAGAAGGGGTAGGTCACGCCAGACTATATATTTACTTTTATATGAATTGGTGGATGTATGAACCTTTACCTTACCCTATTTTTATTTATCAGGAGCCAGTTTGGCCATTGATAATGTCATTTTTCTTTTGATGGTTGAGGCACTTATCATTAAGCCAATAACATAGTATTTGGACTTCTTATTTTTGTCTATATATGATTCTGAGGTAGCTCTATGGATAAATTGGTTTAAGGCGGTGCTTCTTGCCTCATTGACCTTATTTTTGTTAGTTTGTTGGAATTATACGTGTAGCGCAAGTTATTCTGTTTTATTCAAAGTGTTTTTGTTATTTGCTTTGCAAATGCTTGGAAATGTATATTCCAATTTTACACATTTGTGAATTATCTATTTTCCTTTTGTTCAACAATTTCTTTAGAAAATTTTAGAGCTATAAGCTAAGAAGTTCTGTTTTGGGACAGAGATGATGGCCTTCGAACAAAACTTCCAAGAATCATTGCTGCAGTTTGAATCTGTAGAAGATCTTTCTCTTAAGAAATCAGATTCTGCTCAAACAACAGCATCTGACAACATGAATGGATGTTTTGATTGCAACATTTGTTTAGACTCAGCACATGACCCTGTGGTCACCCTCTGTGGTCACCTTTACTGCTGGCCTTGCATGTACAAATGGCTACATGTCCAAAGCTCCTCCCCTGAATCTGAAGAGCAGCCAAATTGCCCTGTCTGTAAAGCTAACATCTCCCCCTCCTCATTGGTCCCCCTGTATGGGCGGGGTACATCCTCATCTGAATCTGAAGCCAAAAGGCCCCAACTGGATCTGGTCATCCCCCGTAGACCGCCAGCTGTTGGGGTGAACACATCGCTAACTGCTGCAACATCAATGGCTCCCCATCCAATTCAACAACTTCCCAATCCTTTTCGGCCACAGCCGCAGGCATTTTATCAGCAGCAATACTTCCCTCACCCTTTTGGCAATTATGCTCCTATGTCATCATCTAACTTTGGGAGCACTGCGATGACTAGTTTATTCAGTCCAACCGTTGGGATGGTTGGAGAGATGGTCTTTGCAAGGATGTTTGGGAGCTCAGACACCAGTTTATTTGCTCATCCTCACTTGAATTCTTACCCTCTCATCAGAAGTGGCAGCCCTAGGCTGAGAAGGCAGGAAATGCAGGTGGACAAGTCTCTTAACAGACTATCCATCTTTTTTCTCTGTTGCTTTGTTTTGTGCCTTCTCTTGTTTTGAGAGTTTCGTACCTCCTCGAATAATTGTGCACATCTACAATGCTGAATTTATTCAGCAAGAGAGAGATCATAGATCAGATAAATGCACAGCTTTTTAGAGGGTTTGCAGAGAAACTCTCTTTGAGATAATTTTTTTCTCCTGTACATTCACCTTGAACAAATGTGGCATTGGTCCTCTTTCATTTGCTGTTTTGGTGAGCGAACCATTACCCGGTAATATATGGCCTGTGAAGTCAAGCTCAATGTACTAGAACGAGGCTGTTCTTATAGCCATGATTTAAAGGTAATTCATTTAGTTTGGTGGTATTTTATATTGGATTATATTTTCTATTTGTTTATGCACTTTCTGCACTGCCCTCTTCATTTTTCCCCTTGGATTACACTTTGTAGTGGGTGAGGATCCTTTGCGGTTGAATAAAACGTTGTCATTTCGACATTGTTTTGTTAAATAGAACTATGTCATTTTGTTCAATCACACCTCTATAGTGAAAAATTATCTGCAAAGAAGCCGGACTCCACTTGTAATTTAGTATATGAGGATTATTCTTCTGGAAAATCACACGTATAACGATCCTATATCCATATCTTCATGCGACTACGAACCTTGTTCCTTCGGTGTCTCTTTTTCTTATTTGTGTCACTCCTTGGTGCAAACCTACCGCAGGCCCTAGGGGGAAGTTAAATTGCGAAAGGGAATTCTTGAATTTTTAAGATCAGAGGGTCTAGAACAACATGTTCGGTTGATCTCAAATAGCAAACCGAATCGAGGTCGGTGAAAAAATATAAGATAAGCAACATATCTTTCTTGTTTGAAATCTGCACTCCCTTTCTCCTTCTAATTGGAGTTTTCTTTGCTTTGTCGTTGTCCTGCCCTGTTTCCCTCTCCTTTGCATTTCATTTCCTACTCTTTTTTTCCCCTTCTTTGCTAGTAAAGAATTATGGATTCCCATTTCACCCTCTTTTTGTTGTCTAGAGTCCATAATAATTGCAATCGAGTCAATTCAATTCAGAGGACATGAGCATTTCGAAATAAGACTTCAATGTTGAAAAAGGGTACGAGATGAATGACCTATATTTCATCTCCTCAAATCATTTAACTATTGTATTGTCTCGAGTAAGTTAACCATAGTGTTGCGTTTGTGTATATATATATAAAATAAAGTAGTTTAGAATTCAAATTTTAAAAATAAATAAAATAATTTTTATTTTTTGCGGTTAAGATCGCTTTGAATTTTATTTTAAAGTTAATCTAACGGCTAATATTAATACCTTAAATTTAATAGAAAAAATAGGATCATAAGAGTGTGTTTGAAATGATTATTTAAAAGTACTTTTATGAATTATGTCTTATAAGTACTTTAAATAAAAGTAGTGTTTGAAATCGCTCCACCANTTACATACTTATTTATTATCTTTTTATTAGATAAATACATTATTTGATAATGATAGCGTAATATCACCGTCATATACAATATTTTTTCCAAAATTAGACCCTTTACTCATTCCTTTTTTTTATTTTTTGGGTGGTGCATAATTGGACCTTTTACTCATCCTAGCGAAGAAAATCCAACGCCTTTCGGCATACGGACATGGCTTTAGGAGGCCACCGGTACCATGCCCACATGAACTGTGGGCATGTGGCAGAGGTTCACGTACCTCTTTTGGTTTTTTTTCTGAAATATAGGCAATCATTGGGTATCTAGAAAAGAGTAATACTACCCGGGTTTTGTTTTTTTTAGGTTCAATTTGATAGGATGCAACTCGAACGGACGAATTTAAATTTAACTCGAGTCTAGCTCGAAAAAAATAGAATTTTGGTTAAAATTTTTAATATTTGAGTTAGACCAAAACAAAAAAATTTCAATCTTAATTGAATTAGGGCAAGTTTCGGGTTGAACCCAAATATACATAAATATATAAATAAATTTAACTATGGTTAGTATTTATCTTCACTCTTTAGAATCCAAATTTTCACTTCACTTCTACGCCTTCATCACTCTCAAATCCCTTTTCTCACTCGTCACGCATCTGGTTTCAAGCTCTCAACCTCTCTTTCTCACTTGTCACTCCTCCCTCTTTTATCAACCTAAATTAAATAATCCGANGGAGATCCTTTTCGGTGCTTTATGTCCTATTTGATTATGGCAGTTTGATTTGTATATGGACTTATGGAGCTCAAGCTACCATCCAATGATAGATCTAAGTTGTGGATGGAGAGAGTTCCCTCAAAGGTTTGCAAAAATTCCATTTATTACATTATTATTACATATTTATATTCTCATCTTAAATATATTCGTCCTCCTGAGAGTGCATTCCTACAAAAATTAGTGTCATTGTAACTAATTCATAGGGTGTTAATCGAACCATATTGTATTTTTGTATATTCATTAACTGAAACTAAGATTTTTTTTTTTTTCCTTCAACCAAATCCATCTTTTGTTCTCTCTCTCTCACCCACGGCCACATTCTTTTGCTTCCCTCCCGAAGAAACTCAAAGATCTTTTGCCTCCTCTGCGCATCATAAGAAGGTCCCACCATCNCTTCAAGCAAATCCATCTTTTGTTCTCTCTCTCTCACCCACCGCCACATTCTTTTGCTTCCCCCCCGAAGAAACTCAAAGATCTTTTGCCTCCTCTGCGCATCATAAGAAGGTCCCACCATCATTCTTTTTCGTTTCCCACTACTTTAAATAATAATTATGCCATGAATATCTTCGCGCACACATTCAACTTTGTGACCACCATTATGTTTTGTTTCAATCCTTTTTTTGCCAACTTGCACGAATTCTCGGCTGCGACGTTGATTTAATCAGCAGCAGGGGAGTCGAATTCTATTGGCTACTGTATTTTGTGTGATCCATGAAACCGTTCTGTTCTAACCCATATACATGACACGAGTATAAACCATGAAAAATCCACCTACCTACATGTTTAAAACATACGAGTAGTCTCTTTGTTAATTGGTAATAAATGGGTTGTCATAGTGTTAGAGATTTTAATACAATTACCTTCGATATGATACAAATCCAGCATAACATATAACTTGACTTTTACCCTATTCTTTCAATCATAATTGATAGGGTCTCGAAAATTACAGCCTAAGCCCAACTTAAGGGAGGTTATTGAGTCTGGTGTGTGAGTTGGTTTGGAAAGTTAGATTATCTATTAAAAGAGAAAACACAGAAGGTAAGTGGTTCGTCTTGGCTGATAGACCAAGGTTACGTCCACTGTAATGCAGTCTCTTGCTCTTTGATGTTATATATTGAACCTCCGATGTATATAGCCGGGATATAGGCGTTGGGTCTTTACAGGGATTGGTGTTTTGCTTACAGAGTATACAAGGTTGAGAAATGTTCTTTGGGAGCCTCATTTTCCTGTAGGGCACTGTTCTATATATATATATAGGTCGTCTCTCTTATGGTTCTTGGCAGTTTCTTCTACTTTTTTATTGATTCTGTGGAGACCTCCTGTCTTTGTTCTGCAAAAACCTTTTTTAGTCGGCGCCACTGTGCTCACTATCTCTGGGGCGTTATGCTCCACCGTCTTCTGTGTGTGAGAGGGTGTAGCTATCACAGGTTTCAGAGATAATCTCCTTATCCTCTGGACGTGTGGCACGATGAGATGACTCCGAGGCAAAGATCAAATTCCTCCTTCTTGGATTGTCCTCTAGCTAGCACATAATTGGGTCGGGGTTGAACCACTACCCCTCGGGTGCCCATTGGGCCTTGCCCTTTTAGCTCTTTGTCATGAGTTAATCAAGGACGCTTTTTTTTTTGGACCAATGAGTTATGCCTTCAGTTCCTCGTGGTGTTTTGGGCTTCGGACTCATGGCGGGCCATGTCCAAAATTTTACCCTTATCGATAACTATTGTCTAGGAAAGGTTTACGGTAACGAAAAAATTGTCGGTTGTAATTTTTATGATAAATTTACACCTTTAAAAAGATAAAATTGTTCAAGGAAAAATCATCATCGATCAAAGGCACTCAAGATTGACTATGTTCTTTCGGTGTCGATCTCAACCCTCCATAATCAATCATCCCTTTTAAAAATGATAACGTGGAATTTTTGGTTCATTATATATGTTAACGTAGAACTGTGAATTCATTTGTCATCGGCCTAAGTATTCGAAACTTCCTCCGTTGTACCATTTGTCAATTCTATATAACAGATGGAGAATCACCGCCAAGTACTTAAAAAAACAGATAGCACCGAGTATCACATGCTCTTGCATTCTACTTGTCCCCCCAAACTACCTCACAACCGTACACACTATACAGTACTTCTTTACCTTAATGGACGTGAAAGAACGAGTTTTTTTTTTTTTATAAAACTGTTTGGATTAATATTTATAATCACCGACAACCGCGTAACAGAAAGATTGTGCAGTCTTTAAATAGGGCACTCCCTCCCTAGCTCCATGAACTTCAGGAAACAAAGAGCTTCTTTTAGCAGTTTTATATAAAATGTCGAGTATGTTTAATTCTTTCTTTTTTTGGCCGTTTTTCTTGTTCATGGCTATGGTTTTTGAGGGGGTTCACTGTCAATGGCTGAATAGTCATGCAACTTTCTATGGAGCCAACCAGAACCCCAGCACCCTTGGTAAGATACATTCGGATCTAAATTAATTACTGCTAATAGAGATGATGCCTAAGGTGGGGTGATTGTAGGCATTGGTGCAACGGTAAAGATGTTCAACAGTGTAACATGGGTTTCATAGGCTTGAGTCATCAAAATTATCTCTCTATATGTTGAGGAAAAAAAAGTTATACATGTTGAATCCTCTCGAGATATAACAGTTAATAGGAGTTTTATGCACCGGACTCACATGCATGAGGTGGAATAAGTTTCGCTAAAATATCAATATGAATTTACAAAGGGTGTGATTTTTTGTGTGTCAATGTGTGTTAAAACAGTGGCTCAGTGTACGATGCTCTTATCACTACAGTGTTTGGGGAGAATCATGAATTTAGTGTCACATCTTATGTAAAAAGATTGCTATTGAGGCTCGAAGGCACTAAGGTCAGAATGGAACATATTTAACCTAGTTCAAAGCAACCGTTTCTTATGTGTCAACATGTGTATGCTTTGTATGTGTGTGTGTGTGTGAGAGAGAGAGAGAGAAGGGGGGGGGGGGCTATAAACATAAGCTAGCCGTGTTTAATGAAAAAGACTTAAAAAACCTATTATTTTCTTCAAAGCTAAAATTTTTGTAATTCTTACCTTTTGCATAGTAACATTCTTTGTGTTTCTCAGGAGGAGCATGTGGTTATGACAACACCTTCCATGCTGGTTTTGGGGTGAACACAGCAGCTGTAAGTGGTGCACTCTTTAGAGGTGGTGAAGCATGTGGGGCTTGCTACCAAGTAATGTGCAACTATAGGCTTGATCCAAAGTGGTGTCTCCGAGGAGCGGTAGTCACCGTCACCGCCACCAACTTCTGCCCTCCGAACAACCACGGAGGGTGGTGTGATCCGCCTCGCCAGCACTTCGACATGTCAATGCCATCTTTCCTCCGCATTGCTCGACAAGGCAACGAGGGCATAGTCCCTGTACTTTATACAAGGTAAAACAACATAAGGGCGAGAAATATACAAAAACAAAGTCTATTCCTCTCATACAATTAACATTGTCTCCACAATGTAAGAAGTTATTAACTTGAGATCTCAAGTACGATTATGACAAAAGAGTCCAATTTATATCATGTGTGTGATAAAAGAACGAATCTACGTACCCGAAATTCACATTGTAAATTTAGTTTAAAGGGCATCGCGGTAATACAATTCTCAATTGTCAAATATAAGGTTTAGCATAAGAAAAATTATTACAAAACCCGTAAGGATTGATTCAGGGATCACTCAAGATACTAGGGATAACCCTGTTCGTTTTGAGTTTGATTTCATCTCGGTTATTGGTTACATAGAATATGAGTTTAATTAATTGATGTATATAATTTATAGGTGATTGCATGCAGCCTATACAGTGAATGATTTGGACAACTCCTCCATAATTTTACTCCACATAAAAGTTCAAAAACAAGAAGATTAATCAAGTGGGGGGATCATATAAACTATGTCATAATGATTAAATTTTACATTCTTTGGACATTCAGGGTGTCATGCAAAAGGAGAGGGGGTGTTCGGTTCACCTTGAGGGGACAATCAAACTTCAACATGGTGATGATCTCTAACGTTGGAGGGAGTGGTGACATTAGGGCTACATGGATCAGGGGCTCCAAAACAACAACATGGTTGCCTATGCACAGGAACTGGGGTGCAAATTGGCAGACCAGCGTCGACGTTCGGAGCCAAACACTGTCTTTCAAGCTCATATTGGTTGATGGGAATACACTTGAATTCTTCAATGTTATTCCTTCTTCCTGGAGATTTGGACAGACTTTCACTTCTCAGAATCAGTTTGCATAGCAACATATGGGTTGAGTATGTGTGTGTCTATACACACACTCAAGCGAGACACACGCGCACGCACTAATATGCAGGTCTATGAACAAGCATTTTTTGATGGTTCAAGGACATAAAATGTGTTTGTATTTAGAGAGATGATACATTTTTTTTTTTGGGGGGTGGGGTGGGGTGTCACAGTATGATTTTGATTATTTACACAAGTTGTACTGCTTGTGATTCATATATGTATGGCTCTGAAAATTGAGAGCAATGATGTATTTGTAAGTTGATTCAACAATATGAATAAATATATAAGCAATTAATGATCATATTAGTATTGCTTATAGTATGACTTCTCTTCTAATAAAAGAACTTTTCAAGCTTAAGACTGCTTCGAGTCGGGACTTTTGGCTTAACTGTAACATAAGAGGCTACTAAAGAATAAGTATCAGGATAGGGGCTAATATTAACCAATAAATAAGTTGATGATTGTTGCATTATGCCCAGAAATATTTGCAACAATTTCTTACATCTAAATCAATGACACCTAACCCCGATAGATTCGTTTAAATGATAACAAAGACGAATTGTAAATTTACATGCTTACATGCCTTGAGTTTGAATATTGACAACTCTTTAAAATCAGATCATCAGGGATTTATACCTTATGAATATCCTAGTCCCAACGTAAATTTAATCAAATCAAAGAAAAAATTAATCGAAATATATATAAACTAATTCGAACATCCTTAAACTTCGGACCAAAAAAAAAAAAAAAAAATTAAGGACAGCTGAATGACCACTGTGTATTATGTATATGGGAAGTACACCCCCGATAATGAATGAAGCATGGTTGGTTGGGCCCATTCTCAATTTGGGTTTATTATTATGGGCCAAACTTCAGCCCATCGAGTTTGGAAATTACATTCAATCATTCATTGCCAAACAAAGGCCCAACAATGGGCCCATAATCATTACCCAATCCAATAAAAAGTAAAAAAAAGAAGAGAAAAAACGAGGATAAATATTATAGTTGGTCTTTAAACTTTGAACTTTTAATTTAATTTTTAAAATATTAATTTTATCAAAATTAAATCCTTCCGTTCATTTTCAAGATTAAAATTAATATTGGCAGTAATAATTAAAAATTAAAGAATCAAATTGAATAAAGGTAAAATTTAAAATTTAATTATGATATTTATCCAAAAAATAATTAAATCATCTTCCATTTAAAAAATATTGTCTTATCGAATAATTCAAATAGTATTATAAATTTGAATTATAAATTTAGCCGTCTGAGGTTTAAACGTCTAAAAATAAAAATGAAGAAATTGCCTTGCCAATATAACTTCCATTCCTCGACAGCTCCAAAACCTTAAACCCTGCTCAATCTCAAAAACCACACCCAAATTCGTCGAAACCAGTTCATCTTCATCTTTAGTATTACACTCCCAAACAGTCAAACACAATCTCTGGCATCTTCAACCATGTATAGTATCTTAGGCAAATCAAATACAAACCCTAAGAAACTCTTGGAAAATAGCTTCTTCTTCTTCTTCATCAGAAGTAGAACCCACTATACAAGCTACTCGAAGAACAACCTTTTTTCCAGAATCAGCACTCTCAGGAACCCTGATATCAGCATTATACCGGTCCTTGATCAATGGGTGGAAGAGGGCAACAAAGTCGGACAAGCCGAGTTTCAACGCATCATTCGTGAACTCCGTGGCCGCAAGCTATACTCTCACGCCCTCCAGGTCCGATTCTTAGTCTCTTTTGTTTGGTTGTAGAGAAAATAAAATGTTTGGAAAAGTAAATCAAGTTAAATGTTGAATGTTAAGCGTTTCATGTTCCTACTGGGAAAAACAATGAAAAGCCCCATTAGATTTTGCCTAATGCTAACATACACGAGCTGTAAACCCGTGTCTTGAGTTCAAATCTTTGGTTACCCCATTAGTAGAGGTGCACGTAAGTTGGCAGTTGAACCAAAAATATATTTATATTCTCAGCCCTGAGAGTTTTTTTTTAGTCACTATTCATACTGGGGAGGGGGACTTGGTGAGAATCGCACCTTGCACCAAGAGGCAAGGCGGAAAAGACACTAACCACTAGGTCATTCCTCTTTGCTCCTGAGAGTTGAAACCTTGTATTTTGATCAATGTTGAGGAGATGAGTCTGAACGTGATAAAGATATGATGAACTAATGCCCAAATTTGATGTCCCTTGACTTGTTCTAGAGAGGGTTTAATCCATCACTCATTTATTCTCCAACCGTGACTTCTTTCTCAGATGCAATGAGCGAATGGGCCTGTAGTTTTATTACCCTTTCAATCACGTGATGAAAGGTGATGTTTTGAAGAATTGAGCTGATGAGAATAATCTTGTATGCAAGATATGCAAGTTCTTAGTAAGATTTGCTAGTAAACTACCAGAGGAAAATTCATTATCTGCTGCAAAACAGTTTCACTTGGGAGTGTTCCAAACTAGACAGGAAAAAACCAATTAGATTTTCAATTCTTGAGTGTAGTCAATATGGCATTCAGAAACTAAGAGTACTGTCACTTAGTTGGGGACCTGAAACAGAGTCTGGGGTCTCTTATATTATATAAAGCAGTGTTGTGGTTCTCCTTCGCCACCTTTTACCAGTACCATACATGTATAGTTTCCAGCAAGATTGAGTACCGAATTGCTTTGAAGTGGGATTTATGTGGGGCCATCTGCTATTTGGTTCATCAAGTCTAATGAGGGAATGAATTAACTTCTTCCAAAGTAGAAGCAAGGCCCAACATTTCCAATTATAAATCAAGTTTTAGTGTTGCTGTATTGGCCATCGACCCAAAGACCACTAGGACAAGTTGGTCACTACCTCACGGAATAGTATTGGGAAATGGATGGTATCAAGAAATGATTGATAGAAGAAGAAATTGGACATGACACGAGCTTTAGTCTATATCACAGTGTCATGGAATGATTTTGGGCGATACATTGGGATTTGTCTGATTCTCTGAACCATGATACAAATGACGTCCTTGGTTTGATTGCTAATGTAATGATTATGTCAATTACTCATGAATATCTTAATCATTTCTATATATCTTTGAAAATTATTGCTATGTTCATTCTTGTTTAGTTTTGACCTTATACTGGTTCATTCTCTCCCATTTCCCTTATTCTTAAAATCTGACATGTCGTCATGCTTCTTACTTTGTGTCCAGATTCAGTAACAGTGATTGTAAATTGCCTTGTTTCTAAATCTTCTGCTGCTGGATGCTTGTTGGAGCAGATTTCTGAGTGGATGAGTAGCAAAGGTCTCTTGCCATTTTCATCTGGCGATCGTGCTGTGCGGTTGGATCTGATTGGCATGGTACAAGGGCTGGATGCTGCAGAGAGCTACTTTAGTAAATTGAGTGACCAAGAAAAAAATGAGAAGACCTATGGTGCTCTCTTAAACTGTTATGTCAGAGAACGCCTCATTGATAAGTCCCTTTCCCATGTGCAGAAGATGAAGGAGATTGGTTTTGCTTCCTCTTCTCTTGTATACAATAATCTTATGTGCCTTTATGTTCACACCAACCAACTTGAGAAAATCCCTGATGTGCTGTCAGAAATGAAGAAGAATGGTGTTCCCCCTAATAACTTCAGCTACAGGATATGCATAAACTCTTACGGGGCACAATCAGATCTTAACAGCATAGAGAAGCTTCTTAAAGAAATGGAGAGCAGACCTCACCTCTGCATAGACTGGACCACTTATTCCACCCTGGCCAATTTCTACATAAAAGCTGGTCTCAAAGAGAAAGCACTCGCTTTTCTGTGGAAACTAGAGGAGAAGCTAGATAAAAATGCCCTAGGCTACAATCACTTGATATCGCACTATGCACATCTTGGCATTACAGATCAGATGATGAGGCTGTGGGGCATCCAAAAGGTTAAATGTAAGAAGCAAATTAACCGGGACTATATAACCATGCTGGGTTCTTTGGTGAAGCTTGGTGAGCTTGAAAAAACTGAGGCACTGTTTAAGGAGTGGGAATCATCTTGCCAGACTTACGATTTTCGGGTACCAAATATTCTCCTTATTGGACACTGTCAGAAGGGATTGGTTGAGAGAGCTGAAACTATGCTTCAGGAAATCATCAAGAAAGGTAAGACTCCAACTCCAAACAGTTGGTCTATCATTGCTGCAGGGTATTTGGATAAGGAGAATATGGAGAAGGCTTTTGAGTGCATTATGGAAGCTCTGGCAGTCAAAGAACAAAACCAAGGATGGAGGCCAAAGCCCAGACTGATTTCTAGCATATTGAATTGGCTTGGTGATGAAGGAGAAGCTGAAAAAGTAGAAGCTTTTGTGAGCTCGTTGAAGACGATGATACCAGTAAATAGGGAGATGTACCATGCCTTACTTAAAGCTAATATAAGAGTCGGGAGAGAAGTGGAACTGATTTTAGAGAGCATGAAAGCTGAGAAAATAGATGAAGATGAAGAAACAAGAAAGATTCTTAGCTTAAAACAGGAGAGTGCTGAATGACTCATGATATCATATTAAGTTTCATGGTTTGGCTCTTAGCTGTGGTTCATTGCTGCAACAGGGGCTTTAATGTTGAAAGATGTTTGAAGGGCTTGAACTCTATTGTTGTTGCGTGGACGCAAACAAATGTACACAACTGCGGAAATTCACTTTTTATACTTTGCATATGTTACACAGCCTATTCAGAAGTCCAGTTGGTGGCTGTGCATCTTGTTTTCTTTCCCCAATTCCTCTCGTTTAATGTGTTTTTTCCTTGATTTTGTTGGATAGCTTCTTTGATTAGTAAAGACCTGATAACACTCGAATGTTATTTGGTGTGAGACTTACCTGGTAGATGGTTGTAAGGAAAGGAGAAGAGTTGTGCAATTCTGATGGCACATACACATTGAATGTTGTTGATAGCATGGGCAAAACGGTTACCACTCACTGATTCCATATGTTCTTTTCGACGAAATATTGATTACAACAACGATACTGTGTTACAATACTGGCGTGATATTATCGATCAATAATAAAATAAGGGACATAATTTATTGAATTAATTTATTATGATCGTTGAATTAATTGTGGGGTTCATTAAACATTAAAATTTGATGTTGATTCAATGATTTTAATTAAACTATTTTTTTATGTCAGATCAAAATTTTTAAGTTCAAATAGTATTAGTCTAATAAAATGATTTTTAAAAATATTTTTATTCTTTTTTAAGAAAATTGAGAAAAGAATAGAAATAAGTCTTAATATCAGGACGCATGTAAACTAATCCCAGATATTCCTGACCATTGGACTTGCAAAAAAACAAAAAAATCTATACCGACACCAAACAAACATTACATCTGTGTTTGATTTTCTCTTTTATTTTCCAGGCAACCAAACTGACGCATGTCTGTACAGTAGGCTTAGCTACATATAGGGCTCATAAGTCACAACCCTCCAAATCTTCACTCCATCTCTCTCTATCTCTCTCACAAACCATCGTAACCTGAAAGAATGGCGAAACGGAAACACCGAAGCAAATCTTCAGAGGAGGAGAACGAAACACAAAATGGAGATCCATCAAAGAAAGAGCAACACAAATCCAAAAGGAAGATAGAAGACGAACCCGAGTCTGGTTCTGAATCTGAATCGGAAGATGGAACCAAAAAATCCCATGGAGGAAGCGAACACAGGAAAAGAAAAAGCAAGGATAGAAGTCGAAGAAGCTCCAAGAGAAGATCTCGGAGTTATGATTCGTATTCTTCTTCTTCTGAGGATGATTATTCGGATACGGGGAGTTCAGGGTATTCGGATTCGGAGGAGAGCGAGAGGGAGGAAGAGAGGAGACGGAGAAAGAGGAGAGAAAAGGAGAAGAAACGGAGGCAGAGAAAGGAAAAAGAGAAGAAGAGGAGAAGGAAAGAGAAAGAGGGAGAGAGGAAAAAGAAGGAAAAGAAGAAGAGAGAGAAAGAAAAGGGGAAGAAAGGCGCTGTTACGAATTCATGGGGAAAATATGGGATCATCAGAGAAACTGATATGTGGTAAGCGCTTCAAATCTGTCTTGTTCAATTTGGTATTTTTCTCCCTTTGAAATTTGAGTGTTTATGTTTGGTTGCTGAGAATTGAGAAAATGGGGCATGAGAAAACAAGGAGGATTGTTTTACTGGTCATACTTCAACGACTTGGTTTAATAGTGTTTAAAGTTCTATTTGACTGGCGAAATCATAGAAAACATTAACATCGAATTCATTGATCTTTATGCTGCTTTATTTGATAGACCACCAAATGGACCTTTAGATGTTTGTGGTTTTTCCTTACCCAGAAAAAAGCTAGCTTAAGATTGGTGATACATTTCCAAGTCGAGTGGCTTGACAGTGTAGTCCAGGTGATCATGACCTGGAGTTAATGTTCTTGCTTTTTTGTTCGTCTAAGCTTCTGCGGTATTTGAACTTTCAATTGGAAGTTCTTGTGGAATTTTGCTGGGAAGTTACTTATCACTCATGTAATTTTTTTTTGTGAAGTGATGGTTGGAGCATTGTTTAATATGCTGCTATGAGTGCTCTATCAAGGGATAATGTTGTTTAGGTATAGAAGTTTCCTTGGTACAATGGAAGTGATTGTCAAATTAAAATGTTCATTCAGTTGTTGAAGCTAAGGCTTTTATTAGCTGAATGGGGCAACAAAATGCGTAGGATAACAAATGTTTGGTAAAAGTTTTGAGATTGAAAGTTGATCTCGTTGACATCTATATCTTGTTGTAGAACATAGTACCTCTAATGAGTAACGTATTTTTTAAAGGAACCTGTTGGATTGAGGTATAATTTGCCTACAAAGATAATAACACTGCCCTCCTGGCTCCTTAACCCGTATTTTCTGGCACAATCTTAACCTCATTACCTAGTATAATTCAGGCATTCTATTAAATCCTATAATGTTTTCTTTAACTGGGCTGTTTTTCTGTCATGCAGTGTAATACTTTTTCCATCATATGTATCATAAGTCATAATTACACTACTAGGGCCTCTGTGTGTTTAGGAAATCATACCCTAGTGCATTGTGTTGTGGCCTGTTCCTACATCCCATATTGTTATATGAATTTTTTTTCCCTGTTAAAAGGTTCATTGTCTAGTCCAATGGCTAACAACTGTGAGGTTGTTGGTGCAAATATGGGAGCAGGTATTTTGGTGAACAATTTTAAAAGTTAACTCTGTATACGATCTATCCCTCCCAGCACGCTGGAACATAGTAATATATTTGCTGGTGGCATCAACATTGTGTGGGTTCAATGATAATTATTTCTATTCTGTGTTTTGCTATGAATTTATAAATGAAATAGTTACCTTTTAACAAGAATTTTGTTTGTACACTCTCCTATGAAATATCTTTCTTGCTTACAGGAACAAACGACCAGAGTTCACTGCGTGGTTAGCCGAAGTGAAAGAGGTATACCGATTTGCTTTCTTTTACTACCATTTGGCTCCCAAGTGTGTTCTATGAAGAATTTGAAACAATGGACTTGTGGCACCTACTATTGAATTTGCTTATCGTTCTTTTTCATAAGTTCATTGGAATTCACATCTAAAACCCTGTTGTCATTTATACGTACTATGATTTGAACGTTGAATTGACATGAAAAAATGGTCTTATCGACACTGCTTATTAAATTCACCATATGTTTCCTTTTGATCATTTGATATTTTGAGGCTGATTAGTTTTATCTGTTAGTTTAAAGTTGGGCTATAAGAGAGTTTCTCTCACTTTTGCCATTTTGACTTTTTTTTTTTTATAGGTGAACCTTGAAAGTCTACCCAACTGGGAGGAGAAGCAAATGTTCAAACAGTAAGTAGACAACTTGTTTATTGACCTTGGATAATAGTTATATGTGTTGTTCATGGATATATAGTTAATAGATATTTACTGTTGGCAAATTGGGATTGCATTTTTTACCGTACTCTTTTTTTGTCTACTCCCTGTCTCCTCATATGAACTAAGACCATCTAAAATACCTTCGGATTCTCTAATCACACTTTTGTTCTGTGCAGATTCATGGAGGATCATAACACAGCTACCTTTCCTTCTAAAAAGTAATGCTCTGCACTGTCTAAGATGTAGCTTTTCATCTATTATTTCTTTTTGGCAGTCGTCATTGAATATTTACCAGATTTTTTAAGTCGGGGCTAGTAATAAAAGAAATGTCCTTCTTCTAGGAAATTTGTTTCCTTGCTTCTTTGAGCTAAGGATGAAGTAGGCAAACTAATTAGGAACTATTTTTGATGAGCAGTATTCTTGTTGGTGCCATTATTTACAGGCTCGAAATTCTTCACTACTCTGCGTTGTGCTTTCCTTGTGCAGTATTGCAGATTAAAAAAGTTTTGTNTAATTTTGTTTGTACACTCTCCTATGAAATATCTTTCTTGCTTACAGGAACAAACGACCAGAGTTCACTGCATGGTTAGCCGAAGTGAAAGAGGTATACCGATTTGCTTTCTCTTACTACCATTTGGCTCCCAAGTGTGTTCTATGAAGAATTTGAAACAATGGACTTGTGGCACCTACTATTGAATTTGCTTATCATTCTTTTCCCTAAATACTATTGAATTTGCTCATCGTTCTTTTTCATAAGTTCATTGGAATTCACATCTAACACACTGTTGTCATTTATACGTACTATGATTTGAACGTTGAATTGACATGAAAAAATGGTCTTATCGACACTGCTTATTAAATTCACCATATGTTTCCTTTTGATCATTTGATATTTTGAGGCTGATTAGTTTTATCTGTTAGTTTAAAGTTGGGCTATAAGAGAGTTTCTCTCACTTTTGCCATTTTGACTTTTTTTTTTTTATAGGTGAACCTTGAAAGTCTACCCAACTGGGAGGAGAAGCAAATGTTCAAACAGTAAGTAGACAACTTGTTTATTGACCTTGGATAATAGTTATGGTTAATAGACATTTACTGTTGGCAAATTGGGATGGCATTTTTTACCGTACTCTTTTTTTGTCTACTCCCTGTCTCCTCATATGAACTAAGACCATCTAAAATACCTTCGGATTCTCTAATCACACTTTTGTTCTGTGCAGATTCATGGAGGATCATAACACAGCTACCTTTCCTTCTAAAAAGTAATGCTCTGCACTGTCTAAGATGTAGCTTTTCATCTATTATTTCTTTTTGGCAGTCGTCATTGAATATTTACCAGATTTTTTAAGTCGGGGCTAGTAATAAAAGAAATGTCCTTCTTCTAGGAAATTTGTTTCCTTGCTTCTTTGAGCTAAGGATGAAGTAGGCAAACTAATTAGGAACTATTTTTGATGAGCAGTATTCTTGTTGGTGCCATTATTTACAGGCTCGAAATTCTTCACTACTCTGCGTTGTGCTTTCCTTGTGCAGTATTGCAGATTAAAAAAGTTTTGTCACTCATTTTTGCAGATATTATGGTCTTGATGCTTATTACAGACGAAAAATTGAAAAGGCAATGAAAAAAGGCTCCAAGAAAGTCCTGGGCACTGAACGTACCGTATTTGATGATGAAGAACAGCGTCGGTATGTTTTAGTTCATGCTGCATTGCTTAAATTTTATGAAGTAGAGATGCATTGGTATCTTATTTTTGTTTCAGTTTTCATAAGGACCTTATTCTCTTGCTTAACATAAGTTTAAATGGCCTGTCTCAAATTTATGACTATGATGTGTGATATATTGTTTTAACTTCTGGAAATTTTATTAATCTGCTGAAAGAATCAGGTTGATGAATTTGTTGGCAATAACTTGTTTCCTTAAGTATTATTATTTCATTGACAGTCATTTAACTTGTTAGTTATTTAAGATAGCTCCCTTGACACGTCCTTTTTCGAATTTCTATTATGAAACCGAGTCAAATTTCTGATTTGGACTTNATGTGTTGTTCATGGATATATAGTTAATAGATATTTACTGTTGGCAAATTGGGATTGCATTTTTTACCGTACTCTTTTTTTGTCTACTCCCTGTCTCCTCATATGAACTAAGACCATCTAAAATACCTTCGGATTCTCTAATCACACTTTTGTTCTGTGCAGATTCATGGAGGATCATAACACAGCTACCTTTCCTTCTAAAAAGTAATGCTCTGCACTGTCTAAGATGTAGCTTTTCGTCTATTAATTCTTTTTGGCTGTCGTCATTGAATATTTACCAGATTTTTTAAGTCGGGGCTAGTAATAAAAGAAATGTCCTTCTAGGAAATTTGTTTCCTTGCTTCTTTGAGCTAAGGATGAAGTAGGCAGACTAATTAGGAACTATTTTTTATGAGCAGTATTCTTGTCGGTGCCATTATTTACAGGCTCAAAATTCTTTCACTACTCTGCGTTGTGCTTTCCTTGTGCAGTATTGCAGATTAAAAAAGTTTTGTCACTCATTTTTGCAGATATTATGGTCTTGATGCTTATTACAGACGAAAAATTGAAAAGGCAATGAAAAAAGGCTCCAAGAAAGTCCTGGGCACTGAACGTACCGTATTTGATGATGAAGAACAGCGTCGGTATGTTTTAGTTCATGCTGCATTGCTTAAATTTTATGAAGTAGAGATGCATTGGTATCTTATTTTTGTTTCAGTTTTCGTAAGGACCTTATTCTCTTGCTTAACATAAGTTTAAATGGCCTGTCTCAAATTTATGACTATGATGTGTGATATATTGTTTTAACTTTTGGACATTTTATGAATCTGCTGAAAGAATCAGGTTGATGAATTTGTTGGCAATAACTTGTTTAACTTGTTAGTTTATTAAAGATAGCTCCCTTTACACGTCCTTTTTCGAATTTCTATTATGAAACCGAGTCAAATTTCTGATTTGGACTTGCGTTTTTCAGAAGAGGAAATCCCCATTTGGGACCATGATGGTTTTATTGTTAAGGTTGTGGCAATCATGATACCTTTGGACAAGAGTGCCAAAATGTAACAGTAGTGATATCCTGATTGGTTAGGTTGTAGCAATCAGAAGAATGTGGCTCTATTGTCCCAATTTAACACAAGGGCTACATTTTTGGGATTAAGTCAATAGTCTCCCAGTGGGACCAACACTGTCTTCAGGACTCCCCCCCCCCCCTCTTTCTCAGTATTTATTTTGTGAATATTTCATTCTCCTATTTCAGGCAAGAACTGCTGCGGGAACGTGAGAAACATAAGGAAGAACAGATTGAAGCATTAAAGCGCTCCATGCAGAGTGGAATGGTTTGTTTCTGTGTAATCTGTCTTAAGTATCACCATTTTCTTCGTCCAAGTTATACATTAATTGTGAATCTGATCAACATCCTCCCATTGAAATGTCTAGGCTCAAGCTATGAAAGAGCAAGCTCTACTGAGGGAAGAAATGGCATTACAGTACAAACTCGGCAACTTTGAGGTGAGGTTAAAAACCTTGTATTTCTCTCATGATTTTCGAACACCATTAATCCATTTTCTTGAATATAATAGGCTGCAGCTGCCATCCAGAAAAGATTGGACCCAGATGTTGCCATGTAAACGGAGTTCCATGATTGACAATGAGCAGGTTTCATGCATCGAAGGCGAACTATATTAGGTGTTTTTAATGATGTCCAATTTATCGCTATAATTCCCATGCTATCATTTTTGTAGATCTATAGAATTGGGTTATTAGAAACTTAGAATAACTTTTGTACAATTTATCAAAGCTATAATGTTTCTGCGTACTATTTTTTGGAAGTTGCTCTTGTCTCAATTTTATTAGATGTCTCAAGGGGATGAGGTATTGTGTATATGCCGTGAAAACGCAATTGGCCTGAAGACTGAGTGAACAATCCTCACACCAGTCGTAGTACAAGTCCACATAAAGGCTTAGGGATAGAGTTCAAATTCAAACAACTTGGTCTTGCCATGCCATGAGAGAGAGGATACCTGCAAATATGTAGATAATGCCAAATGATTGTTGTTATTTTGATATTATATAGAACGCCACTTTCTTTTAAAAACATCTTAAACATCTTACTCGCAACGGATAATCTAGAGATGGTGAAAACATTTTAAGACGTTTCTAGATGTGGTTGAGATGATTTTCTGTTTGGAATTGGAACGCGTAGAGTGTCTTTAAAACATAAGTTAGAATCCAAATTAGACAAGTCTTTGCTTCGAGTTAATTTTTGATTCGGCATATTTGTTGATTACATAGACAAAGAATGGACAGCCATTTGCACCGTTTTACTACCCACATTCTGACCTGGAAGACACAGCCCAGTCATTAGATCTCATCTGACAGCACAGTTCGCGCTCAGCTCAGTTCTGCTATGAATGATTCCGACGAATTTTTATGAGTTTAAGCACGTAGTGATCAAACAGAGCAGTTTTATTCACCAAAAGCCTCGTTATTATAGTACTGTTGGAATGAATTGAAACCCACAATACTATACCATGGTCAGTTCTATATATATACCAAAGAAGGAAGAAAAAAAATCCTATGCCTGTGGGATTCTTGTTAATGAATTTGTTATTTCATGAAATTTTTTATTTTTTTTTTGGTACAAATGACGAGCCATAACGGCGCAATGAGGTTTGGATTAAATCAACTAGGCACAAGTTGGATAACGGGAAGAGCAACCTTTGCCTAGTATGAACCAAGCTTTTTCTGGCACTTTACGCTGACAATGATCAAAAACTGAGCTGTGCAACACATTGATGTAGTCAACAATATGCTCAATCCACATCCAGAAAATGAACAATAAAAAGTTCAATGAAAGGAGTCATGAATGGTCCCAAAGAGGGAAATTCTAGCTTTGTTGTAAATAAAGAAATAAGTGAACCAAAAGTACAAAATCGCGTAATCCTCGATCTTCATTTCCAGTTTTTTTCAAGCATGTAAGAGAAGTAGTTTAGCATGCTCTCTCTTCTTCCTATTTATAATCCTTGCAAGAATATGTGGTTATGGTATCCTTAAATTATGCAAAATTTTATACTAGTCCCACAGAGAAACACAAGTAAAGAAACAGGCAATCTTATTTACTGCAAATAAATCAACTACCTCCACAATTTTTCTCTCGTAAACTCAACCATCTAACGTTCCAGCGGAACCAACAGCTGAATTCCATTTCAGGTTATTCCCCAGTCTGAAAGAAACATTTGATTGTCCATATGTAGAAAACTGGAAAAATCCATTGACAAATCCCCTGGTAGAATGGAAAACAGGAGAATATTAGTAAAAGAGAGACATATACAAGGATGAGTTCTTATGGCAATAAATCAGTATCATGGAATTTGACAAGTAAAATAAATTTCGGTGTCTTCTGATCTCATATTCTGCAATGTCAATATGCTAATTCCTTTCGATTTATGGTTAAACTCCAAAGTAAAGCTTTTCATATGGAATATAAAAGGTTGAACATAAAGAAAACTTGCTATATGCATACGCCTGACCCTCCCAAACCTCTCCGCAGTGGCAGGTAACTTTATGCACTGGGCTACCCTTTCTTTAGCCCAGTCATTTATTATATCCCTCCTACCGCAATCATCATTTTTCTATCATTTCATATGAACCCTTCAATTTGCTCACTTGAGCTACTTTTCTTGCTGTATACTCTAAACCCTGTCCACCCATTTATGAATACATCCTCACAAGAGCATCTTAGTTCTGACCCTCTTTTACTTTTTTTTTCCTGATTTACATGTACTATTAGCATACCAACATAAAGCATAGCTCTGTCAAAAGGAATCGAGATCTTTTTTTTATCTTTTAATCCAATAGACAGCCCCTTCCCTCTTTAATAATGGGCCTCAAAGACTTACACTTACACCTACCACATCACCACCGACAAGGGCTTCAAAAGAATGGAGAACAAACCAGAATTATATGTATTCTAAGAACCACGTCCAATAACCATTTTTCCTAGCAACTTGCAGCTTAAGAGAACCATTGCAATTACAGTTGCTAGGCCTTTCAGACTTTAGTGTTTGAGTATCAACACAACACAAGAATGTAACTGTGAAACAAAAGCCAGGACGCCATACTGTCCAACCATAGCCAACTACCCTTCTGGTCTTTGTGTCTTTTCAGCCGTTCAACTTGAACAATATCAGACTTTCTATGTGACAATTTTCACTACTCCATCTTTTTGCCACAACTGACGCTAGTCCTAACTTCTCGTGAATACTATGTTTCTCATTCAATACTTGACTTTGCTACCCACCGCCTCTTTGTCACGTCAAAACATGATTTACATTTTGTTGTCAGCATTCCGCTCCATGATGCATGACTTTGCCAAACAAACACTGCCAAACCACTGTTTCTAGCAGTTTCTAGCATATTTGAGTTTTGAAGTTTAGAAGAACTCATAGGGTGGTCACAGAATTAGGACTTAAGAAAGGTTTTGGCGCCTACACTTCAACACAGTATACGAGTATATATATTTTGAGGCAAATTTAAGATTGGTATCTTCACATCAAAACCACATCAAACCTAAATCTTGTTATTTCTAGTCAAACGCAATAAATGTGAATCTTTCAAGCAGTTCTAGTCAACATTCAAGAAATAACTCAACTCATCCTACAGGCATATATTAATTAACATGTATGAAGTTGCAATTGCCAAAATGTACTTCATTCATTCAATTTTTTTCAAAAAAAAAAATGCACTGTCCCAAATACATGAAAAAAATGTATTTGATTGAAAGCAACTAATTGAGTCACCCAAACACCACCTAAATAACCACTTAGCAACTAATTCTTTACCTCTATACTATGCATTTAGTTGGGCTTGCCGGTGTATTTGCAGAACCCAATCAACATAGCCATTTGTACCACCAACCTGGTCCTCTACTAGGTTTCCAAGCAATAAGAAACCTTCTTTGGGTTGTTCCCCTTGTCTGACAAGATGACATAGCTGATAATATGAAGGGTCATTCTCTCTAAAATTGTCAAGTATCCCCATAAGCTTTCTTGACAAGTTGTTGTCATGCTTTCGAAGGTTGACCTGACACCCAAAAAGACAAGGAAAAAAAAAAAGACAGTAACACAGCATAAGAGGGAGGCAGCTGAAAAGTAGCCAGCAAGAAATGCAACTTAAAATTGAAAGAAGCAGGAAAGCAAATAACTGCAAGACACATTCACACACGGACACAGTCATTCTTGCTGAACAGGGAAGAAAAAAGAGTGTGAGGTGGACAGGCAACAACAGAAAATTTTGTGATTACTGTAGAAAAAGGACTAAGAAAGAATTTATGCACCATCAACAGGTAGAAGCTAAAGAAAAACAGTAATGCCAACTCACAGCAGAAGTAACACAAGTATGGCAATGTAAGCAAATGAATCAATTATTAGACTGGTATCCAGCTAATATGTGATTTTTTATTTTTTATTTTGGTATCTTAAAAGTGTTTTCCTACAGCTAAAATCTCAAAATTTCATAGGGAAACCCTTAATCCTCAACCAATTCTTTGAATAGAAAGATTTAACGAACAAATGTTAATATATTTAGGTCACCATACTTCTTGCAAGCTGCATTTATTTTACCGAGCACGAAGAAGCTCTAGTTAACAAATCTTTCGAACATGTGCATAGTTATTTTGTACCATAAAGAAAAGCTGAACAATATGATGCAACTATATCCATAGAGATTTTGAGCAATTTAGGAGCCTCAGAACACTGAATGTAAATTCCCGAAAATGATTGCATGTTCACCCTTCAATTGCACTGAGTTCATCCAACTGAATGGTAGCAAGCCTCACTTCGGAAACCATGGTTCAAGCTGAATTTTAGATTTACAACTTAGAAGCATGTACAAACCAAGACTTTCTGAAAAAGATTCTGGCTATCAACCCCTAGATGCCTGCATGTGATCAACTTCTTGACTTTATTTGAGCCTTTTCTTTGCTGTTAGTTGTAGCATGTTGTCTTAGTAAGCTCTTATGATACTCTGGTGATGTTTTTTTTTTCCCTCCAGAACACCACCAACAGCCTTAGTTTGTGTGACTTCTGCTCCAAAATGAGAGTCAAGCTGTGAACAACAAAGAAAAAAAAGACAGAATGGAACATTGGGATCTAACTTCTCCCCTTGTCATCCAATTCCTTACTGGGGGTGCTGCTAGCTCCGCTCGTTCAACCGGCTGAATCTGCTAAATCAACAGAGTCGACTAGATCGAGATCAACATTATGTTCCCTCTAACAATCAAAAAACTCATAATCCTTCCCATCCATGGTAATACCAAACAGAAAACGGGTAAGAACTCAAATCTACAACATAATCCCTATATTACTTAGGTTGCTACTTATACCCTTACGTACCAGGTGGTTACACAAAAAATTCGGTTTCTCTCTTGGATCCAGAGCACCTACTTCAAGTCAAGGAAAGCCTCACTTCCTCAATAGACAACACTTTTCCAAAACCCTAATGATATCGACTCTTGAGAACATCTGCTTTTAAACACTGGTTCCCCATGCTTCTATGAGCAGGAATTCCTATTTCTGAACATTCCCAGCTTACTGTCAATTTCCTACTCCCCAGTGAACATCAACTTTTAGGGGAAATGAGATTCATACGAAACAAGGAAACTTTTGTCCGAGAAAGTAGAAGTTTGAACTCCAAGGGCTTTCAAAATTCCTTGCACGACGAAAACGTTTTGTTGAAATTTCTGAGTTTTAAGCAATGCAGTCAAGCATAAAAAATCATATTTGGGGTGAATTATAGGAAACTTAGCTTTTGACAGATGTAGGAAATTTGTCCTAAACTGTGGATTTGCTTGATCAAAGGAAAAGGCTCTGATAAAATAAGACAGACCAGTACATGAGATTCCAGCCACTGCGGGATTTAGGGAGGGTCAGACATACGCGTGCAGAGAGACTGTTTTCACAACTTGCAGCCTTGACATCCAGTAAAGGCTCCAAAAGAAAAGCTACCTAAATTCGTGTAACCAATAGAATATATTAGATTTGACCTTCTTTACACTAAACTATGAAAAGAATCACACCTTTGAATAGTCAGTATTCAAGTCTTCTCCAAGTAGACTCATAGTCATATCTGGTGAAAGCATTCTTCCAAACCATATAACAAATATAAACCCATCATCATAAACATAAAGGCCTCTGGAATCTAAGCTCTCTGCAGAAAGTGGTAGCCTTTTCCAAGTGTTGTTGAACTCGTCAGCCTTAGAAGATGCCTGCACGTAAGATACACTGATGAGGCTTAATGATCACAAGGTAAATTCTGGTATTGAAGCAAAGCGAGATGAAAAACAGCTTCCTACCTTCAAAAGAAAATCATCAACACGTATCAAACTAGGATAAAGAAGCTTTAACAATCTTTTAACAGGTAAAGCCATCATTGTGCATCCAGCTGACCAGCGTTCATCAAGCTGAACATCAGCATACCCACCCCGAAGTGCTTTTGATTTAAATAGTGCCAATCCATATAAAGGCAAGAATTTCAGTGATTCTGGATATATCATCCTGCCTCCCAAGCGATGCTGTACAGCATAGAGATTTCGATATTCTCTGAGTGCCTTGACAATCTTTAGTTGCACAAAATTTCGAGCCTCTTCAAGTTTAGAAGAAAGAGTTTTCTCAATTGCTGTACATCAATTCAATTCAGAATTATAAAGGTCAGAATCCACCACAGCTAGTGTCCTACATGGAAATATGATGGAACTAACAACCAGATATCGGGTTGGGGGAGTGGGGTGCTTTTGTACCTAGCCTGCAAAGCAAAGAAACAATGGCACCAGTGTCAGCCTGGCGATACATCTCTCCTAGATCCGAAACTACTGGAGCAGCTGCTGTATGTACTCTGATGCGCCTTTCTCCAGAAGATGAAGTGTATCTTCCAATGGTTAAGAATCTTTAGCCATTTATAGTCTATTGCTCTACAATAAAGTTGCTCCATAACCAAACAAGAACTAGCAAGTGCACATTCCAAAAAAAAAAAGCAATAGGACTCATTGAACTCTTCTGACAATCTGAGGGCTGTAAAAAGAAGACGTTCAAGAGGAAAGACAAATCAAGAAAAAAAAAATCATGAGATTCAAGAATGTCCAACAGAGGAATTTACTCTTCATGTCTAACATAGGGAGCTTAATCAACATGATCGTCTAAAGCATCAAGAAATTTAGGTCTCATGAGAAGCTATTCAAGTCATGCTTCTTTACAACCTAGAGTTTCAAGAGGCAGGAGAGGAAAAAAGGAAAAAAGGGAGGACAAAAAAATCATCTTGTGGAATTACATTTGTGGGGGGGAGGTGGAGAGAAAGGAGGCAGGGTTGAATGATCAACTAGTCTACAGGAAGAGATGATCCAGAAAGAGAAAGAAACAAAATCAGACAAATGAAAACAAGTGTTTTTGTCCTTTTTGCATCAAGAATGCATGCTTATCAAAAACAAATTGACCCTTCTATAATCAAGAAACAGCTTTCAACACATCACACACACAAACACAAAGAGTTATCCTTGATTTGCTCTTTTTAAAAAAAGGATACAATAAAGCTACTTGGAAATATACAGTCTGGGTAGTTAGTAATGTCTCTTCAAGACATAACTGCGCTCCATAAGCTTTGTCACAGTCGACTGCTGGAAGTGCTAATAAATCAGTGGACCTCAGCATAAAGTTCCCATGATAGGTTGTAAACCGCACTCCTAAAAGTAGAAGAGTATATGAAGATTAGCTTCAGTATTTTAATAGCAACATAAAAAATGATCTGCAAGCAATGTCTCAAAAAGGGTCCCATAACAGCCATTAGAAAATGCAACAGCAGCTGGCAAATGCACTAGTGGCCAATTTTACAGCAAGGAAACAATTCACATTACGGACGGCCACAAAGAAGCCACAACAGCTCCCAAAAAGGCCATTTCGGACATGTATTTTTTGAGTATGAAACCTAGTCCAGATCACTTTCTTTCAACCATTCTTAGACTGGATTTATCCTCATACATGTAGTGAAAAAGGAAGCTGGTGAGCATTTCTTTGTATTCGTGAGCTGAAAAATAAAATATGTTCATTTAACACGTGAAAGTTGTGTCTTTGACACAATAAAATCTATTGTCAATCATTTAGCATTTATATTCATATAAATTTGGATTTAAAAAGGAGGTGTGAATCCCTAAAGGAATCATGCCTCTTGTTTTCAGTTCCATCATGTGACATCTGTTACACCCTCCAGTCCGTTACGGTCAGGGTTCAAAAAGAAATAGTAACAATTACTTTATTAAGCCAAAGTATCAGGGAGGACTGACCTTTTCCACATCTTATGCGCATGACAGCTTCCCAGGCAGTTTCTCTTGTGATATCTCTGCTTAACTCATGTCTCAATTTTTCTTTGTGAATGGCGGATTGGAAGCTCGGGTAGTAATATACCTGACCACCTGTATATTTTGCTAGGGTTCCTGCACAGAACGTGAAAGTTGAAATCAGATTATTTCCTATTAACAGATGCTAAGACATCTAGAATGGACCGTATTGGACACAAGATATAAAGTCATCAGTTCTGAACTTCTGCAGCATTAACTCGAAAGCTTTAAAGAAGTTTAGAAGGAAATTGAAAATTGATGCAAACAACACAGCAGGAAGGATCAGCAAGATAATTTGTGAGATTTCAAGGGCTTATAGAATTTACAACATTTTAATTTAGAATTTCCTTACGATATCATTAGCTTTTGAGTTCTATAGATAGACTTGATAATTCTACTTTGGGAGGGAGAATTGCCTGCCACAATGGGCTTCTGTTTGGGTATAGTTGTATCAAGAGTAATTAAATCTCTTGAGTTTAAACAAAAGTACAATTGTTAGTATTATTAGATTTGCAACCTCCAAGAGATTACCTGGCAACAGTTTCCTTGTCTTCCAAACCAGTCCACTGTACGTATTGATGTATTAGCATCATTTGATGCAACAAAATTATGGTGTAATGCATCTTCTTTAGGTACAAGTGCCTAAGAACCTAGTTATGATTGTCATAGCTTGTCTCGTTAGTTAATTTTGTCTCTTTCTTCTCTACTGAATCCTGAATCTCTCAAGCTGCTAAATATTTGGTGCTAACACTATAGACTCTTCCCATAAAATGCAACAAAAAGGACAGTGAAACATCTCCAGATTTTAATAAAATATGCCGTTCATCTGTACCAGTGAGTAACATAATTCATTGCACAATGAATAAGGATGGGACCAAAACTATGCTCCTCATGCATTCAGCATGTTTTCCAGATTATGAACAGAAGAGAGCCCAGCAATAGATGGAGGTATAGAGATAAATTTACCTTCGAACATAATCAATGTTGAAAGAATTAGGCATAACAGTATATCATCACTCTAAACATGAAATTTCTTTCACTGAGAACATAATCAATGCTGAAAGCATTAGACATGACAGTATATACGCCATCCAGACGTAACATAAACCTATTTATGATCTTCTAAACATGAAATTTCTTTCATCGTTTTCAAATAAAGACCTCAACAAAACTTGAGCAATGTTTGGAACTCTAAATACGATAATCATCGACCAATAAAAAGATAAGCCAAAACTAAAAAAAAATTAATCATAAAAAATGAAATATTCAAGCTGAAGTCCACCATACATTTTGTGAAAGCCATAAAGCATCAATATACATTTTTAAAATTGAAATTTTAGTCTTAATAATGGGTGCTTGAGATAGAACCTGCAAATAGTTCACCGCTAACACATACCTAAGGAGGCTATATCGGTGTACTTGTCACTGAATGCATAGACATTCACTGCTATCTGGTATTTAGTAAAATCAGCAGCCATCTGTTTGTAAAATGGATCCTCTGATAACCTTAGTGCATGCTCCTTCTCTGTTCCATAAACACGAAGATCTTCTCCACGCAACTTTAGTCGACCAACACCAAGTGATGGCAGCGTATTCTGGAAAATCAACAACTTTCCACCAAGTTGGCTCTGTATCAAGAAAGAATAAATAAGTTAACTAGAGTTAACTTATTGTCAAACCATAGCAATTATTACAGGTAAATCAATCAGAAAAGCAAAGACCTATCAAAGGAAACAACTCAACAATAAGTTGCAGGTCAAGAAAATGGTTATAATCGAGAGAAACTAGCAAACCATAATCATAAATGCCGCTTTAATAGCTGGACCAAAAGCAGACTCCACATTCACATTATCCTGAAACATTGAGGGCAAGCTATCTAGGAATGCATCCACCACGGTTCTTGATTCCAACAAGTTGACAAGGAGATCATCTGGCAACGGGACAAATATATCATCCAGATCCGAGACTACCATCATTTGAGGCTGTGAAAAAGATGACTGGCACACAAAAAACCCACAAGTTATTCAACACAAATTAATGTTGCTCTAGGAAAAATGAAAGCCCATCCTTGTAATATAAATCACTTGCCTTCATGTTATAAAAATGTATCGTGCTGTCAAATGTTATGAACCCAATCTGTGTACGGGGATATCCAGGCATCCTATCCAAACAGGACTTAATAGTTTGTGCCACAAGCTGCAAAAGAATATTGAAGTTGAGCTTAAAGTCTTACCAAAAAATCATGGATAGGTAAAGTTTTCATCAAAGAATATAAACTTCATTGAACGAAATGTTAAACTTACAAGTATCACCTTAAAAATAATTTTTTTTTCAAAAAAGAAGGTTCACAAGCAAAGAGCTCAAAATTGTATGGGGTGGTTTTAGAAAGAAAAATTACTCCAACAGTAATAGGGATACAAAATGAAGTTATTTCACTGTAGATGTAGCATGAATACCCTCTGATGAATATGAATTATCCCACTGAACTATCAGAACTGACCTAATAGTCAAAATTAAAATGCATTCTATGCTGCATAGTTGTGGTACAATGCAACATGAGTTGCAAACCAACGTTTTCAAAGTGCTTACCTCAACCATTCCACTTCTGACAGCAGATATTGAAACATCAATGAGGAAAAAGTATAGTGGTGGCATTGGAGGCCGCACCATGTATTCAGCTGGAGCAATAAATTCCACACTACCCTTGGTAAGCTCAGGCCGCTGATTCAAATCAATTCTTCTTCCACTGGCATCCAAGTGGGCGAAATAATCACCTGGTACTGCGTATCAGAGTTGAAATAAATAAGCATGAATGCCTCAAAACAAATAGTACATGACTAAAACTACCACAGAAATAAAGTCATGATGGAATTAGTTGATGGTGGCTTTGAGTGGGAATGTGATGAGGGTAATTTTCGGTGTGTGCAATTGTTGGTTGTGAATAGGAAATAATTTGTGATGGTTGTGAAGGGGTAGGTGTGGGCAGCAGTGACAAAATGTGGTGGCTGGTTTCCGAACACATGGTGATGAGTAAGGGGTGAACCTGGTAATTGGGATGTCTAATGAACAAGATGGGGTTCACGGGGTGGCCATTTCATCTGTTATCAAGTATTATTATTGTAGTAAAGATGATAGAGTGGCACAGTGGCGGTGACCTGGCAGTCAAGGTCATAGTAATGGTTATTGGTTCCACATGCAAACACACACAGATTGGGTAGCTGTTAGTGCCAGTGGCCATGGACTCATGGTTGTCTATGTCGGGAATTGCATGGAGAGAGAGAGAGAGAGAGACAAAAGAGAGAATGGAAGGAGCCCATATCTGAGTGGAATTTAAGTAACTGTTATGTTCACACGCTTAATAGAGGCAAGTGCAACTAAGAGTCTCTTTGTCTTTCTATGCTTTGGTATACAATATACTCTAAGCACCCAAGTAGCAAGCAGGTTACATACCACCTATAGAGTCCAATAGGAGGAGGAGGAGGAAGAAAAAGAGGGAGGGGGGGGGGGGGGGGGAAGGCAACAAATTATAAAAAAGAAAAGACAGCATAAATTATGCACCATTCTTTGTTTAGGAAAACAAATCCTTAAGTTACTTTTGTCATGGAATGAGGTTTCATGCTGGTCTATTTTCAAAACAAAAGAAAAAAAAAGAAAAAAAATAAAAGATAGGTCAAACATGATTATCTGGGATAAAGAAAGTGCCATGACCAACCCTTCTTTTATCTTTCTGTATGACAGTCCAATCCATATAAATGGCCAAGTCAGATTGGTAGTCCCAAACACGATGGTGGTGCCAGTTTTATAGGTCTATCAAATAGCTTCGATTTAGAAAAACTAGCTGTAGACATGTGAAATAACATAGGAAACATACAAACCATGAAACAAGTAGGTCAAAGGCTCAAAATGAAAACTCCGCAGAAGAAGATGAAGCCAGAAGAACAGAAATCAAACAGCAAGCAAATAATGAGAGAAGATAGTTTTATTTTATAAGCTGCTATGATCTGTGACCACTAACTAGTACAAGTAGTGACAAAATCTCATTTGTTTCCTTTCTCAACTCATTGTTCTCATTTTGTGACTGCCATATTGGTTGCTTCAGCTTGGACCACAACTCCACTTTATTTCCTATCAGACGAATGGCACCACAGGAGATACCAACTATCCAAAGCTTAGAAAATCTCATTTCTGTTACTTAAACAAGGATGGCACGTTCACTAGCATATTCCATTGGTAATGAGCAAATAAGGGAGCAAAAGTGGTAGAAACTAAGATAAGATTCCAGAGGAAGTCTATATGAAGACCAACTTTTTGTGTTTGTGTCAGAGTGCATGTTTGTGAGTAAAAGAGAGAAAGGGAGCGCAAAAGAGAGATGCAGTGCACATCTCTTTTTTACTACATAAGTGACAATTCCAAACTATTTTCTAATAGGGATAATCCATCACTCTGGTTACAAATGAGAGTAAGCTTATCAGCTCCCAATTACACAATGACATGCCAAATAGAAACTTTCAGATGGTTAATAACAAGAGTATCACATCCTAATTGCAAGATTAAAGTTATACTAGGATGTAGAAGGGTAAATGCTCACTAAGAACACAATGGACTGATGTTAATGAAGAATCTCTGAGGAAAGATCAAAACACATTCCTAAGTGTTGACCCTTTGGGAAAATAGACAGACAAAAATGCTATAGCTGCAACGAATTAGAGCACCCGCAGAAACTGGCTAAACCATGTTAAAGAATTCAAAAAAATGATCGAATGCATGAATCGAGTGTTTGGATGCTTTATGGGATCGGATTCATTTCATAGCGTCATTGTGGGCTTCTGTTAAAGGAATCCCATTTTTTGCTATTTTGACAGGATGCACGGCTTCATGTGATTTGTAGGCTTTTAATGTAGTCCTTTTGTTTTTCGTTGTGCTTCTTTTTATGGGGTGGATTTCTTATTCAACCGTTCTGATGTTCTGTTCGATGTTAATTAATAAAAAATTTCCACCTTGTATGGGGAAAAAATTGGTCTAATCTTCACCTAGATTGCTTCTTTAAAGCCCTAGTAGTTCCAATAAGAATTATGTTTGTGTAACAGTTAAATTGGAAACTTACCATCATTGAGTGAAGAACAAATGTTGCAGCGCCACTTTCTTCCACCATCTGTGAAAGTCACATACGGATTCACATAAGTTCGGCATCTTCTGCAACGGACAATGCCAGTTGTGGCAAAGTTAACTATTGGCACTTCCTCCTGTAGGAATAACAGTTTGCAAGTCAAAAATCCAGTTTTTCACATATGGAAATTAACCTGTACTCTATTACTGAAATGTAATGGTTCTTACGTACCCCATCTGGAGCTTCTGCAAGGGGACAGACAACAGCTCCCAGAGGCAACTGCCACCTTAAAACTAAGGACTGAGAACTTGGTATCGCATTAGTTGTGAGCCGCATATATCTAGAACTGCAATTCATGGGATACATCATAGCAAAAGAGTTTGGCTCCACATCACCTTCCAATGGCCTCGGCAAAGCTTTACAATCAAGTCCTGGATCAAATGATCCTGGAGCAGATTCAAGAAAGAGTGAACTGAAGTCTTCTATCAAGCCCTGTACGGATCCCATTTCGGGTCGATACCCACAAAATTGCATGTCTGCCCTTGAAGAGATACTTTGTGGCGCAGCAATCGGTGGAGGGGGAACATAACCCCCTTGATGAGAAACAAAAGGAGCAGATGCTATCGTTTGGGGTGGAACATTACCTCCTTGATGAACAGAAAATGCAGGAGTCTGAACAAGTGGAGCTTGTGTAACTGTATTAGGTTGCTTACTAGGATATCCTGGAAAAGCTGACTGCAAGGTGGGTCTAGCAGGATAAGTCGATCCCACCAGGGGCGAAGATGGCTGCAAGTTTGGCCTAGAACCTAAAAATGACGAATCTAATGTTGACTGAGGAACATTCAGGCCTGATGGCACAGTGTTTATGCTTTGAGGCGGAGGTCGAATTGGCATCGATGGTTTCTGGGACTGCAGATGAGGGAAAGCTGGCATGTATGAAACATGGCCTGCAGGAGGTCTAACTGTTGAGGAATAAACCGGCTGCCCTGCAAGTGATGTGCGCGGAGGAGGTGGTTGAACCGTTGATGGAAATTGTGGTGTCGGGAAACCCTGAAAAGGTCCTGCAGTCGGTGGGGTATACAATGAGGGTGGAGGCGGCATAGATGGATCATTAGTGGTACCTGGTGGTGTGGGTCTAAAACTAGAGGCTCCTGATCCAATCACAGGTCCAGGTGATATGGAAGGCAGTGTAGAATCAGGAGTAGGAGGTCTGATAGGTCTATAAGGAGAGGCATCTGATCCAACCACTGGGCCAGATGATAAAAAAGGTGTCGTACTTTGAGGAGCAGCAAAGGGTGTAGTAGCAGGTCTTAGAGGCAAATTGGCATGGCTTGGATTCTCAGTCCCCATAGTTTGCATATTCTGCACTTGATTTTCCCACAATGGCTATCCTTCCATTATTATAAGCCAAAACTGGAAACACAAAACATTTATTGATGACAAAGAAAATTAATTAATTAAACACCAAAACAACATAGCTAAGAGTTTTACTTAAACATGTATTGAATGTTCAGGCCACAATAAATTATCTTTCCTACATGACACTTAGGTGGCAACTCTAGTCTTCTAACATTTCTAGAAAGTCAAATCATAAATATGCCTATTTAATCTTCATCATATCTTCTCCAAATCCCTAACCATCAAATGATAGATTAATAGCACACTATACACACTCACATATATGTATGCAAGCTTATATATTAGATATCATGTATAACCAAAAAAAAAGGTATTAGCTATCATATCACAAGTTATTTTGTAGGTTAATAGTTACTGTAACTCTCTTTCTCCCTCTCCTCATATGAATGTTGTATAAAGAAAAACAAAAAATTCATATGCTTTTAAAAAGAATCATTTTGGTGTTCCTCCAATGAAATCTATTTGAAACATACACACAAGAAAGCCAAGAGTAGAATTTTTCTCCATGTACTACTATACATTCTCCAACATTAGAACAATTTTTTCAAACATCCGGATTTTTTTATCGTTGTCGAAATCTAGTTTGATAGTTTAGTTTTGATATTCAAATTGCATATTCATATAGAGTTGTTTTGCATAGAATACAATTTCCATGTTATACAAATCTTGTCTTTTATTTGTGTATCGCAAGGATTTCCGACTATTTAAAATTATAACAAGAGCCTTGGACTTTAATGCTAGCTGACATAAGATATGCAGTATGCTTGTTGGGAAAGAAATTAACCATCACACAAAGAATCTTTCAGGGTACAACGCAGAGTTCAACTTTGAATAAGCCTGTGCAACAATTAAACTAACAAAATTGCCAAATTTAAAGAAATTCCAAGTTCACATGGTACAAAATTCATGATCAAAGGTTCCAATTTTTTTTTTAGAATTCAAATTACAAGTAACTTGCAGGAATATAGAGTGCCAAAATTCAGAGAATCACACCCATGTTGCCAAAACAGGAGCAGAAACAGAGAAACCGAATATACGACCATACAGTTATACATCGACACATATAATTGAAGTCAGAGAGATACTCACTCGTATGAAGAACTGAGAAATCTAAGGCGAGACTCGTCCAAGGAGAGTTGTTCGCATTGGATAGCAACTAAACGTGGCCAGAGAGAAAATTCCTTGTCGGATTAAGGTTGTCAAGGTTGCACCTAAACGTGGCGTAAGAGAAAATTCGATCGAGAGGCAGATAATCCTTGTCGGATTAAGGTTGTCAAGGTTGAGACCTTGTTCTGACGGATTCCAAGGAAAGAGACAGAGAGAGCACAGTGCTGAGCAGGATCGTGTTAAGAAATGGAATTGTAGTTAGAATCGAAATAATATTGCAAAAAACGGTTTCGGGCCTTTCGGGTCTAAACTAGACCTGAATATTAGCCCACTTCCAAGTGGGCTTGAGCGCTCGTAGGTTTATGTTCAGGTCTCCTAAGTTTTTACATTACTTGCAATAACCGTGTCTGGTAATATAAAAAAAATAAATATTTTTATATAATATTTTACATTTAAATTTTTTTTTTATTTTTTAAAAAGAGGGGTTGTTTGAAATTGGGGTCATATAGAGGAAATTATGCTATTGGATGGAAAAATAAATTTTGAGATAAATTTATACGATTTTATCAAAATATCTTAAATTTTTATCAATCTTCATCTTTCTAATTTTAATATTTATACCAAAAAAAAATAATTATACATTTATATACAAAGAAATAAAGTAATTTTTATTTTTTTATCCTTCTATTCATCTCAAGGGCGACCACCCGTTAAATCTTTTTCTACAAATGCTTTGTAAATGTAAAACTGTAAAAGACCAAAGATTTTTTTATAACATTCAAATTCAAGTGTAATCAATTAAAATTGTCCCAAAGAAATTGAAATGATCTTTATTGTGTCTATTTATCGAGAGTAATGTCATTTAAATTTAATTTATTGATCTAATCATTTGCTTGGTAATTAGTGTGGTCCGTATATTAGTTTTGATCAACAACCATCAAATGGTTGTAATAAATTAAGTTTGTATATTTAATCAAAAATTTATATACAAATAACCATTATTGATTTACAAATTACCCTCAACTTTTATCAAATAACTTTCCAATTTGAATTTGTCGGAGTTCTAATATTTATTTCTAAATTTTAATGGTTTTATATTATTCTTCAATATGTGAAGCCCTAAGACTAAAACCATATTATATATTTGCAAAATATATTTTACTTTTTGTATTTTCACTCTATTTATCTAATATTACAGTTATGAAGTTAAATTATTAATTTATAAAAAATAAAATAAACAATCCAAATTAATTTAATTTTTATTTACTTTGATCAAATTGTACAAAATTTATTCCAATTTCCCCGTTCAAAATCATAATTTTCATTACAAGACTCTCAACATTAACATTTCAACTAACACAATCTCTAATGTCAAACAACTCCATTAATTCACACTTACCTTTCTATTCTCAATTTATCTTTTATTTTACTTTTGTTCACATTGGTTGTAAGTTACATAATTAAAAAAAAAATTTAAAAATGTAAATGTTACATAATCAATATTCATCTTTTGGTATCGTAGTTATTTTTTTTTAATTTAACGATCAGAAGTATTTGAGTTTATTTATGCATACTTCAACTAATTCTCTCTCCTATTCAGTTAAAGATATATCATCTACGTCAAAATTAAGATATTCATAAAAAATAAATCTTTCCTACCTAATTCAAAAAAATTATCAAAATTCAAACATTTAAATCCCAAAGGGGTTGCAGTTATTGTTAGAATCTTTATATGGCTAGAAACGAGCCGACTTTCAAAAAAAACAGAGCCAACTCAAACGTAAGCTGAGCCACCTGGGCCTTGATTCCGTTACCTTATATAAGTAAGCATCCAATGACATCTTTGTCTTAAAACCATAAAAAGATAAATAAAATAATAAACATTAAACAAATTGCCATAAATATTCCTAGAGACCCTTTTGGACTTTGGTCCCTTTCACACTCCCCTTCTCTTCTACTCACACCTTTCCTCTACCCTACTCTCTCCCTCTCTGTCTCTCTGTCTCTCTCTCTCTCTCTCTGTTAACCCTCTTGCGGTCATTCTCTTCCAAAAGGTACAGAAAGACAGAGAAAGATTAAAGGGAGGAGGATGAGAGGACCTTTGGGGGCAGTGATAGGGAGGTACCCTCCAAGTGATGGCAATGCTGAAATGGGCGTTGGAATCATAAGGCATAACAGAAAATGCAGAGATGTTGTCTTTCTTGTCATCTTCATTGCGTTCTGGATAGCAATGATTGTCAACTCTAGCTTTGGATTTAACAAAGGAAACCCATTGAGGTAAACAAGAACAAAAAGTGCTGCTCTTTTCATACCCTAAATGGGTGTGCTTTATTTTTATGATTTTGATCTGTCAGTTTAATTTTTATGGCAAGAAAGATTGTCTGCAAAATGGGTTCTTTTTCCTTTGGTAAGGATGATGTGCTTTTTGAGTGTTCATGGGTTCCAAATGCTTTTTTACTTAATTGGATTGTTTTGGAAATTTAAGTAGACTTCTAAATTTGTGCTGTGTATTTGTTAAGTAATGTCATCGAAGGGTAGATTCCAAAAGTGGATAGTGTCTGTGTATGTGCATAACGGAAGCAAGTGGTTTGCTTATGCGAATCTTGAGCTTGTTGAGTGTAGAGAACGTCAAAATTTTGCACCCGTAGTTGTCTACAACGTGCTTAGCTGTGAAAGGATTTGTTGATATGTGTAAAATTGCTTTTGGTTGGATATTGAAGTTCTCAGCTACTAGAGGCCTAAAGAAGTTTAAAACAAGTTTCCGGCATTGAAGTAATAGAGTGTCGCACTCTGCCAACTGGAGGACTACATCATTTCAGGAGTTATAGATTCCAAAAGGCTTGTGATGAGATTATGTTTGGAGGATTTCAATTTTTTTTGTTCATTCAGTTTTAAGACACTTCCTTAGCATCTGTACTGGAGCCTAGTTGTGAAGACTTGCGATATTCATAATTGTCAGACTTAAGTTTTCCTTGGGTTAGCATGCCATTTATTTTCTTCCCGCTATCCATATTTTTTGAGTAACAGGAGTTACCTAAAATAATTTGTTGAAATTCTGCTTTTCTTATGTTTGTCATGGATTCTAAGTTTAGTCTTACTTAAAATGATGCATGTGGCTTAGATTAACTACACAAATGATGATTTGTTACCTTAGCATTATATTTTATGCATTCTATAGTCATCTAAGGCATGTAGTGTTCATGGCTTTCACTTGGTCTATAATTATCATTAAGTCATAAAATTACAGGTGATTGGTGTTTCCAATGTAGAGGATGGAACTATCATTTTATTTAAGGGCATGGTGAAAAAGTAGCAAGATATGGTCTTAAGACATCATCGCTTTATGAGAAGAAACTTTACTCTACCAGAAATTCCATAGAACTTGGTAGACATCTGTTAAAGAAATCAAAATCTTGATAATCAGGGCATCAACCATGATGTTACTCGTATGGCTTTTTGCGGCAGACATGTTTCTGTGCTTTGTTCACGTGGTCTTGGCTTCTTTCTTATTTTAAAGTTAGTTAATATGATGTGTGCTCTTGCTTTTCAGGCTAAACTATGGACTGGACTATAAAGGGAATGTGTGTGGTGACAGACATGCAGATCCTGACCTTCGTGAATTGGAATTCAGATATTGGTTAAATCCCAACCAGGTTTACCAAACTGGTTTGAAAAACAGCCAATTCAAGCTTTCTAATGCACGGGCTATCTGCTTGATGGAATGCCCGATTCCGTCAGAAGATTCATTAAACTGGGTCTGTGATTATCCAGAGGGAGATGTTCGTCTCTCAGTAGATGACTGGATTGACAGGAATTATGATTATTTTGCGGACCTTACTCCTGATTTAAGGAATACATCTCTTCAACTTGAAGGTCCTTGTTATCCGGTTATATATCCAAGTGTGAATGGTAAGATAAGGTTTAGTGTTGTGGATTGTATCAAAAGTTGCTGGAATTGAACTTTTGTCACCTTAATATTTCCAACTACAGGTGTTAATTGAGTCGAGCTACTCAGGCTCGGCTCAGATAAAACTTGGCTCAAGCTCGTGTTCTAAACGAACTAAGCTTAAACAATCTTTTAGGCTCATTCAAAGAGGGCTCGACTCAAGCTCACAAAGGTCAACTTGTTTATATGTAAAATAGTCGAGTTACTCGGGCTCAGCTCGAGTTCGGCTTGGGTTTGGGCTCGGCTCAAGTTCTAAACGAGCGGAACTTGAACAATTTTTTAGGCTCATTTAGAAAAATAAGCTCGCTAGGTTCAGACTCAAGCTTGGTTCGATTAACATCCCTATTTCCAACCGTGAACAGGCTTAATGTCTCTGTAATCTTTTTCTTTTTCAATTGCAGTTTATTGGAGCTGCCAGTTTATTGCTCGTGCATCAAATGTATCATTGAGGCATTGGCAACAAATGGGTGGGGTAAACATCGTTGAGAACATCATCATAGATAAATCAATTCATAGGTCCATCAACTCTCGATCATCAGTGCTAAAGGTTGAGAAAACTTTCAACCTTTCTTCCTTCCCTGTTCTTCATAAGAGTACTCAGAGCAGCATATTATAATGTCTATTACTTAATATACTTTGTTCCTGTAAGTTGGATTTCTGCATTTATTTGTTGTCTAAAATGACATGGCGTCATCTGCCCACTTCAAGCTCTAAATTCTGCTTTGCCCTCTTGGGGAGATCATCTTTCTCATGTTGGCAACAGATGGCATTCTTCTGTTCTTGGATATGAAATGTGTGTAGGTTTTATAAAAACGCATGAGTGCATTGTGTTTGCAAAAAATGGAATTTTCTGACATAACATCACCAAACTCTGTTTTGTGCCTTTTTTTTTCTTTTTAGTTTGGTCCATTGGGTGCTTAGTGTATAATAAAATACTACTGTTGACGTCCCCGGACTCTTCTTCTATACTTTGGTGATAGCAGCACCTACATGAATAGAACAATCTGCTTACCTGAGTAGATTATGTGAAGTCTGTTTAGTAGACATTTTCGTACACAAAGGCTCATTAATGGGTGGCTGCATGCTACTTATGGTAATCAATAATTGTTTTTTTGGAAAAGAGGAGTGCAGAATAAGTTAGTTGCAATCAAATCAGTGATTTTTTTACCAGTTCATTGCGCATATTGCTCATATGTCATTGAAACGCCTATGGCATCGAGTGTTTTAGAGTAGAAACTTACAATTTTAAATTTTGTTTCCAGAGATATGTGGCTGATGTTGGTAAGGCATGGGCTGTACTGATTGTTTGTGGAGGGATTCTGCCTCTATTTCTCTCTGTGATATGGCTTTTGATGATTCGGCATTTTGTTACTGGAATGCCATGGATAACTGTCATCCTCTTTAATGTTCTCATAATATCAGTCACAATGTTATACTACTTAAAAGGTCAGTGGATACCCTCCTGTTGTTTCTCCTTAATGGCTTTTTGCATAACCAAACTTTGGTTTTGTGTATTTGTTTCTGGCCTTTGCAAATTGATCTAGGTCCTGTATGGTTGAAATTCGAACTGTGTAAGGAAAATATTTATGTGCCATGCCTGTCTATGTAATTATGAGCTGTTTTAATCCTGTCTGTGTGTATAAGAGGTCATATGATTCCAGCCTTTAACTAATACCTAGAGAAAAGGATTTATATTGTAGAAACAAAAGCTTTCAGCTTTATGGAACAACATTGACTTTATAAGCTCTAATCTTCTAACTTCCTTTGTAGTAGTTTTTATCATTCTTCATTTGTTTGTGGGTTTTATGCCTTAAGTTACTAGTAAATAAATTCTTTTGTTGGTAAGTAATTATTCGGGGTTATCTGATCCTTTTTTATAATCAAGGAAAAAAAGATCGCAGGACAAAGTCTGCTATGCATATGAAAAAATTTCCAATTCATTTCATACCATGTGAAGCAGAAAGGATCATTTACATGGTCTCACATATGATCATCACTTATCTGTACTCTTAACATTGTGCATGACTATTTATTTGGGAGTGTATGCAATGTCCATCTCATATTACTTGTCAACATCGCACTTACATAGATGGCTGCGTCCCGTGATCTGAATGCCCGTTGTTGACAATATTAGTTTGCATGTATCTGTTGTTATTCCATTTCTTGCATTATTCAAGCCTACACTGCCATCAAAAAACTTGTATGCGAATTTTGATTTTAGAATATCACCAACTACGGTGATGGTACCTTGTAACTTACATAATGGGGGCAGGGAACATAGTCAAGTAGGTATTTAGCATTACTTTCTTGGGTTCTTTTCGCACATCAACTTCTCCTTTGTCAAACCAGCATCACTTCAAAATTCTTGGGTATCTTGTTCTTGTTTGATATACCAACAAATTTGGGTGCGAAGTGATCTCTTGCGCATGATTAAACATGTTGCTACATACAGGAGAAATTTATGGTGATTTTAGTTTGCTTTTCATTGTTTTCAGCTGGATGGATTGGAAACAGTGCTATCTCTCCCATCATTGGTGAGCATGATCCATATTATCACGTATCTGCAAGGGTGAGCTTTGGGCACTAACTGAACTCATTATTATTGGAAGCTGTTTTGCTGCTGTTTGTTCAAAAGTTTGCATCTTTCAGGAGCTAAATCATCTTCATGCTGCTGCTGTTCTCATGACGATTGTAATGATCATTTCCATTCTATCATCTATTGCCATTGTTCGTCGCATCCTTATGGCAACATCTGTCCTCAAGGCAAGTACAATATCTGTTTTTTTTCAGAATGAGATAAGAAATACTAAATGTTTTTCAAATTTGTCAAGGTTCTTCTTGTAAGATTCTCATCAAGATGACCAAATGCTAGGTCTTTCGAGCGCTTGATTTATGACAAGATTTTAAACTTCAGTTTCAATTTGAGCTCCTGTAGAGGTTGGGACTAGTTTAAAAAAGTTTCTCAAATTATATAAGTCAAACTAGAAGTGAAATTGATCAGGTTCTTAGGGCAATGGAAAAATGGGAGTAATATTGGGCACACAGGGGGAGAGCAGTCACTTTCTACCACAGTTGGGGAAGAAAGCAGGAAAAGTTGGCTCCGATTTCAAATCTGTCACCTGAAAAAGCAGCAGTTCAACTGCTTATTAAAAGTTGACTGTGAAACACTACCACCTTGTACATGATAGGGTGGCGAGGAGGATGGATTACCATTTCTTGGTGCCACTTCCCATGTAGGACCTCGTATTAGTATATGGTAAATTTGTGTAAAATGATGTCACATTCTGCATGGGATGGGAAAAATGTGGTGAATGTTCAAAATATTTGTTAAGTTAGAGTCTTAGTCATCTGCATCAGAGGCATCAAATAATACTGTCCTTTCCTACATCTACAACATGTGCTGGCATGAATTTTTATGCTGTTGACCACTGGGGTGCAAAAAATGCCCTTTTACTTGGAGCATCAGATGGATAACATAATGAAATGGGGCATGTTCCAAGGTTAGGCAATCACAACCCTTGGTTTTGATGAAAAATATTTACGTCACGTGATGTAAACTGACCAACTTTCGTTCATGTGGCATGTGGGAATTGATATGTTGCCTTATGTAATCATTCATCACTTAAAGGGGGATTGATATGTTGGCTTATGTAATCATTCATCACTTAAATTGCAGGTTGCTGCCAAGGTCATTGGAGAAGTTCAAGCGCTTATAGTTTTTCCAGTCATACCATACACTGTCTTAGCAATTTTTTATATGATGTGGTTCTCAGCTGCTCTCCATCTTTTCAGTTCTGGTCAGGTTCTCCAAAACGACTGCAACACAAACTGTTGTGCATATGATCTTAAATCGAAACGAGTGGACTGTGATCGTTGCTGCGGTTATAGCATCCACTATACTTCTCATATTGCGGCTGCAATCCTTTTCCATCTGTTTGGATGCTATTGGGTCACACAGTTTTTCAAAGCATGGTCTGCAACTGTGATTGCAGGTTCTGTTGCTTCCTATTATTGGGCTCGTGCTGAAACAACGGTAAATCACTAAGTCACATACATAAATGATGATTATGCACATACAGTTGCATTTTGGGATCACATTAAGTATGGTAATGGAGCCGGTTTGGAACATCCCCATGCTGACCCAGTATAGAGTTGCACCTCTCCACTCCATCCCAAACCTCTGATAGGATGGAATAGGAAAGTCTAATTTTGGTTGAAACAGAAGAAGTTGAACGATGGGGTTTAAAAGCTTTGAACTAACTCTATAAAGAACATCCAACAATTTCATAAGCCCAAAAAATGAACTTTTATTTACCTTGCAATCTCAAAGGCAAAGGACCTAGTTTACATCTGTCCCCTAGCTAAGGAAATGAGCAAGGGTCTGTGCCTTAAGCACTCAGTCAGGTCTGGTTTCCTGTTCATTGTTACTGAAGGGCTTGTGCACAGATTGAAACCTATTGCCCAACTAGAGGCTTTTCATGTTTCTAGATCATATATATCTGTGGCGTTCGCAATTTAAGGTTGTTAAGATTATGCTCTTTGTCAAATCAATTCTTTGTGTTTCTCTTTTGTCATTATATGTCCTACACTTTTGCAAATGCAGCCACAAATTCCATTTCTTCCAGTTTTCTCCTCAATGAAGCGACTTATGCGTTATAACCTTGGGTCTGTGGCTCTTGGGTCTCTTATTGTATCATTTGTTGAGTCCGTACGATTTATACTTGAGGCAGTTCGTCGCAAGCTGAAAATGGCCAATAATATGCCTGAAAGCTGGATTGGAAGGGTGTTCTACTACTCTTCTCGTTGTTGCCTGAGGTGTATTGAATGGACCATCAAATCTGTGAACCGCAATGCCTACATTATGGTAAGCTCTTAAGGCTGGTTTTTGGAAGTATTTTGTGAGTGTATCAAGCATGGCATTGTGTTTGCAGTATTTGCTCCTTTGGTAGGAGAGTACGGTGCATTTTCCAGAACTGCCTTCCACATGGTAGGCAGGCTAGAGAGATTGATTATCTCGTGGAGTGAAACATTGTATTATATGCTTCTTCCTGCCAGTTGTGGCTTTGAAACAATTGGGTGGTGAATGTAGACAGCCACTATGTGTGTATTTTTACGTTTTCTTTTCTTCCAAAGAACATTAATGTGCAAGGAGTAAGATGTTAACATACACACCCATGAATGTATATTCGTTCTTTTTTTATCGGGAAGAGAAAGGATAGGGTTTGATACTTCATGGTTCTTCATGAGTCTCCCTCGTGCTCTCGTTCTTAAATCATTACTTATCAATCTTGCAGATTGCTATAACAGGAAAAAGCTTCTTTAGAGCGTCAGAGATTGCTACAGAATTGATCATCAGTAACATCCTTCGGATAGGGAAGGTGAATGTGATTGGAGATGTTATTCTCTTTCTTGGGAAGCTTTGTGTCAGCCTTTCAAGTGCACTTTTTGCTTTCCTTATGTTGGATGTTCACAAATACTATTCTGCCCATAACAAGATCTCCTCCCCACTATTTCCTGTGCTGGTATGCTTTCTGACATTTTTTTCAGTAGTTGCTCCATAATTTTTTTTAATGACTTGTCTTGAACCAATAAAGTTGTAATTACCATTATCAAGTGCTTCGTTGACAATTATTTGGTGAAAAGCAATTGATAACGTGGACAATCATCATCTAATAAATCTATTGTTCAGAGTTCAAATGCATGCATGTTCACTCATGCTCATGCTCGTGCTCACAAATGTAATTGTGTTGTTTTTTCAAAAATTTAAGATTGTGTTCAGGTGCCCCGAACATAAGCATATATAAATTTGTGGCTCAATTCTTTTCTATTTTGTAAATTTGATGGCTTCTGTTGTGCAGGTATGCTGGGGTCTGGGCTATGTTGTTGCTTCTCTTTTCTTTGCAGTCGTGGAGATGTCAATTGATACTATAATCCTTTCATTCTGTCAGGATTCTGAAGAGCACCAAGGAACAGCACAATATGCTCCTCCCCTTCTCATTGAGACCTTCAGTGATCAAAACGAGATGCAAAGACTTACACAATGACTCTGTTGAACAGCGTCAATGCTTTTTTTTTTTTTTTTTTTCTGTTTTCATGTTTCATATTAGCTTAATGAACCTGAAATATATTGTGATATGTTTTGGTGGTGTTTTGTTACTTCGTTCTCATCTATTTCTGCTTGTTGGTTACACCATTTTTGAATTATCTTACTACCCCATTGTATATATTTTTATGCGAGAAACTCGTAATTTTATGGAACCTTATACCAAGTTTTGCTTGGAATGAACATCAACAATCCTCATGATAAGAGGTCCAAGTCAACTACTCTAAAGGCCATATGCCATAAAGGAATTTCTATTTTCAAGAGAGAATTCAGTGTGACTGAAAAACGGTTGATTGTAAGCTTGACTAAGAAGCACTGGGTATGGGGTTTTGCAAGCAAATATATTGTTGGTTTTCACTATGCAGAAGGGGTAAGAGTATTGGTGGCACCCCAGACTCGTACCCTAATTGAAGGATCCCAATGAAAAGATCCTACTATCACCCCCATAGACCAAGCTGTAGCGACATAAGTTGCCAATTGGTGGGGTGGGTGGGGGGAGCATAAACATACTCTGTAGTACTATGAGATGCAGAAACACTTTCATAATGGGTCAGGTGAAGCTGCCTCGCTTACATTTTCCAATCATTCCAAGTGAAAATAAGGCACTTTCAGTGATGATTTGGAAGGGAAGGAGTTCAAATTTCCCATGGTTGTGTGTGTCTCTCACACACACACACTGCAGATCACCCAAAAAATGATGGATCAGTATGAAATAAGTTTGAACCAAAATGATGCAACCGTGAAGAACTGAATGTGGAAATAAAAAAACACATTTTGTGGTTTCAACATCAACGAAATTTGAATCCCTACATGGCAACATACAATTGGATTGAAAGCGCGATAATATTTTGCCTAAACTTGATCATATAATAGCGCGCACACACATACATATATAACGTGCTTGGGGATATTGCTAGGAGAAATAAGGTTCATTTTGATGCTTCAAGTATCTGCTTGGGTAATGATATCTTTCTTCTACACTAATCATGTCACAACTAACAACCTGCTACAGTGTTGACAGAAAACTTTCAATTTGTTGTCTTCTAATTTTGTTGCTATCATAATAATCACTGTTCATTCTCTTCTGACAGGCATAGAAGATGATCTTGTAAAACCTTCAGGCAGAAAACCCAACGAAACAGTGGAAGAAACAGAAGCAGAGGGCCGAAGAAGAGGTGTACCAGCCCGACTTGCAGTTTCATTAGCAACTCCAGCAGGACTAGCAGTAATGATGGTAGATGGTTGTAATTCGATTTCTCTGCCTGCCCCATGAGCAACTCGAGGACTATCAAGCAACTGGTGATCGTCTTCCTCAACTGATAACACTGTGCTCGTGTCTGTGTGTATAGTTGAATCATCAGTATAAATGCCAAGCCGTCTCTTCCTCCTAGCTGCCTTCCCCCATCCATGGATAGTCTCTCTTATTCTTTGTGGAATTAAGGCTGCTTTGTAGTTTGTTCCCATCTGGAATAGAAACGAAAGTCATTTGATGATAGCAACATGAAAGCTGCGAACCACCTCGTATATAAGTATGGATCAATTCAATGGCCTCACTTATGGAGGTTACAGTTGCGTGCTTACATGCAAGAAGAAAACTTACAGAAAACAAAGAAATTTGGATCTGAAAAAGTGCTTAGGAAGTTCTTTTGCTGAGCACAACAGAATGAAGAGGAATTTGTTAAATCTTCCTACTCGAACAAGAAGTCCTATAGTTTACAACTCTTCTTTATTTAGTAATTCAACCTATTACTCTGCATCCCCCCATCAGTTTACTATGAAGATAAAAATCAGAAGGATTGAACTACCGATTCATTATTTAGAGGTGAATCATAGAACGCCAAAATCAGTGGTATCTTATGGACCTAACATAGGTCACATCCCTCACCGTTAATACAAAATGCTGGAGTAATTTGGGAGGCAGGATGCAACTTAAGTGGATATTGATTTCAGAAAAAGGAGTTCTAAGACTTCAAAATCAAGCAGGCCAAACGAAAGCAAAAACTATGGGGAAGCTCTCAGTCATTGATGCTTGGGAGTTACTTGAAGTTGTGTTAACTCTCTCAGCAAAGAACAGCACATAGTGTCAAACTTCAAAAAGATCAAGAAATTCTGTCAAGGTGGCACACATCATCAGCAACAGGCTTAATCTTTGCAGACGGAGTCAGACAGCTGGGCATGCTGGATCTGATCGTTACACCTCAATCTAGAATAAAAAAGCAATGACGATGGGGAATAGCCTGGTAGCACTAGGACCATCAACCTGCTGTTCGTCGCAGTTTGTAGTTTCCTATCCTCCCTGTTTGTAGTCTCCTATCCTCCCTCTCCCTCTGCATTTCAGTGTTTCACAAGAAAAAATGTATCGAATCACCTTGTCTCCACAAAGAGACAGAGATTCATTCTATTACTCCTTATTTGTTGTATTATAAGACTATCATTCTGTCTAAAGATTTTTGAGTTCAGTGGAGATGCAACACTGTGCAGTTATTAACAGTCTCAAGAGGCATAATTTCAATGTGGATATGCGCATATGCTAGCATAATTGATTAGATTCAAGCAACCTGAATGTTGCCTAGCAGTAGCCAATTCATTTTACTAGGAAGTGTGTAATACGAACGAATTTGGTGGCGAGGTGCATAAATAAACACAACCATTCCATTAATCATCATGCTCCAACTCGTGCATCAAATCTAAAGCAGAAAATGTAGAAGATGAAAAATGAACCTCAAGTAAAAGAACGAACATGTTACATCTTGACCGCCTCAAAAAGTTCACCACCATGTAGTTCCAAATTTGCAACTAGTAAAACTGGATCATGTTCACAGTTTAACAGGCACAAACATGTTCACACACTAATTAATTCCATGGTATCGGGGTATTTGACAATACTGCCAATATTAGCTGAAATCTTACCTGAGTAACTAGTGCGTATAAAGGCAAGGTGCTATAGCTGCATAAGAACTGTCCAGCAAACCTGGATGGTGGAAAGTTAGAAACTGAAGTCTGAGGCACATCTCTCAAGATGGCTTGCAATTGATTTTCAACTGGTAGAAAAATATGGACATAAGATAAAATCTTTATGCATTTTAAACATACCCCAAAATTAGGCGAAAATACATCAGCATATGGTTGTTGATAAAGCATGAATTATACCCAAATTGCCACTGTAACAACCACAACTTAGTTAAAAATCACATATCTCAAATCTGGTATATAAAGGAAAAACATATTTTATTTTTCCCTGTTCAGTAAAATAATTTCATTTAAAAATGTTTGCCATCAGCTTAGTCAGTCACATTAATCTCCAATTATTTCAAATATGACCAAGAATTTAGGGGTTGAAATTGTTTTTGTTTTCCACCTTGAAGATTTATAACTTATTTGGCAAAATATATGAGGAAGATAAAATCTCTCTCAACATTGGGTGTCTGACAATGGTAAACTTTCAATCCTAAATTCGTAGAGAGAATGAAGTAGTCATAGAAAAGGACATACCCAGAACCAAAAAAATGAAGCCAGCTCAAACGAATTCTGCCAAAGGGTTCAACATGGAAAAAAGAGGCATATCAATATTGAAACTTTACACCGGAAACTACATCATTTTTTGCTAGGCCACTGCAAATTTATCACTATGAAAACGATAATGTCTCCCAGCAACTACATTACAATAAACATGGCCAACCTGGAAAAGGATAAAATGGATTAAGTACAACAACAACTCTGGCTTCTTAAACCAAAAAAGTTCATCTCGGGGCTTTAACTTTGATCCTGGAAAGAATCCAGTTATACAAGCACTCTCCAATGCAAGGGTTGCAATAACATGTTGCAGTTTTGCGCCCACAGTTAGAACAAGCTGCATGGAAACATAAGGTATCAGAAGAAAATAATACTAGAAAAACACAGTAGGACCCCCAAATTTCTCTTTCCCCAATTTGTTTTGGTGGTATCTCCACAAAAGAGGGAACCAAAAGAGAGTGAGAAAGACATTGAAATTTGGATTCCACCCCCGGGTAATTTGAGAAAAATACAGACTTGATCTGAATAGTTTTCCATTTACTATTTCATCTTTTCTCTGAGAAGAAAAGAAGTCAAAAAATGCACACTACGCTTTTCTAGATGCATAGATAACGCCAATCAGGGATGTTATCAGGCGAAAAAACTTACAGTGACAGGAATTATCGCTATCCAGAAATAGAGATTAGACCCTGTAAGTGAGGAATAAAATTCAATAAATCATGAGTGGAAGTTCACAAAATCAAGTTTAATCTAATCGTACAACAGTCAACAGGTAGGGAAGTCAAGATAGGATAGTGCAAGCAGTATTATCAGTGAACCTTATCACTGTAGTCAAAGTGATGTGCAGGTAAATTAACCCACAAGTATGGAGAGAGATGGAAATAAAAACATAAGAAGTACATTTACCCAAGCCTGTAACTAGCCCAAACAAGCATCAAAATAGTGTTAATAGTCTTTTGTATGCAGTAACATGCCATACCTTTCACATTAAACAGCATAAAAGCCACAACAAATCCCCAGAGTGGGCCACTGCAAGAGATCCCATAAATAGATGTCAGAAACTTCTACAGAAATCCAATTGTTGAAACCAATAATGACTCCTAAGGAAAGAATTGTGGTTTCTGCACAAAACTAAACTAGATTCAGAAATAGGAAATCCAAGACTAACAGTAGTAAATTACACAGCTTTTGCGGGAATGCCGGGTGCCCCAGGAGACGGGCAGAAGGGAAAAATTAGAACTTCAAGATAAAGGTAAATCAAAGGAAACAGGCAGATAAACAGGAAAACAGGAAAACAAAGGAAGACTACAATTGCTGTGGCGCCTGGTCCCACTGTTCAGCTAGTGTCAGCTTCAATCAATTTCATATAGTTTCGTAATTATACCAACGAGTTCGCAGCTTGCTTTAGCCTTGACACATATGGAATAGACATTGTTGGAAGGTAATTTACGCATAATTTTTTGTTCTGAGGTCATATATTTATCATCCGCATTAATAAAGTCAGCTATTTCTGATGACTTTGTTTCTTACCTCACCCCCACTATCCTTTGAAATTCTTCTTCCATAGAACGAATCATATAGCTGTGAAAATCATATTTTGATGAAAGGTTGTGGTTCTGCCATGAATAAGAAAAAAAAGATATGTAAACCATGATTTAACAGTAGCAATATTGTGATAACGAATAAATCAGCAGAATTAGAGTCCGAGATGTAAAATACGTGAATAGTGCAAACAATGGCAAAGGCATGAATGAAAACCATATTTGAAGCACAGCGGTTAAATTTTTGGTATGGACACAAGAATCTTCCTTCATACATTTGACCAAGTACAGTTCTGAATGATAACATCAGCCAACCACCATATAATTTTACTGACTAGCATATAATTTATGCAAATCTGGATCTCTACTTGGAGATGTGGATGTGTGCAGAGCAACTCGCATGGATTCATCTAGCTGATTGTTGTGCTGTAGAAGTAGAATCTAGACTTCGGCCCATAGTTTGAATTCAGCAAGTACCATCCTTTTGAGGTTCTTTCCTATTTGTAACCCTACCTCCTTTTTATCCTTTGGTTAAAAGCTTGAATAACTCCGTGGATATTTTTTATTAAGGTCAGTTGTAACATTGGATGGATCATGATAGCAAAAGTAAAAGCCTTAAAGCCACTATTTTTTTTCCCATTTGAGGCAATATCCTCTTCTTTGAATTCTCATGGCCTGACCTTCTTCGAGTGTTCAACTTCTTTGGTTTATCAGAAAGCAATGTGTGGATCCTGATTGCTTTGACTTGTTGTTCTATTTGGTATATTCAGTAGTTTGACCTCTTTGCTTTTATCTTTCTTGCAAGATTTCATCTGCAGAAGTAGTGTGACCTGGCAGATTGTGTTCACTTCATGCTCTCCAGATTATTTAATTCTGATGTTCACACAATATAAGAAAATAAGAAGAAACATCCTATGCTAGGTGAGAGCTCTGAAAAGGACTGGCGAGTGGACCTAGGTTAGTCCATCAGTTGAGTATGGGTGAGGCACCCTCATTTTTTAATCTTCCAAGTTTGACCTAGTATTGGGATTATGCAAAAAGTTGGTGCTTGACTATGTAAAGGGTGTTCATGAGATCCTATCCTATAATTAAAATGGCGATCAACATAGAAGTCCAAGACCATATTGCACACTGAAAATGCAGCCAGAGTTCTTTGTTGCAAACTAGTGGATACCCAACAATTAACGTAGGGCAACTGTAGAAACATGAGACACTGAAAGATTAAAAAGGCCATTTTAACTACTATTATCCTGCTTAGAGTGGGTGTTGGGGAGTGAAGATTGGATTAACACCTAACTCTTAACGTATTTTTGCACCGAGTGGCTGCTGTTAGACTTGAACCAGCATTTTGGCTGTTGAACAGTCCAAGCATCTACCAGAGGCATCAAACATTGACCCCTAAGTTGGAAAACTAAAAATACTAAGGTAGTGGTTGCACAAGAAATGTCATAGATTGAAAGCAAACATGTGCACGGGTTGCGTCCCCATGGTGCTTTTAGTAAATTTTCTTACTTACCAAAAATTAAATATATGTAAGCTGTCATTATCCCTTCAGTTTAGTAAATTTCCTTGTTGCTAGGCTAAATTAGGATTAGCTCACATAGCAATGAATCTTGTTTCTTGTTCTCATAAACTTTTCCTTCATAATAGTTATGAGATCTGAAAAGATTAAAATCCTACAGTCCTGCATATCTATTATGCAAATGGAAAAGGGTTTTGAGAACGTATCATCTAAAAGGGAAAAGACCAGGCTTTAACTTTTGCTACTTTTGTGAATTTTATAACCGTTTTCTCCATTTGATCCCAACCCCCTTCCCGGAGTGCAAATCAATGCCAACAAACGTGAATGTAAAAAATTTAGGGATATATGATATGAGAATTGAAGAAGATGACAAATAATAAATACAACTCTCACATGATGCAAGTTTATTAAAAGAAAGCATTTTGTTAAAACTAGGAGTACTTCCATAAATAAAATCAGAAGGTGGTGCATTCTTCCTATCACCCCAACATTACATACAGTGATAAAGCCCTTGCGTAGTGTAAGGTAATCAGCGCGGACCACCGAACGCCCAAATTGACGGAAGAAACAGATCTGCAATTTAGCAATTTAACTTTAGAGGAAACAGCATACCGAATGGAGATATACATTGATAAAATTGATGCTGCAACAACATTTTTTTATGGAAGGTACTCTCAATTGAAATACACCAATAGAAAGAGGGGTGGGGCTAGACTATTAATATGCTAATAAAATAGATAAACAATTTGCATAAACCTGAAGAGAAAAACTAGTGCACACTTATACTCTCGTACCTTTGGTTTTTTGAATGCCATAATCTCATAAAACTAAATGCTTGTAGTTCAATATGATGGCATTTTTTTCCTATTCAATTTTGAAGACATCCTACTGAAACTGTTCATCCCCACAAATGCTCCCCAAAATGTAGGATGAGCAGGGAGCTAAGAAGAACAGAACAAATTCTGATAGCAGAAATGCCAAATCCTTCTAATACTATTAGAGCCTCGTCAAGGGAGAAAAATTGGAAAAAGCCAAACAAGCCGAACACAAATGAGAGATTCATGCGCAAAGGAGTGTATGACTCACTCTTACATGCAACTATGCAAGTACTTGTCAGCGCATCACCCTTAATGGAGAAGAATTTGCCAATAAAAGTGTATGACCAAAAGCCCCCTTAGGAGCAAAAGAGTTGGGCTTAATACCTTGAGTTGAGAGGGAAATCTAGTTGCCTTAATTCAAAACAAGATTGATACAGATCAAATGCTAATGTATCCTAGTCTCTCAAAATGCTAGAGGGGGAGTCACCAAGTCCTGCAGGTCGTGAAAATATTCTCCTTCAATATCCAGATAAGATCGGTTTGAATCCTAAGCAACTATCTTCAGAGTATAACTCCAGAAGCCTTGATCAATGAAACACTTTTTACCGCACTAGACTCACTATAGGAATGTGCCTATGAAGTACCATGACCAATGATAGTTAAAACCCAAAATGTAAAGGTTCTGACTTCAGCTTAGAGTAAGAACATGGTCACTCTAACAGACGAACTTGATAGAATTTGATGGAAGTTTAGATCCATGGCCAAAGACCTCTTAGCTTCATTTATAGTTCCCTAATAATATTTACAACAAACTTGTCCAACTCTAAGCTGCATTATGATTATAACAATGGAAAAATGATTGAAACAAGAAGTTGTGAAGGAGACGGGAACAAATTTTGGGAGCAATGCCTAGAAAAATCCCAACTACCAGCCGAATAATGTGAAATGCCCATATTGCTCCCCAGAATCCAGCAATGTGAAAATACCAAGTATTCTACAGGTATAGAAATATATTCCCGTACATGAATCCTTTGAACCAGGAATCAACAGAATTTTGGGCAACATGTCATTAGAAAGGTCTTGGTTTCCCTCAAAATTTCAACATTCCACTTATGCATGGCAAAAAGGGACAAAATTGAGAAAAAGGGGAAAAAATATCATTCGCCTCATTTGATTCAATAAAGCAGCACAAAATTCATGAAACACGGGGAGAAAAAGGTAGATATATGCCAAGTCTTTTATGTTGACTTAAGCCTATATGCTCTAAGCTAATTTGCTAAGCCTTGATGAAGTAACTGGAACAGAACAAGAATTGTGATAGGCTGTTGTGACTTTAATAATACATCAGACAACAGTTTCCTCTATTACGGCTGACGTAAGAAGCATCTAGGTTTAAGTGCATATTAGAACAAAGTGAAGTGTGATGCAATCCCAATAAGAAAACCAGCCTTGTAAAATGTTGTTAAGGTATTACTCAGGGTTTCCCCTTGTGCACTTCCGCAAGCAAATGGATAACATGTGCAACTTCTTCAATGAAAAAAAACAACTATGCCACGCCAAAGTAAAAAGTAAAGCTAGCTACATAAATGCAGCACGATAGTAGCATACATACCACCCAAATAAGAAGTCTATTCTTGACCATAGGATTTGACATATGAAAGTTGACAAAGGTTGATTGCCTTCGCATTGTCTTCTGTCTTGTGATTTCTGTTGTAGAAACAAGTTCAGTGTTAGTCAGGCTTATCTCTAACAAATAATGACTGCAGATATACTAGTGAAGGAGGATCTGGAAAATGTATACACTTTTAAGGTACTCATCAACTCATCATGGTCCTCAAATTTACATAATCATGATAGACTTCTCTGAAAGAAAGATAGCAAAAAGAACTGTCGATTCCAAACCAAATTAAAAAGATCAACAAAAATAATGGATGCCTAGAAATTATTCCATGTTCCTGTAGTTAAGAATTGGTTTGCACATATTCATAATGAGTTTCCGATATGGAGGTGTGTTGGGCCATGACCACAACCAGTCAAATTGAAATTTGCAAAATCATTCACAAGTTTATATAGGAAGGACAGCTGAAGTTCATGACAGGGTGGAACAAGCATCATGAAACTAGAACAACCACCAAGTAAAAGTCTAACAACACAATGAAGACCAGTGTTGTAGCTATCTGCATTAGGAAAAATATATTTCAAGAAATAAATGTACAAACTAGTGTAATGTGACTAATGTCCTGGCCAAGCATTGTACAATATTGTCCGCTGTGGCCTAGGCCTTCACTGCTCTAAAACACAAAAAAAAAATGAAGGTTCAACACTCGCACATATTAAACATTTTAGACATACTTCACCAAGCGATATGAGAAAAAAATACATGGACTTGGTACCATCACTTCATTTAATCCATCTTGGCCCCAAGCCTCATGAGTCTTGGCTCTTGATTTTGGGTTCACCACAACTAGGTATGGATAAGAAATTTTTTTATTATCCGAAATTCGAAGTGGTAGAGCAAGAAATATGGAATCCTGATAGCACAGAATTCACTGGCATTGAAATTGTTATTAAAACAAAAAAGGCCAGTAAGTTTTTGATTCATCCTGCATCATAGGCCACCGACGTCCCTGACCTAGGACATTTTCTCATTGTTAACATTCAATAGACCATAAGAAACACAAAAAGGACTCCAACAAATGAAATCCTTCTCGATCAATGTCTTTACAGGCCATTGAACTATAAGCTTTCAGACAAACTCAGGGTACTTTTCACATACCAAACCTAACCAAGAAGAAGATTGCATCATGAAGATAAGTAATTTGAAGATTGAACTATACATAATATTGTCCAACATTAGTACATTACCTGTTACACTGGTTGGACCCCCTAACTTTTTAACAAAGTCTATATTACCAAAAAACACTTTTTAACAAAGTTCAATCCCTTCTTAATCCTCTGTACCTCCCTTCCACCTCCACCTTCCTTAAAAGACCAGCACAGGTAAACCATTACATAAGGGTCACTGAAGATTGTTTCATATTTGCAGCTGCCAACTGTGGGAGCATTAAGCTTTGATCTATGCCTAGGTTTCCATTTCTTGAATATAGTAGCATCTCACTTTCTAGAATCTTTACACACTGAACACAAATATTCTATCTACTTAGATGCATCCATTCCTTTTTTGACGTGTGAATGAACTGTTGATAGTTGTGGCCTCAAAAATCAAGCCCAAATGGCACTGTAGGTATTTCCAAAGATACCGTAGTGGTAAATTTATGCCTCTTCTAGGCTAACTGACCTATTTGCTGTTCATTAGTGGCTTTGGGTGCATAGGTTGAAAAAATCTTTGTTATGGCACAAAACTCTGCCAATGAAGATTGTTGGTAATTTGGAAAGTGTTTTTTTGATTTGATTGTTACCTTTGTTTTGTTTCACCATTACTCGCTTGTATCTTGTTCTTGGCACATTCATTTTAGCCCTTCATGGCGATCTCTTCTGTTATCATTTATTTCCCCTTAAAATTGATTTCTAACGAAAAATAAATAAATGTCTACAAAATCCATGAAATGCCAGTTAAAGCTCACCAGTCAATGAATCGTGCCGGTCCATATGAGCTTCATCTTCCCATACCCTCCAGCTGTGGATCTGGCCAGATTATTACATGTCAAACATTAAGCCAAAATAAACATATTCTGTTTTCAATTTTTTTCAGTTGAAGTCCAGACATAGAAGTTTAGTCCTTCAAAATCTGACCATGCTACTGGAAATAATGAAGACATAACAGATCAATACAATTTCATCTATTCAGGGGGTAACATGGAATGGCATCTATGGAGCATAAAAAAATCTGGGCAGCCCATTATTCATTCTAATTCCACATTGACTGTATGCAATGCACAAGGCTCCTGCATATAGTTCATATTCATCTACTTTCACATAGAAGGGCCGAATTTTAGTAAAACACATATAAATTGAGCACTAATTTGTAGGCAACATATAAACTTGAAAATGTAACTACAGCATGGACTCATACAGTCAGCACTTGAACAAGAGGAAAGAAAACAGTAAAGAAAGAACAAAAATTTTTTTGAACAAAAAAGAAAGAACAAAAATTACTCCACATAGAGTTTGAGGCAACCTTTGACAAATGGAAAAACATTTTAGGCACAACAAAAGAACATTTAACGCTTGTAACATGGTCTCTATTGCATACTAGAAACTCCCTTTTTTAAGGTTCTTTATGGGAGGTCAACAATTTGCTTGTTCTTACAGCAACAAATATGTAATTTCACCTTCAGTTTTACTCAAATAGCATCAATTATCTGTAGAAATGGTAGAAAGCTTCAAATCCATATCACTCTGTTTAGTGAAGGTAAGTCATACACACTGATACATAACATTATCTAGAACCTGTTTTTGACCTCACAAAATGCAATCAGCCGCCTGGAAAGTGGGAACAGCAAGATAAGACATTGTTGGATGGCATGATGGAAATCAGACAAAAACAAAACACATATGCTACCTTATTACTATGAACAATAATATTTGCAAACATCATTTACCTAAAAAAATAATATTTGCAAACATCTTAGTTAAGTGATTCAACTCCAATAAAATATTTTACCTTCACAATTGCCAGCAACATTGTTAAGCAGCTGTAAGATACATGCGTAACTGCCATGACAAAGATGAATCGGTGCAGTTGCTCAAGACCTTCGTACGATAAGAATGGCTCATTACCCTGTGTGACAGAATAAAATTTAAAATTCCTTGATCAATTCAGAGGCAAGCACAAAATTTTCAGATAAGAAGCTGCCTACATAATATTGAAGATGGAATGTTACATAGTTATCCAGTAATTTTACAGGGATAAGTGACGTGCCTCTTTGCAGGTATTCTGATTTAAGCCATTCAACACTCTCCTAAATGAGTAAGGGCGAGTAAAAGTGGCAAAAAGTTTACGCTCCTTGGAAGAACTCTTATCCATTTCGCCGTCAATCTCAGACCTGCTACATGGGGCAAATGTACTACCATAGAACTTTGATGGGATGCAAATATTTGATATAATGCTTGAGGTAGCTGTAAGAAATAGGGATATGAAGCCAAGCAGCATTAACTCTGCATATGAAATCCAAATAATGAAGCAAAAATATGAGAATAATGAAAAGATACAAGCTTTCATGGTGTTCATATTTTGCATTTTTCTGAGAGGTTGCTTCTTAAAACTAATGCCAGCTACCTTCTTTCATTTTCTCTACAGCAGCAAGCAAAGGTTTTCGATTAGTCTTCCGCAACCACTGAAATGATGGAAAGCATAACTCATCAGAACAAACTCAAAACCCTTAGAGCTTTGTCTCTTCTACTGGCATCGCAGTGAAACAATTTAAACTAGGAATGCAGTGAACATATTAGGGCAAGACCAAAAAAGTTTGAAAACAGAAGGTTAACTATTGTATTTCACTAGTACTTGAGTTCATGACATTAACTTTACCCAAACACAATGCACATGTTTTTTGGTATGAAATCAAACACAAGACCACCTTCGCTCAAAGGATTGTTGATGCAAAAATCCTTCAAAAATGAAAAAATCCCCACAAATAAACTCATAACGAATGCCTTCTGGCAATAATTTGTAACAAAGCTGCCCAAAAAGTCTAAGGCAATGTAAGGTCATGAACAGTAACGACTTCAAGACAAAAAGACTACATTCGGACCTCATAAAAAAAAAAAACTATAATATATGAAAACCAACATGTAGGGAGCTCCACATGATTCTTGATCCTTTGCAATAAAGCAAGTTTAAGCATATTAAACATTAATAAAAGTAGAAAAAAAAATACAACAAAACCCAACAAAAATGGCATAAAATATATACCAAAATTAACTTACATAACTTAGGCGGTGAATTGATCGCTCCACAAGCAAGGAAACGACGACAAAGATCGTTAACACAACAGCAACAGACCACGTTGGTGTCAAAGCCAAAGATCTTGTTTCCTTTACAGTTTCTGACATTTTTAACCATATAGAAATATATTTACTCAGAAATCTAACCCAAATATTCCTGAATCGAAGAAGTCTTCACAAACTTTCTCTAGGTGATTGAGCCAAGATTGACCAAGTTACATAAACACAAATCTCAACTTTTCCCCCCACAACGAGCCTACATAGTAAGAGAAGCTAGTGAACTTGTAGTCCCTGATTTAAGTATCAATGACATAAGGGTCTGCTAAAGAAATCTACAACTTTTGCTATTCTTCAGTGTTTCGTCTCTCTAAAGTTGGACATTTTAGAACCCTAGTACCATACATTCTTGCAATTTGGGCATCAGCATTGAATTGGAGATGGAGATTTTAAGCTGCAGTCTTGATTGCCAAACCGAAGAAAACCGTCAAACAAGAAATGGCGTTTCCTTAGCGTCCAAAAGTCGACTTAACTGTACACCAGTAGACCTCAAAGAACAACTCGTTCCCAAACGACCCACAACTTCTTCTAGTGCAAAGCTCGAACACAAATCTACTCCTTTGAATGTGGAATCACACTGATTCTTTAGCGATTCCAAGTGTTGCACAACAGCTCCCTCTCTCTCTCTCTCTCTCTCACACACACACACACACGCACACGAGCGAAGTGATGTGTGCTGGAGTGAAACAACCAAAATGATTTTGTGCAATTTCCTGGGATTTCACCCGTCTTTTTTTTATTCCCAGAAAAGATTCTCTCTCTCTCTCTCTCTCTGGTGGGGTCGCTTGGCACTGATTCACGACATGTGACATTACAATGTACCTTCCCCAGCAGAAACACCTCTCTCTCTCTCTCTCTCTCTCTCTCGTGTGTGTAACGAGGAGAGAGTTTAATACCAGAGGGCTCGAGGAGACGGTGACTACACCGAAAACGTAGAACACGACGTCGCATTGTCTAGCATTGTAGACGACGTCGGTTCATGTCTCATACACTGAACATCAATGTTGAAGTGTGGTTGGTTAGTAATCGAGCCGAGTCTCTCGAGTTTATTTAGGTAAAAGAGCTTAAAAAATTATTTAAACTCAGGTTTATTTAGAAAATAAGTTAAATTTAAATTGAGTCGAACTCAAGTTAAGTTCAAGTAACTTGACTATTTTATATATAAATAAGTCAAATTTTGTGAACTCGAGTCGAACCTGAAAAATAATTTTAAAAAATTATTTATACCTAATTCGTTTAGAACTCAAGATGAGCTTAAATCGCGTTCTATTCGAGTCAAACACTTCAATCAAAAAATTTAACTAAGAAGCATTAGAGGAGGGATCTACCTCCTTTGTTATTATTTTTTAACAGAAAATATGATATTACTCAAAATGATGCTATTTTAATTAATAATTATGCAAAACAACGTTATTTTAATCAATACCTATACCGTTAATTTTCCAACCAGAGAGAATCCTCGCTCTTAAAGGAGAGCAATGTTAGGTTTTTCACATATTTTTCATCATTAATTAAGTCTAAGAAAAATACGAGGCCGAATTAATAATTACTAATGCATTTTTAATCTAATGATATTTTTTATTGTAAAATCTGTTTTTTTGAGTTCAAGGATTCCAACCCCATTTCCCCTCACTCTCTCACACTCCCACTCCCACTCCCAAAAAAAATAAAAATATTCAAGTTTATTATTTCGAATATCTTGATAAATGATACATTATCCTATATATTCAACAAAGGAGTTGAACCCAATGCACAAAGTTTCAATCTCTTGCATGCTCTGAAAGATATAAGTGATAAGCCGTGTGAATATTTTTTTATAGAATTTAATTTCCGAACTCGAACATCTAATTTTATATATAATTATTTTTCCACATTGTATTCTTGGTATTTGGAGACCATTTAGGTAGCAGGAAGAACAACATAATTGTTGTGGAGTTTGGTCCCTCCCAAGCTCATATCCAATAAACAAAACATCCATTGAAGGCAACAAGCAACTAATTAAAACAATGTCCTAATCAAGAGGTCAAGTTGCCTAAATGTGCATGGTGCCCAACTTGCTCTGCATGCAATTTTGTAGATCCACAATACAATAATTAACAGTGTTTAAGCAATCTGATCAACAGGTACAATATATATATATATAGAGAGAGAGAGAGAGAGAGAGATCAAGAACTTCCATGACAGATCTGCAGATCAGTTTGCTCAGAGGATCTGAATTGAAGAAGTGAGCAGCCAGCAAACTCCACTTGATAAGTAGACTTACAGATAAGATGCATATATAAAAACACACACACACTGACACACACTTGATCAGATTTTCTCTCTCATCATTATTTTGCCAGTGTGTTGTTTAAGGTACCTATTTATGTGTGTTCCACTGTGCTATCAGATTCTCAGTTCATTTCCACTATGGTTTTTTGTTCTTCCAGCATAAAATGAGACATTTTGAAACAATAACCCCAAGGGACAGCATACTTTGAGTGGTAACTGAAACAAATCGTAAATTTATACGATTTGAATTTGAATCTTAGTAATTCAGTAAAACCCATCGTGATTGGTCTGTCTTTTACCAGACTGAAGAAAAGATTAGTCAAGAAACACGTAAATTAATTAATTTATTACTTTAATTTTTAACCAATTATAAGAAAGAGCTTAGAATTTTTTTTCAAAATTAGCGATTTGTTAGGAACCTTTAACAAACTCTTTTGAGTGGAAATAAATATTACTTAAGAAGAAATAACTTTGTGGGCTTCAAAGCCTCTATTTTATTCATTTCTATATATATCCGAAACTAATTTTTATAACTAATTTACACGTTATTTAAGAATTTTAAAAAAATAATGTGTGACGTTCGGGTGATTATGGTTACTAATAAAAAATAAAAATAAAAGAGGAAAAAAAATAATAAAATCTGACATTTGACTGAGTTGAGTGCTTGGACAAAACGAAATTGACTGGTGTATGAAAGCTTATTGTGCTCCGGTCATCAAGGAGGGATTGACGAACCGGCCGAACAGGAGATCTAATCAACGGTCAAAATGAAATTCATTTTCCTGGCAACTTGCCATAGACGAGGAAGTATTTTCAAGATAATGTTTTTTGACCGTTGGTCTCTGGTTTGGACAAGTCTTTGATATTTTCAAAATAATGTTTTTTGACAGTTGGTCTTTTGAATCGAATTTTAATAAATAAAAAAATATAAATTTTAATCAACTCGAAGAGAATTTTAATCGGGACTAACATCTCAAGTAGAGCTCAAATTGACTCGAATTTTAATACTTAAAAAGATTTTTAATAGCCTCGAATTTTATTACGTAAAAAAATAATATTTAATCAATTAAAATCAAATTTTAGTTGATTCAAATTTTAATAAGTAGAAAAAAAATTAATCAACTTAATAGGTAGAAAAATAAATTTTAAGTGACTCAAATTTTATGTAAAAAGATTGTTTAAGGTTTATATAGGGACAAATTTGATATTTTAAATAATATATTTTTATTATAAATAGTAGTTTAATAGTAAGGAATATCAGTGATATTTTTTATATTAGAGATAAAAATATGATAAATTAAAAGGAGTATAACTAAAATTTTTCTAAATTATAAAAAAAAAACTCGTTAAAGTAGTAAAATTAACCGGAACAGTATGGAAAAAACAAATCCGGTTCCTTAGTCAAGTCCAAGTCCCTCCGGTTGTTTCACTCGTCCATGACTATTTTGTTGTCACTTCCCACCAGTTCTTCAATCAATCTAGAAAATAGTCTCGGAGGCCACGTGTTTTTCTAATGCTCCGTTTAATACGATGAAAAGATAAAAAATTAAAAAGATAAATAAACATCATGTTTAATAAGGAAGAAAAATGAGAAGAAAAAAAAAGTTGATGAATTAATTTTCCTTTCAACTCAGCAAAATCAATTCTTCTAAAATCGGAAGAAAAATGAATGAAAAGTTAATTATTTGTGTTGAAATATATCTTATTTATCTATATATTTTTTAATATATACATATATTATGTATACATTAATTTTATATAAAAATACAATAATAAAATATGTATTTATTAAAAATTAAAAAAAATTTAAAAATTTAATTTTTCCAGCTTAGCAAGGGGTAAAAATTTTCGATTCAACACGATAACACGACTCGAACTCGACACGAATTTGATCATATCTCGACATGAACTTAAAAGTGACATAACTTAACACGAATCTGACACGATTCGATTGTCACCCCTAATCTTAGCCAACACAAAAAAATAATTAGTCATTTTTTTTTTTATCCATCCAATCAAATATAAATAAAAATATATATATTGCTCCTACTTTTTAACCTTCTTACCAAACGGAACATAACCCAAATCGTCGCTTTCATGACTTGGAAATGGAGTATGTATGGCTTGATGACCAATGGCCCTTGGATGCATGCATGGTGCAATTTGTTGGTTTGATGGTAGGCCAAAGGGCCCGGATAATTGATATCCATCAAATAAGGTAACTAACACTCTGGATTTTATTCCCATATTTTTTTTGATCATTTACATCGATCACTCATTTTTGTATCAATTATTTAATTTTTAATTAATTTATAACTCAGTATAATTATTTAATTTTTTCATTACGATAGTGTACCTATTATTTTTTTAGCACTGTTATTAGGATATAATTCACTGTGATATTTGAATTCATTGTAGGTCCCATCAAATATTAAAATTTGATGTTGATCCAATAATTCCTATAAAATTACATCATTATGTCAGCAAATTAAGTCCGATTTTTATATTCAAATAGTATTACGCTTATTTTTTTTAAAAAAAATAATGGGTAAAAATTATGTAATTAAAGAAAGAGAATGAAAAATATTACTATTTAATATAGTGGAATTATTTTTTGAATACTCAGATTTTATGTTGTATCATGCCTTCAGGCATGAGTTATGACTAGGGCTGATAATTGAACTAACCTACTCTAATTCGACTCGAGCTCAGCTCGAGCCGAACTTGAATAATTTTTTAGATTCGTTTAGAAAACGAGTCTAAAAAACTCGACTCGTTTATATGTAAAATAGTCGAACCATTCGGACTTGACTTAAGTTCAGCTTGTTTTGGGCTCGGTTCAAGTTCGACTCATTTTTTAAACAAGTCGAACTTGAACAATTTTTTAGACTCGTTTAAAAAAATTGAGTTTAACAAGTTTTACTCGACCTCGTAAAACTCAACTCAATTATCGATCTTAGTTATAATTAATAATGTAAAATTACATACCAAAAAAAGGCTTAGTTATTGTATTTATTCACCTGTCAGCTGTTACATTGCCTTAAAGTGATGTCACTATTATATTCAATGTTTTGTCCACTAAAGGAGGAGGGTGAGGAGGAGCCATCAATTTTTATCCTGTCAACATTGCCTTAGCACACGGAAATTGAATCTTAGTATCAGTGAACTCATATTGGAAAAATCTCTTGTGATATTGGATTTGATTTTAGGCACGACACACAAATTCGATACAAAGTAAACATAGAATCAACAAGTTTAGGCTTCTTTTTAGCGAGGAAGGATGATAAGGGGCTAAATCCGTGAGACTCATCAAATAAATGATTTGGTACTGTTGGAAAAAAAAAACATAATTTATCTCAAAAGTTGTTGAAGTTGATCTACAAGAAAAACAAGTAAAGTACGATAAGGTTGAGGCGCAAATTATGTCACACCTCTCTTTAAGACAGTTCACACCTCTACAAGTGAGTTCACCGGTGTAATATGTCATAACACGCCAACTTATAAGACACAACAACCCAACTACTCATAGTAATGTCTTTAAGTCTGTACTACTCAAAGAAGTAGAAGTTCACACACGCACACCTTACTTTGACCAAAATAATATAAGAACAAGAAAGAAATGGATAAAATAGTAATTCAGGATGACAAATGACCACAATTCCAGACCGATGCAAGAAAGTAGTAAAAAAGTATGGGTATTTTATCTCCGGTCAAAGATTAAAAGAAGAAAGAATATGACTTTATCCACAAACCCTAAAAAATTAGTGAGAGACAACCCACCCATACCTTTAATAATCGAGCAAAAGTTACCTCTCTTTCACACTTTCTCTCCCCATGAATGATATTCTAATAAGAAAAGAAAAGAAAAGTCATTGTCCTGAAAGCAAAAGATAGAATATACATAGTACACAAATAGGAGAAAATGCTATGCTGATTAAACTTATATCGTAGAAAAGTTTACTAAATGAATGTGAATTGGTTAGATACGTAGTCAAGTCAAAAAAAGTTAACAAAATCTATTGATCCAACCATCCACGTTAATTTGATAAAATTTTTCGGTAAAAATTTTTACTAAGCATAACATTAATCATAAATAATCGTTGTTTACAAAAATAAAAATAAAAATTGTTATTGAACTCAACAAAATCTTATCTCATTTACATAGTAAGATGAGCTATACGAATCATATTCCTCCTTTCTTCAAAAAAAAAAATCATATTCCTCCACTGTACTCTAAAAATGCAATTTTTTTTTCTAAAGATTGCTACAATTTGGAACAAAATAATTGACCTAATTTGTTAACAAAATAAATAAAATGTTGTCGTCGATGATCAGAGACAAATATGTTGAGATAAAAGATAAAATTTAAAATAAAGACATTAAGCGAGACGAACTACTCGAACTTAGCTAAGATAGAACTCAGCTTAAGCTCAATTTATGTTCTAAATGTACCAAACTTGCACAATTTTTTAGATTCATTTTTTAAATTTAACTTACTTATAAATAAAATAATTTAACTACTCGAGTTCGGCTGAGTACAATGTGCAGTTGAAGACAAGAGGGCCTCAAACTCATTATGAGATTAGACACAAACCTTAGCACAACTCACACCCAGCAATCCAAAGTCTAACCACCGGTTCTGTTCGTTGTATCTGCCAGACTTCAGCAATGGGTCCGGCAGCTTAATTGAATGCACATGGAAAACTAATGAAAAACATATTATTACTAACTCCTGTTCACGAACAACAAGCTCTTAGGACATTAATTGAGGAAGCTGGTCACTGATATCGACAATTTAACAGCAATATTCTCAAACAAATGGCAAGCCTACAACCAAATTTAGGCCATCATATCAAACAAATTTAGGCCCCTCTCTCTCTCTCTCTCTCTCTCTCATATTCTCATTTTGAAAACAAACCCAAAAACTCATATCAAAATCCACAAAAATTGTAAAATTTGATGGTACAATACTTCAGGAAAACTACAGGTCTATTCCAAGCGGCAGGATTCAAGGCATTTCCCAACACTACTCCGCAAATATCTTAAGGATACCATGCCGATGAAACTGGGCTTATACAGGGCTAAAGTTGTATCGATTTTTCTCAAACCCCCGGGGCTCCCAAAAAACATGCATTGAGAATAGATCATTAATCTAGGGCATCATCTCTCTCTTATAAAACATGACAACAGCAGAAAAGTTTTATGAGCTGATGGGTGGAAGTTGCTCAGCCGTCTCACCCCTTAACTCATTCTCGCTAAAGAGATCCTCTTGAACAGGGACGTCTTTTAGCTGCTGGGATGAAATAACATCAGCTATGGCCCTTTTAGCTGCTGATTCTTTATTATCATCCACCACTGTATTGTTCTCTATGCCAGATTCATTGGGTTCCTCCAACGGTTCATCTTCTTGCACCTCCTTCGGTGGTGGAACGAAGAAAGGTATTTTACCTCTCTGCCAATCATGTAGAACCATCTTTGCTGCAGTCATCAAGTCAGGTTCACCTCCCTGGAAAGGAAATCATGTAACTAATTAATTCGGCTCTGTTGACCAGTCTGAACTTTGAAATAGATGACTACCGAATGATGCAGAACAACACGAACATGGGAAAAAGCCTAAAAGAGTATATACAGAAAAGACCAGGGCACACTACAAATAATGGTATTCCATAATGAGAATAAATCGTTTATCAATATCTACATTGATATAATTCTACAATATGAGAAAATTATTACTCTCTGACATGTAATTTTTATATCAAATATTCTAAAATGAACTTTTCAATAAATGTATAATAGTAGTGACTAATCACCAATTTCTCATAGATGCAGTGTAGCACAATAAAGAATTATAATAATCTGTCCTATCCTCCCAAGTCCCAGGTCACATCACTTTCTTAGAAGTGTTCGTGCTTCTAAGAGGATGTTGATAAAAGTGAGTTGCTGGCAGCCTAGACCATGTTTGGTCACAACTCATGGATGTGAAATAAGCAGAGCTTGATCCTTCTTTCCACTAATTTTAGAGCTTGGTTACCTAGCAAGACAAACTTAAACACAGCCCATCAAAAGTACATAGTACCTTTCAGGATACCTTTCCCTTTAGTCTGCTAAAGTTGTTGTCTGCCTTATTGTCTCCTAACGTTGTTGTCTGCTGCAACATTTCAGGATACTTAAACACACAGCCTTATTGTCTGCTAATGTTGTTGTTGTGTTGAGAAAATTATAAAGAATTTCAGTTATAAAACGTTGTGGTTGCTAGACTTCAAGAATACATCACGTTAAACAAGTTTCAACACTTCCCATTTTAAACTGTTCACATAGTGCATACCTTATCATCAAATAGCAATTGGTCTAAAACCATTTATACATCAAGGAAACCACTGTTTCAAAATGTCTCAGTTCTCCAAAGGCTAGGCAAGGGGGCTCAAAGTACTCAGCACGTCAAGCTGAGGATTAGGGTCGCAGAACCAAGCTTAAGCGGTCAACTCATCTTGGCTTTGCCTGTTTAATTACATCTAAATAAACAAAAGTCCTCGAGTCTTTATATCTCTACAATTCTCATATTTGTTCTACCATTTACCAACATCTAATTTACAAAAGCACAAAACCAAGTACATAAATATTTCCGTTCTGATTACATAAATAAAAAATTTGACAACTGATTCAGGTTTTTTGTTAACCTAATAGCATCCTGGCTGTACTTGATCCTTTATATTTGATTCGAGTCTTTGATAAGTAGGCAAAATTTGCAAGCATGTAACATATTACCTTCAAAAGCTTGCCTGCTAATTTGCATAGCTGAACAAGAAAGTCATTTTCATCATACCTGGGAACAACACAGCACAATATGGTGTGGTCAGGCTAAAACTCAATTACACTTGTGTAACATGTACAATTGCGTTTGGATGCATATCAAAGGCAAAAATAGGTGCAAATCCCATGCTGATATAACAGACAAACAACAAAGACAAGTTAACAATGTGAGTAAAAACTATAAGCTCAATGCCATTATGTTTTATGCACTTCATAGCTTTGCCACGTAGGATTGATTAAGAAGCATATTCAGTCATCTGTGAGCACACTATACATAACAAATTTGCATCATCTAGAAACAATATGCATTTTGGAGTCACAAAATTTGTCAAGACTTCATGAAGAGAAAAAAGAAAAGAAACTACTCCTCAACCTAAATATGGGAAGAACCGTGATCCTTTAGACATTCCATTAACATTTAGAATCATACTATTATAACATTAAATGCCAAATACCAAAATTAAATAGCCCACCATTCTTTTATCTTGTATGCTCTCTCTAGGTGCTCCTTCTTCACGCGTTTCAGAACTTCACCAATATGCTCAGTGGCATCATGCAAATTTGTGACACGTACCTGGAGACAAGGACCATTTAGCATACTGGTTTGGAAAATAGATTGTTAATGAGCTTTGCACAATTAAACTACAAATGGAAGTTGTATAAATAGAATTGCAACCTTTCTTAGAGACATACACCTATCCATATACACGCAGAGTGGGATTCATCAATAATTTAAGAAACTTTGGGCAATCCATCAATAATTTTAGCACATTGATTGCTAAAGAATGTTAAGAGAATATTGCTTTTAAGGCAAGTGACACATTGACTAAGTATGACACAAACAGAAACAACAAAAAAAAACACTACGAAATGATATGCTGGCAAAACCAAGAGTTACATACCACACCCTTCAACACAATGTCAGTGTCTGAATCGCTGTTCTGATAAACTACTCCAGGGCAGTCAATCAAGAAGATCCTCTTTGTGAGAGTTATATATTGCCATACTTTAGTCTCTCCGGGAATAGGAGCAACCTTGCAGACCTTTTTTATAAAGAAACAATACATGTTAAAATGATCCCCAAATGAGCATGAATCTAACTCCAAGAAGAAATGAGAAAATGAATTACATAAATTCCAAAATAAAATATTTAAAGGTGTATTATCCTGCAGTCCCAGGCAATCCTTCAAAACTACCAAACTAATAAGAGAATAGTTCTCACATGAAAAATAACTTAGAAAAAGACACAATACAAGTACCAAGATTCAAATTCTATCATTCCATTAAGACATGCAACCACTGTTTAAAAAGCAATGACAGAAGCTAGGACAACCAACCATGAGAACATGGATTTCAGTATGAGAGCAATCATTTTGTGCAAATAAAGGGAAAAAAGTTAATTATATCCATTCCATCCTCCTAGTACCCTCGGGAAGCAAAGTCAAACATTAAGTGATGGCCTTACTAATCGTACAATAGGGATCTCTCAAGTTAGAGAAAACAGCATTGGAGATGTACAATTATGTCTAGGCCAAATGCAAAGATACCATAACTGTGCAAAGTAGTGCACCATGAGTGGTTAACAAAATAACTTGTGGTGGTAGTCAACTGGAGCATCATCGACTGCAACAGAAAAATCACAGCTCCAAAGCCACAAATGCAAGAAGCTTGTTGTACTTGGTCAACCACCCGTTTTCAAAATAACACACACAATGGGGTACTTAGAGATGTTCTATGATAAGTAAAAACTTCTCTGGAATATCCTGTTTAGAAGAAATAAAATGCAAATAATTTACCTGGGAAAAAATGCAAATAGTTTACCTAAAAAAGAATGCAAATGTTTAAATGCATGGATATAAAACTCCCTTACCCAAAAGCTCTCATAATCACCCATATTTTCTTGCAACAATGCAGGTAAGCATGTACCCATGTACTTTGGGTAATTTTTCACAACATGAGACATTTGCACTGTCACTAAGGGAAAAGAAAAAGAACAAATATATGTCATCAACCAAATTCAAATAGGAGCCTTGAAGAACTAGAAGTCTCTACAATCACAGTGTTCCCTGTTGTAAAACAAATTCTCACAAGGGGATATCAGACAAATGAAATTATCCGAATGTTCATACAATCTTCTTGTATGCATTTCTAAAGAATGGTTACAGAGCAGGAAAGATGAGATAACTAACTTGTCTTTATTTCTTATCAGCATTCAAAATTTGAATATATCAAGACCCATTTATAAGCTTCACAGTGAACAAAATGCATATGGATCTCAGTACTAGGGTACCAGGGAAAAATCATAATGAAGATCATTACATTCTTTGTTCGCAGTGTGTTGATAACTGATGACTTTCCAACATTTGGATACCCAACAAATCCCACTGATATTGCTTGCTTGTCACTTTTTAGGCGGCTGAATTGTCTCAATACTGACAAAAGAGAACCCTACAAGAAAAAATTCAAAAAAAAAAAGGATTGGCAGGATAGTTGAACATCACTCTACATTAAAAAAAAAATGCAATGAGAAAATAAGTGGCTATCCTCAATACATTCTAGACTAAAAAGTTACAAAGTGCAAACTTCTCAAGTTCTATGCAACACTTACATAAATTTATGTGTGCTTTTTCCTCTGTTTACATTTGTTAGTCTTCAATTTCTTTCTCCATCTTAGCAAAAAATAATAATACTAGAAACAATTGAATATTTTGAAACTGTAGCTTGGAAAAGATAGAGCTTGATACTCAAAAAAGCTGCCTCACATTCAATATTTATATTGTCTAAAACAAAATGATCCATTAGCTCATGTTACTGTTATTGAGATCTAAAACTTTTATGAAAATTGTCATGAAAAAATCATACAAATCATACATTTTGAAAACATCCAATCATGATGCTTATAGGTATTAGTTTCCAAGGTAGTTTGCATATTAGGCAGCATATGCATCCACCCTTCGAATTGTGTTTGTCTCTTGGAAGCCAAGTACTCCACAGATCATGAAATGTTTTCCAATAATCTTCCTCTATATATCCCCATTCCACCTTCACTCTATAGGAGGCATATATTTGTACAGAGTAATGTTATTTTTCTTTTTGAACAGACAGAGCAATGCCATTGGAACTTAATAATCTGACTTAATATTCTTGACGAAATGATGTGCCAAGTACCATGGTCCCATAGTATCTTTGTAGCTACACAAGTTAGACTTTTCATTAGGACCCCGAGCTGACAAATCATTAGATCAAGCTACCAGGTCCCAATAGCATTACTGTTTTGTACATATGCATTACATAAAAATATAGTGGCATACCTTGCCGAAGGACTTATTGATGCTTGCATGGAATGCCAGAGTAGGAAATTCCTTGGATAACACTCTAAGCCATCCTTTTGTTGCCCAAGCAGGGATCAAATCACACTGCAAAAATTAGGCAATACGTTTCAATTCACCTCACATGATAAGGAAATAACGATGGCAGACAGCTCTTAATAATCTGAGAGAGATTTTGAAAATCAGAAAACAACAGACCTTGTTCAACAAAAGAATCATGTGTTTATGCTTGCAATGCTCTTTCAAATGCTTCTCCAAATGATAACATCTTGTACCTTGGGGATCCCTAGCATCCAAAACCTGCAAGTAGAAACATAAGTACCACCTATTTTTAATTTTCTTTTCCTCAAAGACTATGAACAGGGGCAGAGAAGATGGAACTTGGTTCAAACAATTGTGGCATGTATTAGATCAACGAGTAAAATAACAAGTTAGACTGTTAGGAGGTACTATTGGCCACAACTAAATCTGACAGTGCTAAAAACCCATCTATCTACTCTTCCATTGAATCACTTGATACAACTTAATTTTTGTAAATAATGTCTAGTAATGATTAGATGATTCTAGTCACCTAAATGGAACATTAATAACCAAAAGCATAAATGTCACCACCCATCATCAAGCATGTTTACGACGACGAGGAATAGCTATCCTTCCGATGTCTCTGACTCTGAGAGTCTGAGGTATTAATATTAAAGTTTTGTGTTCCTATTTCTACAAATAAATACAAACTGGAAGCAATTGATCCTTCGCCACCCACTTGCCCCCCAACATAATAAGAAGAATTAAATAAAATAGCGCCACAATTACCTGTACTACCACATCTGAAGAGTCTATCACTTTGTAGAGTTCACCCCATATGCGTTTACTTTGACCCTTCTCAAACATTGTGTGCCGAACCAGGTCCCTGAGTCCATCTTCAATTCCTTCTGTAGATACACTAGCACCATATTTCTCTTCAAATGCATCTGAACAATTGAGAAACAAATGCCATGCGTACACAGCCGATTTAGGCTACAGAAATGCACAAATGAGGCCAAACAGCTAATCTAAAAAGTCAAATAAAACATTTCCATTAAGCAATAAATAAGAAACCTTTTGTCCTTTGGTGCATCTTCACTGTTGTGCACTATGTTTAAGAAAGACTGAAAATGAATATTAAAAGGCGGCCAATCAAGCAAACACGGGCCCCCTAACATATGAATCATATTCTTTTACCTTGAGAACCATCAGCCTTCTTAGCTAGTGCCTCGTAATCTGATACCATCAGCTTTGGACGCTTCCTCTTCTTCTTAGGTCCAAATGCATCTGCAAAAGGCTCCGTATCGAGAAGATGAACTCTTGCTTGCTGAATAGACATCAGAAACAAATTATCAAAATTAACAGATGAAAATGCAAGGCTGTTACATTATCACAATCCGACTCTTTCAAATATATTTTGTTTTCTTTTTTTTTTTTAATCAAAAGGGCCTACAAATACTATTCAATGTTCTAAAAGAGATTTCAGAACCGAAATTAAGCATTGGCCCTTGTCCAGCAGTATGATTGCTAAGACATCTTCACTTGAGGTCCAGGTACAAAAACGATCAAAGATGGGAATATAAAAAGAGAATGATTATCATTCATAGCCATCACCCTATGATAAAACAGATGGTATCAATATATGGGTCATTATAATTGATGCCCTTGGATCCCCCCGCCCCCAAAAAAGTGCCACATTGAGAGAGAGAGAGAGGGGGACAACAGAGAAAGAATGTAGGGGAAAACAAGGGGCGGGGGATATTTGGCGGAAAGAAAGGGGGCACACCGGCAAGGAGGAGCCAAGACAACAGGAATGGGAGGGGAGTGCCAGCTTCTCCCAACTTCTCTCCCCTCTCCTTTTTCTCTTATGGACCCTACTTACTCTCTCTTATTTGTCACCCACTACCTCCCCCCCAGTGAGCTGCCTTTTTATTTTGGATCTTAACCAGTAGCCCAAGGGCACAGGATAGCATTTGCCTATGCATAACCTCGAGCAATGAAAGGAATAAGTGTGTGCGCAAATTAAATCTAAACTGGGACTTCTTAGACTTAAACCATAGCTAGCTTATCCAATGCTGCATTACCAATAGCATAGCAAAAACGACCTATAATCTCACGAGTCCACCTTGGAATAACCCAAAACAAGCAACAACTCAAGAGTGCAACTGTGAACAGTGCATCTAGTGGACTAACTTGAACAATCTAAATTGGTCCAGGCAACCCCCACCCCCCCCCCCCCCAAAAAAAAAAAAAAAAAAAATACACCTCCTGGTAGCATTGAGATTATGCATTCCCTTTCAATTGACAGGAGAAGAAATCACAAATCTGGAAGAAAAAAAAAAGCACAAAATGTAAAAAAACCCAAATAACTCTTTCTGCATATACAGTCAGAAAGAAACTGAAGGCACATGCATTTCCCTCGTTCCACTTCCATATTGAACCATTGAAGTTCACATAGACTTCATACCTTCTGGTGATCATTTAAAAGGGACATTGGCAGTTTCCTATCCTTTAAAATGACATTGTAGTTACTAGATAGCCGGCTTTGGAGTTCTTCACGGAAAAATTCAAGCTCTTTCTGATTTACAACCCGAGTATTACCTGTAAAATGGACAAAGATAAAGAGTATATACGAGTTAGTCCCTTTTCCATACATATCAGAAACCTAATTACCCTTTTTTATTGTTAGTCCTATTTTATTGTTCAAACAATAACTGATGACATCCCTCCATCCGCAGCTCAGTAGCCCCATGTGTCCCACAATAGCACGTCTATTTTCAATCTATTGATTTGTGCATATACCATGGACCAATTTGAGCTCAATAAACAACATGGAAGAGGAATACAGGGCAATTATACATAAACATATCCAATTGAATTCAATATACGACACTTAACAATTCTAATCAACTGAATTGAAAAAAAAAAACAAATACTACGTACCGAACCATCGGCGATCGGGTTGAATTCGAGTAGATGGCAAGTCCTTGGACTGCAAATCGTGCTTCACAATCTTGCCTTTACTGTCACGCTTCGGCTTCGTATTGTACATCTTGAGCCGCCGCACCGTGGAGGCGCTGCGTCTGCCTTTGCTTGCACTCCCATCTCGGTTAACATCAAGGGCGTGCTTCGGCTTTCCCGAGACATTCACCGACTTCTCTTTCTTCTTCGCCATCTTCTCCCACCCCAGCACTCCAGTATCTTTGGGAAGTATCGGCAAACTAGGGCTCAGAGGACTCTAAAACCCTACTTCTAGTTGGCCCGGTCATGTCATTAAACCGGTGTTTTAAAATCGGGCCCGGACATCAACCTGGCAAAGAGACCGGGTTACTGGGTCAATGGTTCATTATAAATAATAATAAATATGCTAAAAATTTATAATAAACCCCAACAAAATCTCATTTCATTCCAACAAAGACACCACCATATTTATAAAAACATCAACAACATCCCAACAAATCATAGATTCAATGTATAAAAAATCATCAACATCCCAACAAATCATAGATTTAATGTATAAAAAACCAACAACATCCCAACAAATCATAGATTCAATGTATAAAAAATCAATGCATGAAAATAATCACAAATTAAAAATCAGATTCAGTGTATAAAAATAAAAAAATCACAGATTCAATCAAAATAGTAGAGAGCCAGAGTATGATTGCCCTTAATTACAGATTTAATGCATACAAATCAAAAATCTCATAGTAGGAGAGAGAAATCGAGAACGATAACGGGAGAGAGAGAGAGAGAGAGGGCAGAGTAGTACCTGCTGCTGTCAATGGGAGTTGTCGTTGGCTGCCACGATGGAGATCTGAAGCTTGAAGCAGCCTCTTCTTCGAAGCAGGAGCCCCTGAAGCAATGAAGCAGGAGTCCCTGAAGCAGATAAACAGTGTTCCTTCACCCTTGAGCTTTTATTGCTCGCTCGCAATCGCAGCATAGAGACTCAGAGAGCGACAGAGAGAGAGAGAGGCGAAGGGAACGTCGGAGTCTCAGAGCAAGGGGGGGTTGGGAACGATTTAGATTTTAGGGCAAAATGCCCCCAAAAGGCAAAACCCAACATTTTATAGGGAAATAAATATTCCAGCCGGTTTTTTAAAATTTGTCCGGGTTCAGAGGGTCACCGGTTTTAAGCCAGTTCAGCGGGTTTACACCGATTTTTTGACACAAATGGTTTAATAAGTGAACCGTCCCGATTTAGGCACCGGGTCAACCCCACCGGGCCGGGCGGAGTTCACAAAATGCGATACATACGACCGAATTAATTGACATGAATTAATACATAATTAAGTGAGTTTGAATAAAATTTTAATGAGTATAGTTAAACCCACTATACCTTTTTAATAAATGACTTATGCTCGTGTGAAATACGTCAACTAGTTTATCATTTATTTATTTGTTTAAATAAAATTAAAATAATAAAAAATTTAATAATTATTCATTGTTTTAGTTAGAATAATACATGCAGTTTAATAATTGGATCAGTTAAAAAGTTTTCAAGATTATTTTTTATTATAATAATAAAAAAAATATTAAACGAGTCGTATCGAATAATCCGTTTAATAAACGATTTATGTTTAATTTATAGATTTTCGTTTGTTTAATTAAACGAATCGTGTACAAGTTGAATAATTTTTCACGTAAATTCAATTAAACCCGACATGGTTCATCTTTTTTATACCCACCATATTAGTAATTAAATTCATTCTATTTTATATCCACCCCAAATTCCACACATATTCGGGAGAACTCTTTTATGACTTTTGTATTTTAGTTAAATATTGTATAAGGTGGATTTAGTCTTTAATGAGGTGGTATGGATGGATGGATTTAATAATACAGTAGGGGTAAACTTAATAATTTTAGGGTTAATTATACTAGATGTCCCCAAAGTATGAGATTTGTCTTATTTTGGTCTCTAATATTTCAATTGTATCATTTTTTTGTCTATGAAGTATTGCATATGTTTCAATATGTTCCTTTAAGCAAACAATGTCTAGATTGTTAATGATTTTTAAGTATAAATTTGTCACGTAATACGTAAATATGGACAAAAATTAAATTTTGATAGATATTAAAAAAAAAAATTGGGTAGCTCTTGACAAAAAAATGTGTAATATTTGTAACTTTTGACCAAAAATTAGATAGTTCATGATTAAAAATGTGTAATTTAAGTAGTTATTTAATCAAAATTTAAGTAGAAATTTGGTCAATAGTTATTTAAATTATTTTTTGTCTATATTTAAATATCATATGACAAGTTTATGATAAAAAATCGTTAACAATTTAAACATTGTCTGCTTAAGAGACATATAGAAACATTAATTATTACTCGCGTCTGAAGACACAAAGTAATAAAAAATAATAAACAATAAACATATTTATATTCAACGTCAAATCACAAATATAAAAATTAGATAAAAGAATTTAAAAATCGATTTTATAGTGGAGGTAAGAGGTGATGAGCGATAGTAATGGTGGTAAGAGACGATAATAATTGTGGCAGTGACAGTGATGGCGGTGGCGGTGGTGGTGGTAGATATAGTAATTAGGTAGTTTCAAACACTATTTTTATAAATATATTTATGAAAAATAATTTATAGAAGTACTTTTTCATTTAAAACATACTCTTAGGGTCTTATTTTTCCTATTAAATTTAGGGTGTTAATATTAGTCGTTAGATTAATTTAAAAATAAAATTTAAAGCGATATCAACCGCGAATAGTAAAAATCATTTTATTTATTTTTTGAGATTTAAATTGTAAATTACTTTATTATATAGATATTAAATACTTAAGAGACCAAAGTGATGCAATTGAAATATTGAGGATTAAAATGAGACAAACTCTGTACTTTAGAGACTTTCAGTGTAATTAATCAATAATTTTAATTGTAAGAGGTAGTTGTAGTGGTAACCGGAAATTAAATATTATGAATTCGAATTTTGATAACTCTTGATATTATGCAATGATAACTTATTCCTCGTTAGTCTTGACATAGATAACTTGTTTTTGATGGAACTGAAGAAGAGATTAATCAAGGTGCACATAAGTTGGTCTAAATATTAAAAAAAAATTAATAATTTTATAATTGAGAAATTAATCGAGTAGAAAATAATATTTGTGGGCTAAAAATAGTTCGATCCAAAAGAGAATTTGAAAGGGTTATAAATTTAAAAAATATTATTTGGATCTAATTTGGGGACCTAGGAGCCTAATTTAATACAACCATTAGATTGAACGTGGAATCTATTTAATATTAAAACTCACAATTAATTCAATAATTGTATTGAAGCCACGTTATTAATTTCCCAAATTAGTAGCCAAATAAGTTCCCGTAGCATTGCTCTATAAATTTTGTGCATTAAGCCTGCACCAGTTCCTCTGATCTCCCCCATCTTCCTCTATCTCCAAACTGCCACCCTCGAACCTGCATTTAGCTGATAGATCTGCGAGCTGAACTCAACAAAAACATCCACACTTTAGCAGAAACCAAAACAGAAAGATCGATGGATCGAGTACTGAAAGCTGCCCGAGCTTCTGGTTCTCTCAATTTATCAAACCGCTCTCTCAAGTAAGTCTCTCATTTCTCAAGCATAAATTTACTTTCTTAGTATCTCAATTTCGCTCCCCGATCATCCTAAAACAGCTAGATTGTCATATTTTTATTGGATTAATTGTTTTCCATTTTCACTTTTAAGAACAGAGCATTTGAATTGTTGGTTTAATCTCTAGCATCGTATTTGATATGTAATTGGATTGGATTTCTTTTTGTTTTGGGGGATTCGGTTTCAAATGAAATTAATGCTTTGTTTGTATTGTTTAATGATAGAGAAGTGCCCAACGAAGTATACAAAAGTTTAGATGCTGTTGGTGAGGGTGAAAAGTGGTGGGAGGTATTTGTCGCACTTACATATTTTCTTTAATTTTTAATCTTTCACTAAAGCAATTGTATTGCTTGCCCAACGATGGTCTTTGTGATCTTATTTGTATTTCAATTGGCATATCAGATATTCATATAACTCATATGTAACCTCTTGTTAAGTAGCTGTTACTGTGGCTCATTATCGTAGATGTATGTGTCTAATAGCATATTTGCAGGCTGTGGAGCTACAAAAGCTGATTTTGGCTCATAATAGCATTGAATCATTGAAGGAAGACCTTAGAAATTTAACTCAATTGTCTGTTCTAAATATCAGCCACAACAAACTTTCCCACATTCCAGCTTCTATTGGAGAGTATGCCATTTTAACTGTTAAACTGTTAATTGGTTTTCTTTAAGTTCTTTCTCTCCTCTCGCTTTCTTACATCATCGTATACTTCTTAATCTCATTTGGCAGGCTTCACTTGCTAAAATCATTAGATGTTTCGTTTAACTCGATATTTGAGATACCTGCAGAAATTGGATCGGCGACATCTCTGATCAAGTAGGCTTATTTAGCAAGTTTTTATAGTTGGCTACTGAAACATCTGTATAGAAATTAGAAAATTGAGTTTGTTATGATTAACTAATTAAATAATAGTCATGACGCCATGTTTTCATCATGTATGTTCAGGAGCATATGAATCGCCCTGCCAGTTATGATTGAATGATCCCATTTATTTGTGATCACTTCAGGTTTGATTGTTCAAACAACCAACTAAAGGATCTCCCAAGCACCCTTGGTAGATGTTTAGATTTATCAGAACTCAAGGTAATACTTTTGCAAAGACGGTATCTCCCAGGCGCCCTTGTGATTTCCCAGTGTATCTATTGCTCTAACTAAGAATTTTACTGAACTTCATTACGATTGATCTCCACATTCAGCTAGTCTGAAGTTTGAACTGGCTCGTATTAATTGGGATGTATGGGTTGCAGGCCTATTTGCCCCATGTCAATATTTTATCTATTGTTCACATGTGTATAAATGCTATATAGCCTCGCTGTTTATCCTTGTCAATGACAATGTTACAATTTTGGTTATTTTGATCATTGCTTAATGTTAGATTCGACTCAAGAGATTATATCTGAAACCGAATAAAAAAAACCTTTTTCAAAGATTGATTTGACCATTTAATCATTTTATATTGTGGCATCCGCTATCTATTATTAACTTTTTCTATTGGACAATTAAACCAAATTTTCTTGCACGTTTTGCTGGCATAAACCTGGTTTGAGATAAACTTTTCCTCAGGCATCGAATAATTGTTTTACAAGCTTGCCAGAAGATCTGCAGTATTGTTCCAAGCTGAATAAATTGGATGTAGAGGTATAATTAGCTGCTTTATTAGCAGTTGTTGATGATAATGTTTAATTTTTCCTCCTTGACTATACATCTTCTAAATGTTCCAGGGAAACAAGCTAAAAATGCTATCTGAGAATATGATTTCATCATGGACCAGGCTTACAGAACTCAATGCTTGTAATATCTATTCTCTTGTATTTTATTTTGTGTTTTATGTCAATGGCACTTTGCTACCATTATGGTACCATATAAGTGTTTCTAAGGCCACATTTGCACTACTAATTTTGTAGCAAAGAACATGCTGAGTGGTATCCCTGAGAGTGTTGGAAGCCTCTCACGTTTGATTCGCCTTGACCTTCATCGGAACAGTGAGTAAATTAAGTTTCCTTGTAGTCATATGTGTATGCAAACTTTATGTTAATGAGTGCTGTTTCTTCCTTTTGTTCTCATTGTATTTCACTTCTCTGCCAGTTGGCTATACCTAATATGTAATCTGTGTGTAAAATCTACAGGAATTTCATCAATCCCATCATCAATAATGGGTTGCACTTCCCTCATGGAGTTTTATATGGGGTCATTTCACTTTCACAGTTTCAAGACACATTTGGCTAATTTGCTGTTTATTGGATGTTAATGTTTTGATTTGCATCTTTAGTATTCATCTGGCATTTGTTTCTTTTAATTTTCAGGAATAACACGTTGTCATCATTACCAGCAGAGATAGGAGCCCTCACTCAGTTAGGGACATTTGATCTTCACTCAAACCAGGTGGCTTTATAAACTTTTTGTTCTGTCTTGCTACTAAATTTGCAGTACACATCATTTGTTTTTTGGGAACACGTTTTACATAGATGTTAGTGTTCAAAATGGGCTGGAGTATGGCATTTTCAACAATATAGAACTTTATCTTGAATCCTACATTGGCATGTCTGCTGATTGTTTCATAATATGTGCAGTTAAAGGAGTATCTAGTAGAGGCATGCAAATTGAATCTCTCTGTTCTTGATTTGTCAAATAATTCGTTGTCTGACTTGCCTCTTGAGATTGGTAAGGTTAACGTTTGATTCCAAGCAAGTAGTATTAGATTTGCTTCTGATGTTGTTTGCTTTTAATGCTATGAACCCTCATGCTGGATTTAGGTTATTGGGAATTCTTGCATTAGACGATGGTCTTATAAGTTACTCTTTTTTTGACAGGTCAACACATTTAGGAAAAAAAATGAAAGGGGGTGCACTTCCACTTGATTAGTATTAACATTTTTTAGGCCTTGGAAACTAAAAAAAGGTGTTTTACAGTAGGGGTGTAACTTGGGTTGGGCAACCCCTTTTCAACCCGAAAAAATTAGGGCTTGGGCAAGGGTTTTAGTACTTGGGTTGGGCTTGGGTCAAAAAACCCCAACCCGAATTCAATTTGGGCTGGGCTCGGGTTAAGGCCTCGTGAACCCGAACCCGAAAAATTAAAATTTATATATATATATATATATATAAGTAGGCTCCCTACTAATTCCACTAAGAATTGGTATCCTAGACCTACACCACCAGATCTTCAATATGAAAAAAAAATGTATTAAATCAATTTTCTGTTCAGTCCAATAAACTCTATGAATGGAACATAGATGGATTAAGTGAACAGAAAATCATTAACAATATTAGTCATTTGTCTATGGTGATTAATAATTATATGACCAATCTTGACAGCCCTGAACCTGATATTGTTAAATTAATAACCTCAGGATTTACAGATGTTTTACGAGATTGGTGGGATAATTATCTCACCTCAGACCAAAAGGAAAGTGTTATTTATGCTGTACTTAGAGATGATGAAGGTAATCCAATTTTTGATGAAAGGATTGGATTGGCTAAACCTGATGGATGTAATACTCTTATATTCACCATCATTAAACACTTTGTAGGATTTTATTCTCATCTTCTTGAGATAAATTTAATCTTTTAACCTGTTTTTTAATTGGACAATCAGGACTAATATGGCCTGGTTTGCCACAATTAAAACATTTAATATCTTCTTGTGCTTTTCCTTTTCCTTTTGCTGATTCCTTATACGGTTTAGGCCGATAATGCTTTTTGGATTTATTAGAAATCTCAGTTTTAGGTTTAGAAAAAGACTTCTTGTGTTTTTGATAAAACCTATTTTTTGAATAAGTGCTGTGATTTTTAGGTTTTTTGTGAGGTTTGGATTGGGAAGGAGCTACTGGCTGTAATCCATACTGTTCACAAAAATTATCTAATTCGTATTTGACTTTTTGCTTCTCATTTGTTAATTGCTTATTAATCCTCAGATCAATGCACCATTTTAATCCTACACTTTGGATGGTGCTAATGAGTTCTCCATAAGCAAGATTATCATATTCAATAATACCAGTGTCTTTGCTAAGGGCTTCTCTTACCTTATGGGCAAAAAGATTGGGTAGTCCATTAACAAATTTTTCTTTCCAGAATGCTTTCTGGCAATCTGGTCGAACCATGACACGCGAAACAAAAACATCCTTATACCACCTAAAGTCACTTAAAGTGGGACATCTTAGGTTGGTAAGTTGGTCGTGGATCCTAGCAGTAATACTACTAGGTGTTCCTACAAAGTGTTTAATGATGGTGAATATAAGAGTATTACATCCATCAGGTTTAGCCAATCCAATCCTTTCATCAAAAATTGGATTACCTTCATCATCTCTAAGTACAGCATAAATAACACTTTCCTTTTGGTCTGAGGTGAGATAATTATCCCACCAATCTCGTAAAACACCTGTAAATCCTGAGGTTATTAATTTAATAATATCAGGTTCAGGGCTGTCAAGATTGGTCATATAATTATTAATCACCGTAGACAGATGACTAACCTTGTTAATGATTTCCTGTTCACTTAATCCATCTATGTTCCATTCATAGAGTTTATTGGACTGAACAGAAAATTGATTTAATACATTTTTTTCTTCATATTGAAGATCTGGTGGTGTAGGTCTAGGATACCAATTCTTAGTGGAATTAGTAGGGAGCCTACTTAAAGCATTGAGCTTGGAAATGGGTTGGGTTATTCTGTGATCTGCAAACTGTTTTTCCAAGTTTTCAATTTCAGAATCAGAGTCATTGGTATCCTCCAGACTACTGTATTCTGAACTTTCTTCAGTTTGGTTGATGACTGTCACTTGAGAAGTACTAGTAGATTCCTTTTTTGAGATGAGTGCATCAATTTGTTGAATTAGGTTTTTGTCTTTTAAACCTAAATTCTTTCTATTTTCAGGGAGACTAACTAATGGTCTTTCTACCTGTTCTGTTTTGAGATTATTTATTTTAGTTTCAATTTTATCCAACTGTTTTCCTATAGTAATTAGGTTTTGGTTGGTAAAATTTACTTGTTCAACTACTTTCTTTTTAGATTCTAAAATTGGAATCTTAAAAGGTGTAGCCTTAACCGTTTCGGTTAGATGTTTAATTTGAATAGCCTCTGCCGGAGGGTGACTAGAAATTAAAACATCAGAATCTGTTTTCCATTTTTGCTTAGTTACTACCTTTACTTCTTTATGGAAGTTTTCTAGATAGTCTTCAAAAGCTATTTCGGATTCTAATTTATACATTAATTTTACCCATTCTTTTTTGATAGTTTCTTGGGTTTTACAAGGTAAAGATTCAAAAACTTTTCTGAGAGGTTTAAATTCCACAGCTTTGAAATTCCATGTCTTGGAATTCCGTCTGTTGACTCCTTCAAGATCATTCAGATTGATGCTTCAGAAATTGGCTATGGTGGTATCCTCCTTCAGAGAAAATCTCTTAATTCTCCTGAACAAATTGTTCGATTCCATTCTGGAATTTGGAATAAGACCCAAGCCAATTACTCTACTATTAAAAAAGAGATTTTATCTATTGTCCTGTGTATCTCTAAATTCCAGGATGATATATTAAATAAGAAATTCCTGATACGGGTTGATTGTAAATCCGCGAAGGATGTTTTAACAAAAGATGTTAAAAATATTGCTACTAAGCAAATTTTTGCAAGATGACAATCTATTTTAAGTATTTTCGATTTTGATATAGAATATATTAAAGGAGAAAATAATTATATCCCTGATTTCCTAACCCGTGAATTTTTGCAGGAACCTCATGGCCACTAGGAAACCCAGTTCTTCTGGAACCTCCTCCAAAAATCCGGGGGGGAAAAAGGATAAACAAGTCTTACCAAAACCTGAAGCTGACTTGCCAATAGTCTTGTCAAACAGGTATCTGTCATTAGGAAACCCTAACCCAATGAGGCCAGTAGCCCCATCACCAGGGCCAATAGCCCAATCGTCCTTAGTCATAAGGCCAGTAGCCATTTCAACTACTGTAAACCCATTGACTTTTACCCAAATGGCCCAAAGACCACCTACCAGTACATTAACCAACCCTTACAAATCATCCCAATCTTTTGTAGCTCATAAAAGCCCAAGAGTTGATTATATCAAGGCTTTTACCCAGAATGTATTAGCCATTGAATTTTCTCATTCCCAGTACAAGGATCCAAGAGATCTGGTGAAAGCCTACCTCCCTAAAGGTTGGAATTTCATTCCTGTTGATCTTGAGAAACCACATAGTTTCTACCAAGATATTCTCTTTTTTACAAAATCCATTCTTACCAGGCCCATACCAGATAAGAATGACCCATCCAAAACCCTTTATCATGCATTAACTATATGCAACATTATTTCTGTTGAGGAATGGGGATCTCACCCATCTGTACTCCGAGATCTTCAATTTCACACCAGGCAATTTAATTACTATGACTACATTGAGTCATGGTCCAAAATATTACTCTACCAGAATGAGGATTTGACCCATTCTTGGTTCTTATCTTTTCATAAAGATTTCAAGAGCCGCATTCCTGCGTGGTTCCTACAGTGGTGGCATCAACACGGCCCCATTAATGAAATCTTTCCAGCTGATCTTTTAGATCAGATTAATATCTTCTCATCTGTTTACCGTCCTAGTAAACACGAGAGCCCTATTCCCCTTTTACTAATATTTATTTGCAGGTACAAAGTCCCATGGATTCTCAAATGGCAATGGGAAATTGTTGGATTCAATCTTGTCCGGCAATTTTATGCCAAATGGTGGCCCAGGTTCCAACAAGGCAACATTATTGCCCTGGTTCAAGAGGATTTTTCAGTCAAGGTACCAACTCCAGTAGCAGTCTCAAGTACCTTACTACCAGTCACTCCTGTTAAGGCCCAGTCTGCTCAGCAAATTAGGCCCAGCCTTCCTGAAAAGGCAGCCCAGCCAGAGGAATCTTCATCTAAGGGTTCCAGTAAGAAATCCAAAAGGAAGTCCAAGGCTAAGCTCCTCCAGAAGCTCCTACACCAGCTTAATTCGGATAGTGACTCGTCAGCATCTTCGCAAGGATCTATATCAGCAGAGCTCCCTCCAGGATATGCCCAAGATCCATTTGCAGCATTTGAAGATATTGATGACCTCACCCCGGATCTGGCACTCCCGTGAATTATTGTTTACATAAAATGGCTTCAATCATTACTTTCTTCCAATAAAGAAAGAAAAACTGTCCATTCTATGTAAATCATAGTATCACATTATGTCAACCGAATCTACTTTTCCACCGAAAAATATGAACTAATTGCGAAAATAGAATCAGAGAATCAGAAGATATAAATGGAAAATACAGAAAATATTATTACAAGAAAATAAATACTTACAACACTAGAACTACTGGTCTAGTGAAAATATGCGGTAAATAAAAAGGCTTCTGAGCTCTTCTTTTGCATTATTGAAGAAGGCTTTACAAGAGAAGGGTATGTTTACAAGATTTAGAGGGCTTGTAATATAGTCTGAAATTTTAGACTTGCTAAAATTCGACCTGCCTGTTTCTCTTGAATGGAGTTGCCTTTTATAGGGATAAGGAACATCGGAGGGAATCTTTTTCCATTATTCTCCTTCTGTTTTCACTTGTAGGTAAAACATTTCACTTTGCTGCTTTTGGCTAGAAAGTGGAGTAACATGAATTCACCCACGGTAAAAGGACAGACAGAAAGGACTAGTGGGTCCTGCTTTTGTCCTGGGAATTTATCTTTCGGTGGAAAAGTAGATTCGGTTGACATAATGTGATACTATGATTTACATAGAATGGACAATTTTTCTTTCTTTATTGGAAGAAAGTAGTGATTGAAGTCATTTTATGTAAACAATAATTCACGGGAGTGCCAGATCCGGGGTGAGGTCATCAATATCTTCAAATGCTGCAAATGGATCTTGGGCATATCCTGGAGGGAGCTCTGCTGATATAGATCCTTGCGAAGATGCTGACAAGTCACTATCTGAATTAAGCTGGTGTAGGAGCTTCTGGAGGAGCTTAGCCTTGGACTTCCTTTTGGATTTCTTACTGGAACCCTTAGATGAAGATTCCTCTGGCTGGGCTGCCTTTTCAGGAAGGCTGGGCCTAATTTGCTGAGCAGACTGGGCCTTAACGGGAGTGACTGGTAGTAAGGTACTTGAGACTGCTACTGGAGTTGGTACCTTGACTGGAAAATCCTCTTGAACCAGGGCAATAATGTTGCCTTGTTGGAACCTGGGCCACCATTTGGCATAAAATTGCCGGACAAGATTGAATCCAACAATTTTCCATTGCCATTTGAGAATCCATGGGACTTTGTACCTGCAAATAAATATTAGTAAAAGGGGAATAGGGCTCTCGTGTTTACTAGGACGGTAAACAGATGAGAAGATATTAATCTGATCTAAAAGATCAGCTAGAAAGATTTCATTAATAGGGCCGTGTTGATGCCACCACTGTAGGAACCACGCAGGAATGCGGTTCTTGAAATCTTTATGAAAAGATAAGAACCAAGAATGGGTCAAATCCTCATTCTGGTAGAGTAATATTTTGGACCATGACTCAATGTAGTCATAGTAATTAAATTGTCTGGTGTGAAATGGAAGATCTCGGAGTAAAGATGGGTGAGATCCCCATTCCTCAACAGAAATAATGTTGCATATAGTTAATGCATGATAAAGGGTTTTGGATGGGTCATTCTTATCTGGTATAGGCCTGGTAAGAATGGATTTTGTGAAAAAGAGAATATCTTGGTAGAAACTATGTGGTTTCTCAAGATCAACAGGAATGAAATTCCAACCTTTAGGGAGGTAGGCTTTCACCAGATCTCTTGGATCCTTGTACTGGGAATGAGAAAATTCAATGGCTAATACATTCTGGGTAAAAGCCTTGATATAATCAACTCTTGGGCTTTTATGAGCTACAAAAGATTGGGATGATGTGTAAGGGTTGGTTAATGTACTGGTAGGTGGTCTTTGGGCCATTTGGGTAAAAGTCAATGGGTTTACAGTAGTTGAAATGGCTACTGGCCTTATGACTAAGGACGATTGGGCTATTGGCCCTGGTGATGGGGCTACTGGCCTCATTGGGTTAGGGTTTCCTAATGACAGATACCTGTTTGACAAGACTATTGGCAAGTCAGCTTCAGGTTCCTCCTTGGACCCCTGTCCATACTTCTATTGTTCAACAGGTCAAAAAGTTCATTAAAACTCTTCCCTGTCTTGGAATTCCGTCTGTTGACTCCTTCAAGATCATTCAGATTGATGCCTCAGAAATTGGCTATGGTGGTATCCTCCTTCAGAGAAAATCTCTTAATTCTCCTGAACAAATTGTTCGATTCCATTCTGGAATTTGGAATAAGACCCAAGCCAATTACTCTACTATTAAAAAAGAGATTTTATCTATTGTTCTGTGTATCTCTAAATTCCAGGATGATATATTAAATAAGAAATTCCTGATACGGGTTGATTGTAAATCCGCTAAGGATGTTTTAACAAAAGATGTTAAAAATATTGCTACTTAGCAAATTTTTGCAAGATGACAATCTATTTTAAGTATTTTCGATTTTGATATAAAATATATTAAAGGAGAAAATAATTATATCCCTGATATATATATATATATATATATATAAAGCATTAGCACTTATTTTTCATTTTTGTTTTATTATTTTTTGTCTCTCTCGTTAAAAACTTGGTTGAAGTTATTGGTTGTTAATTTAGGTGAATATTATATAATATATGTATTAGGTTTAGAACAACAAGCCTATTTTGGACTCTACCTGAATTGAACCCGTAAAGTAATTCGAAATTATCAACCCAAATTCAACCCGAGTCCGCCCGATTAAACTCGGGCAGTGCTCGGGTTGAGTTCCCCAACCCGAGGTAGGGATAGGATTAGGGTTAGGGTTGAAGATTATATACCTAGGGTTGATTGTCCAACCCACTCGAGTTGCACCCCTATTTTACAGTGATTACCTGTCATTATTACTATTCTATTTTTTTTTTTTGGAGGGGGGGGAGTTGTAGCAGTACAGTGATTGGGTAAGGAATTTATGTTGTTATGATGAAAGTAAGTGATACAGAAATCATGACCCAAAAAAAAAAAAAAGTCTGATACAGAAATGATTACCTTGCCTACTGACACGGTATTCAATGCATATTCAAATTTGAAATGAAATGTCCGTGTTGTCAACTGAGAAGGTGTTCCATGCATATGCAAATTATTTATCGGAACTCTTTTTTTTTTTTTGCAATTGTGGCAATACAAAATAAAGGTTCACATGAGTGAGGTGATTTTCCACTCCATCTGAATACAGGATTGAACTACTTGGTCAATGCTTGCACTTTCTCCATTTGTCTGTTTTGGAGTCAATAAAAGTTGGAGTCTCCTCTAGGTTCTAACCTTAACAGGGAGCTTTTTCATATGCTGAATTGGAATGGAAACCATCTTAACATATTTGGAAATATCATAAGGTTTCCATTTAGAAAATAAGTTTCTTTCAAATCAAAGCAGTCCTGTGGCTTACTTGTCGTGGAAATTGCTCCCTTATCCCCCTCTGAAAATGAGGGAATGGTAACAATTTATCTTTGTCAATGTTGTGCTTGACTCTACATTAACTGGAGGTGCACCTCTCAACTGAGTGAGAAGGAGATCACTTCCTATCAGAGTATTGGAAAAGGAAGCCTGTGCTTGACAAGTGGTACTACAAGCAAAGAGGTTTCAGATAGAACAACTCTTAGCAACGCCTAAATAGATCGTACCCTTTGTTTCATGTGTGCATCTGGGTTCTAAACCTGGTTGACACCATGATATTCAATCCATTGTAAGGCTATTGGCGGATTATTTCTATTTTTGACTGGCAGTTTTTTTTCCTCATAATTGGCTTTTAGCTTCTTCTCACATACAAGCCAGAGACTCTACATGATTATTTTAGTTGGATAGACTGTTTACTGTTGTTGATATGTAGGAGTGAGTGTGGAAGTTGTTACTCATCACCATCATCTTTGTGGTGCCTTTCATTTATAATTTGATTGTTATTTGGGCGCAACAGCATTCTATAAGAAGCAGCCTTTTTCTGCATGCTCTTTTACTTATAAATAAATTGGTGATTACTATGCAAATACAAGACTTGTGCTCATCTCCATTATGTTGCACACTTTTTATAACAGGTGTTAGTTTTCACTGATAATTATTTCCTGCTTACAGTATATAAATTTGATATGTGGTATAAATATCATTACCTAGGCTTGATGACATCTTTGCGAAAACTTTTGCTCACTGGTAATCCATTGCGAACTCTTCGAAGGTTTGAATCAGTATCTCAGTTGTTTGCTTTAGTTGAGAGCTTACGCATGATGAAGAAATTATCTAACTGATGCTTATTCTTATCCAGCTCGTTGGTTTCTGGACCTACACATGCTTTATTAAAGTATCTTCAGAGTAGACTTCCAGCTGATGAAGGTACATTAATTTGGGCACTTGTTAGGGTTTTTCTATTTTTTAGATCGGACTCGATTTTCAAAATGAGCCATACCAAGTTTAGGTTATTTCAGCTTGTCAGTGTTACTTTTATCCCAGCTGACCCAAATTGTTCTCTGATGTAGAGACTGGTGTTTCTCCTGCAACTAAAGAGGAAGTAGTTGCAATGGCAGCTCGGATGTCTCTTACTTCAAAGGTATTTCCCGCAATGTAAATTAAAGAATCTCTATTTCTTCTTATTATTTCTTCATTATGTCTTCTTTTCTGTTATTTCCTTTCTTTTTTTTTTTAATATGGGGAGCGTTGTGGGGGAAGCGAAAAATCTTTGGCTCTTCTCAATTCCATGGTTGCAAATTTCGAAGATAGAAACTCAATGCTTTTAAAGCAGTCATTATTGGTAGCAAAAAAACATTTGTAGCTATGTCATTCATGAATTATGGATTGAAATTTAAATACTATTTTTCTAGTGGGGAAATTCTTTGAAAGCAGAACTACTAGAATCCTGAAGTCTATACCGAAGTTCCAGTGGATAACTTACAATTTTGTTTGTCAATTTGGCTTCCTGTTTGCATTGCGGGCCAGTATAGTCATCAATCCTGCTATTATCAGTCTCCATGCTTGCGCTAGAAAAACAGTATTTGGAATTTCATTACTAGTGGCTAGTAATGATAATGGGTGTCCCAGTTAATTCAGTATGAGTGGATATTTTTCTCACTGAAATTAGAAATCTTCTCCAACACATACAGAGGACGGTGTAGGGTTGAAGTCTCGATTGGCACATATATGCGCGTCTATTATGTATTAGAGACAGCATGTATGATCCAAGCCCATATGTTGTTGTCAAGTATTCAGGGTGTCTACTGTTTTTTCTATGGAGGGCTTGCTGCACAGGTTCTGTGGTGTAGAACAACATTATGAACTTATAAGTATCTATCTGATGGGATATATTAGCTTCATTAACTAAAGTACAGAAAAAGGGAACTCGAAAATTGAATTTGTGAAACCTTTAGAAATTTTAAATGGTACATGTTCACTCTTCAAGGTGTTTTATGGACATTCTTTTCTTCTTTTTGTCTAAATTTTATTTTGAATTATCTCTTTGCTAACATATTTTTCAATCTTCAATTTGTTGTATTTTTCAGGAACTTTCTTTGGCGGGGCTAGGGTTGAGTGCTGTCCCATCAGATGTATGGGAATCTAGTGAAATCAAAAAAGTAGATCTTTCAAGGAACTTGATTGAAGAGTTACCAGTTGAACTTTCCTCTTGTGTTTCTCTTGAGGTAAAAATTTGATGATCCAGTTTTCTATCGTTTACCTGAAATAAAGATAAGGCAGGATGATAGAAAGGTGGAAAGGCAATATGAAGTGATAATGATAACTTAAACCATCCTCCACCTATGCATATTTATTTAGGGGATGTTATCCAAATTGTTTAGTATGTCGAGTAGCAAATTTAGCTTGCTTTTGAAACTAGATACAACAATTAACATTATTCTGCTATAAGGACCAAGGTTATATAAAATATCTACAAAGTGTAATTTGGATGCATAGTTGGTTTGATGTTTTTGGGGTCATTCCTTAGTGCAATGGTAGCTTGGGCTCTCTACCATAGGACTTTGTGAGTTTGAATCTTTGGTCGTTCACTTTGGGCATATAATGCCAAAGGTTAGGCCGGTACTCTGTCTACCCTTCTCAGCCTCCTCAATTAATAGGGACCAAAGTGGGTAATGACCTTTAGTTGGTTCTATTTCAAGGTCTCAATGAAAAACCAGATTATCCACGCACACGAGTTTCAGGTGTCCAAGTATGGTTTGAGAACTATCTTGGATGTTCTGTGGCCAAAAACCATGCCATATGGCAAATTTTTCTTTTTGACCATCCACCAACTAAATATTCTCTTCTGGATTTTCATGCTCCATCTCGCTGCAGAAGGACTACAGCTGGGTCTGATTTTAGGGAGCAAGTTCAATAAATTAAGTAGGCTGGCTATCTGTAATCTACAACTTTTCCCTTGTGCAGACTTTGATTTTATCTGGGAACAAGATGACAGAATGGCCAGGTGCAATTATAAAGCAGCTTTCTAATATTCTGTGTTTGAAGCTGGACAACAATATACTTCGACAAGTAAGTATTGGATTTCCTCTCGTACAATAAGTGAAGATGATGCACAAGCACTAACCGCTAGTTGTAGGCTTGAGTATACAGCTTCCACCTCCCTCCCCCCCTTTCATTTCCTCCATGAGGGGAAATATTCTGGTTATGATATGGGTGCGTTTGTTGATCTTTACCTAATCTACACAGCAAAAAACCAAGTTATAAAAACAAAAAGCAAAAGAAAATACATGGTATTTCTTGTGTTTTCTTTATGTAGTTCTTCCAAATTTTTATGGGAACCCTCGCACAATTTACAAACTGTTTAACTGTTTAATTAATTACATTAGGGTTTAGAGCTTTCTTCAAAGACATGATACATGAGGAAATTGGTATGAAATTAGTAGATTGGTGAATGTTAGTTTGTGAATTGCACACTGTAATCCCAATTTTCCGTTTGAGAAAATATGTATGTTTTTTCCTATTTATCATGAAATACGCATCACCGTTTAGATGACCGTGTTCACGGATCTCTCTCTCTCTCCTCAATGCTTACGATTTCACAAAGTCAAACACCACAAATACAGTATAATACCTGCATGCATGCAAATACACGCACACACTCACCTATTGGAGCCAGTTTACATGTTGAATGAGCAAATTGGCTACCATTGAAGCTTGCAAGGAATTCTCAAATACTAACTCTCAACTATATAATTGGAATGAATTGACCCTTCCCTGCATAGATGAGCTTTCTTTAGTGGGTCTGACATTTTAACGAAGGTAGCTGAAATTGTAGTCCTAAAAGTCAAAACAGAAGCGTATGATACAAATATAAAGAGAGCTTGAGTTACACGGGAAGATTTCATTATTCTGTATGATAATATATCCAATAATTGATTTGTTTCAAACACCTTACAGTTTGCTTGCTTCATAGATTCCGTCAGATGGTTTCCAAGCTGCTTCCAAGCTTCAGGTTCTGGATCTAAGTGGTAATGCTAATTGTTTACCGGAACATCCAGCATTTTCTAGCTTACCGCATTTAAAGGAGCTTTACTTGAGGTCTGTTAATGAGAAATCTCTGTCTTCATATGGTGTGTTTGATAGATTGTTCAACACTTGTGCTATTTTCTTACAATTCCAATCTGGCTCAACAGACGGATGCAGATATCTGATGTACCATCAGATATATTGATTTTACAGGACTTAAGGAGTCTTGATTTGAGTCAAAATTCCCTTCGATTGATTCCAGAGGTAACAGTTTCTAAATGCTTGTTATTTCACTTTCAAATTCTTGCAAATCAACTTGAAGAATTTGTTGGAAAATAACATTATTTACTAGCTTTAGTGCTGCTTTACATGAGAATGGGTTGATATCCATTTTAATTGTTTATACATTGTAACCCCTAAATTGGGGAATATATGACATGGCAAAACAGAAGGCTATATGTTGTAGCAAGATTTACTGCAATTGTCCTTCAAAAATTTAGAAGTCAAAACCCAGTGCTGAGGTGAGGCAAAGTCTGGGAGCTTGGCTTCTTATGGTGAACTGATTCTTCATTAGATTGGTGGTTCTCCTACCAGTTCCTGTTAAGATGCTTTGCAAAAATCATGCCACTGTATTAAGTATGACTTATCCGGTATGCATAGGAGAAGTATACATCTTAAAGTTTCATGTTGTTTCAATGAAATAATATCTTATAACCAAATGGGTAATAGTGACGGATGCTGCTATTACACTTAGTCTCTGAAGGATGAGAACCAACTATGTAGCATCTACATTGAAAATTCAAGTATTGTATATGTCATTAGTCCGATCTTTTGTAGGAATTTTCTGTAATAACGAACTTGCAAAATGGATCTATTTATCATAAAGAGATTTGTCATTCCAGACCTTGCTTCACCTTAATTGTTATTTGAATAAGTAAAACTTCTGTCTTGGTCCGAGCTAGGATAACATTTCTCTTTTGCATGTCCATGAAGTTTTGAAAAATCCAAACATTTCAGAGATAGATAGAGAGGTAGGAATTTATTGAACGAACCGCACTCCTTCATATACGTCAAGAGTCTATTGACGAGAAGGGGCTAGGGAAAGCTTGAACCCAATTCCTACAGTAATGAATATGTGAACAATTAAAATTCTTGGGGAGATACATTTATGTATTGATAAGCTTGTACCACCCACGAGTAAATATTTCATAGTAGCATCATTAGACCATACATCTTTCTTAGTACATCCAGATAATAGGCGAGTATAAACTGGAACATTCTGGAGTTACAAATAGAACCACATAAAAACATTCCTCCTAGAGTCGTCGTTAATACGAATAAGAGAAACTCTGTTATAGTCATTTCTGTACATTCAATGTACTCTTATTTGTGAATTTAGGGTACTATTTAGCAAAGAGATGCAATATCTCTGTTAATGAAATTTGTAACAAGATGAGCGTGGTTAACAATTACTTTGTAGTTTGGAGTGTAGACTCTCCATGTATCTGTTTTACATTGAAGGTATTATAGGCTGCCATCACAGTGCTTTATCAGATTATATGCATTCTTGCTAGATATGCATCAATGTTAAAGGGGGTCTTTGTCCAGGATCCTATTACCAGTTATCACTTGTCTCATATTTTGGTCACTGTTGATAAAATATAAATGGAATGCAACGTCGGTGTTGAATATTTTGTAAAAACATGAGAATTGGGATGCCTTTGAATATAATGCTGATTATGCCATACTTGCTTGGTGTCCAGGGTTTCAAAAATCTTACTACTCTTATGGAGCTTAACCTTTCAGACAATAATATCACTACGCTTCCTCCAGAACTGGTAAGAATGCAATGCCCTTGTTTTACAAATTTACCAATTTGTTAGGATAATGTAAACTGTGATGCAAATGATAGCAGGTGATGCAGCGTTTATTCTGATACAATTCTTAGTGTTCCATGATAAATCATCATGAAATTTCTTGAAAACTCAATCTCTATCTGGCCAGAATTAATGAGATATGAAGAAATTGGATTGTCCACGACAATCATCAAACCTTGACTGAAATGAGTCCCCACAATTCTGACTGTTCAATTTGAAGTGTCTCCTATTCTCACAATCCTGACTAACCAATCTGATGTGTCTTCTCCTGTTAACTTGCATTTTTCTTTGTACCTGTCAGTTTGTAAGACATCACTGTTTGAATGGCTCCCTTTAGCAATTTGGTTAGAAGGAAATGATATTTTGGGGGCCCATAGTAAATTGTTGGGCCTTAACCTAGTATGAGTTCCCATACCACCGTATAAACCGTCTCCTGATGGCTGGTTCAGTTAATGTGAGAGCACATTGGCTTTTCATCACTACATTTTGGCCCCCTAACTTTTATTTTAAGTAGAACTACAAGAAGTACTGCTTGTGAAATTGTCAAGTATGCTCTGAGAGGGTTTTATTCACTAGTTTGCATGATAGAATTATATTGTATCATTACAATGGTCTTAGCTGGAAAGTTACTTCTGCAGGGATTGCTTGAACCCAGCCTACAAATGCTAAAACTTGATGGAAACCCACTGAGAAGGTACACCATGTCTCTTTTCCTATTATCTTTATTGTTTCTTTTTCTTCTTTTATCTCAAGTAAGAAATTTCATCAACGCCAAGAATTTTAGACAAAAAAAAGAAACCCAGCCAAGCCGACTATTCATGGAGGCATACCCCCTCTCTACACCAACTTGAAAGTTAAACAACGAATGACAACATTCTTTAAAACAATCAATAAACTAACAACATTCTTTATATATCCAATTCAACACGCATGGAATATATGTCGTATATACCTAAATTTGTGATAACTTTTTTTAGTTTATTGCACTGCCAGAGGCATAATTAGGATTAGAGGAAAGCGTTATGATGATAGGCATGTCATACCCTCGCTCTTGGTTTAAATGATTTCTTTTGTAGAAGCTAAAATTGGTCATTCTCTTGCAGCATTCGGAGGACAATTTTGGATCGAGGAACTAAAGCTGTTTTGGCATACTTGAAGGACAAAATTGTAGAGCAGTAGTCTCTCTCTCTCTCTCTCTCTCTCTCTCTCTCTATGTGGGTGTGTGTGTGTGGTTGCGAGCTTTGCATTTGTGGGTGGTGTGCTGCACTATTTTCGCTATTGACTTCAAATTTGTGGAACTTGAATTAGCAGGCCAAAGTTATAGCTTAACTGCATAGTTTCATATTTATTCAATTATGCTCACTGTCGAGCAAAAGATGATTCCCAAGTAGTTCACGCCTTTCCCACCTTGTCCCTTGTCCCTGTCCCCGAGGCAAGGTTTGGGTCTCACCCTCCCCATGCACTGTACATTGTACTCTGTTGTTGGAACCAAAAACAAAAGAGTTCACGTGTCTGTAATTTTATAAATTCCTTGCTTTTATGTGATTGATTTCTACACTATTGTAATTGCACAGTTGATCAAGAACTATTCTATTCCTATAGTCTCGTCATAATCATAATCAGTAAAAACGAATTCAATTTAGCAGACCCCGTGTATCGCCATCTTATAATCTACCCGATCAACTATTGTTTTGGCGATTTCCTTTTGACCTGTTGTGTTGTGGGTACGACCAACTTTGTACGAATAATACCAGAAGGTAACCCACATACAGTTCACATTGTACGGTACACGGGACTAAAATGAGTAGTTCTTTTTGAAGTTTTACTTTTACTGGCTGTCTCTGAACTTTTTGAATATATGTGGAATGTAGCAGCCTTTTATGTCTTTCTGCATCTATTTATCCTCCTTTTTAAATGTAAGATCCATCTATAGGGAATTATTTATCAAACAATCTTTCAATGCGGGGAAAAAAATGACCATATGAAAGAGTTTAACACTCACAAGCGATGATAATAAATCGTCGAAAAAAGTTTTTGGTTTCAATACACAGCTGCTACACACACAAACAAAACCGCATCACTGAGGGGCTCTTAAAAAAAAAATATGTACCTGCTTGAATACCCTTCACTGTCTTCCCTTGATTTTGAAAAGATCCAAAATTTTAGAACTTGGGTTAGTCTCATTCCTCCTTCACAAACTATTACTCTGTTTGGTGGCTGCATCCTCAATCGCAGCTTCCGACATTAATCTGAACTTAAGAATCTTATGAAGAGATGTAACTGGGTTGACCTGCTTGGCTGAAGTTTGCTTGGGGTCTACAATGCATTTGCCTGAGAAAAGGTTGGCTTCAGATGGTCCTGTCTCCTCATGAAACACAGGAGCGGCATCTGCGAAAAGGGCTTGCTTTAGAATGAATTTAAGGTCAGGGCAGGTTCTATTGTTCCAAACACATCTGTTAATTGTGGCATTAGAGCTATAATTCATTATTGGCAAAATAACAAATTGGCAAATTCCTGCAAGTGCATAATAAAAACAAGGAGGGAAGGGGATTGCTTTTGCCTCACAACACTGATATCAATAATACTAAAAAAGACGGGGTTGCAGATTTGTAGTCGAATTAGCTTCCACACCTTGTCAGTAAGAGTGACTGAGCATCCCAAAGGAATCTACGAAATGCGAAAAAGGTCCCTGCTAACCAAGTTTTCCTCACTATGATTAATTGTGAGGTACAGTTCTTAGCATGAAGTTGATGAAATCATCGACTCACCTAGCATTGGCCCATTGACCTTTTTCTAATCTTCGTATCCAGTTTACAGAAGCAATACAAGCAAGTCTTTTTGGAAATATTCCTAGAGTAAAAAGACGATTTCTCATGCATGCCAATTAACAAGGTAATACAAGAACCTGTCTTTCACATCATGAAACAAGTTGGATTCACTTATGCATGGATGCATGATAGACTTAGTGAAAAGTCTCTTTGCCTCCTTAGCTACTGAGAATAGCATGCCAAGCACATTGAACAATATTATTTCATCCAGGGGAAAATTGTTGTGCATTTCCAAATGATGAGTAATACATTCTAGGGAAAGATTTCCAGTCTTTGCTCCTAAAACAAATATATGTTGCTTAATATAAAGAAAAATGACTCACCACTCTCACTGAAAACCAAACATGTCCCAATTGTTTCTTCGTATTCTCCAATCTGTGCTCCGTCAGTTCAAAAGCGCACAATATTACAAGTCGATACAAGAAAAAAAGAAATTGAAATAGATCTTGAAGTGCACCACAAGTATGAAAGTGTAGAACATCTCAATCTCCCTATTCCTAACAAGTAAAAATGAAGAAAAAAGAAAAGTATAACAAGGAAAAGAGTTGATAGTTGGCCTAAGGAGATATTTTATATGAGAAACCAAAAATCACAGGCCAAGATCCATCTGGTTGCACATGAAACACTGTTAATTCTTCCTTCAAGAACTCTCTCCCTCCCTCTCTCATCAACTGAGGATACACCCACATTCTGATGATGTGATTACAGAGTCATAGACAAAGAATATTGACCAAATGCTACTAAAGATAGACTGTTAAAATGTAGTCTAAAACAACATGAACTGTTTCTAGCTTTTATCTAGTAATAGTTGCGAATCTAATCAATTTAGTAAACACCAAATTGTCTAGAAGCTCCAGAATTTTAACTTGCTTAAAGCACAATGTTTTGACAATATGTAAACCCCCCCCCCCCCCCCCCAAAAAAAACACACCACACGCAGCGCACCAGAAAAGGCAATAACAACGTACAAAATATTGTGGAACAACTCAAACAATAAAAGGAAAAAATTAATATTGAACGTAGTGTAGTAACATGCATCCACCATGTTGACGAAAAATGAAATGAGAATTCTGACTCCAAATGAATGTTTTGTATGTAACCTATTTACTCACCAGCTTCAATTTGTTATCAATAGTCAATATTGGGTTCAACGTGTCCAGGCCCTGCATTTTTTTCAGTAGACTATAGATTAATGAGAATTAAAATGGAAAGAATGTGACTAACTGATAATCAAAAAGGGAGAGAAAGTGAAATAACAAAAGCATGGGAATACAATCAACAAAATTATGATTCTCCAGCTCTACCCAAGGCAATGCAAATCGCAGGAAATCCCCAGGCAACAAAAAAAATGAAACCTATCTAAGACATTGTCCCACAAGCCACAAGCAATTGAACAGATATATAATCAACCAATGGGAGTTTTCATCCACTTTATAATGAATTCAATTAAGCAGAAGGTTAAGATGTCCAATTTGCAATATTTTTTGTGCAGATAATCTGCCCAAGGTGCTTTGTTGAATATAAGCTGCAAAACAGCATTAATACCTAATCATGGAAAAAGCAAGCACTTAACACTATAGTTCATTAACCAAGTACTACAAAGACTATATATTTCTTTTAAGACTGTCTCTTATTCTCAGAAAGTTATGTGTGCTTTGCTTCCAAAAAGAAAACAAAAACTTGTTATTTCAAATAAATAGAGAAATACAGTTGAGGATCATAAACATACAGATAGAACATATGGTGCATTCGGTGGAATGTGGACTTGCCCAGAAACACCCTCCAGATCAAGCAATACATACTGTTCTGCATCCTCCTCGTGACCATGGGAAACTGATGTGGTCGCCATTACCTACCTGAAAACCTCGTTCAATCAAGCACTTGGGGTGTATGGCTATTCGTGTTCGTGGCAACTGCGGGGGTTAGGTTCAAACGGAAGCGATGAAATTGCAAACAAATTCAAAGTCTAATATAACCAACAAAAATTTTCAAAATTATCGTATATATATCTTACTTATCAGTGAGGGAGAGATAATTTGGGGGTTAGGGTTGATGGTTGTGGGTAGGGATGATTGTAAGCTTACTGGTGGTGACGAAAGGTAGAAATTGTGGGTTTGGATTAGGGTTTACTCTGTTTATCTGCGAGGCAGTGAGAATTCAAGAGACAGAGAGAGAGAAAGAGCGAGAGAGTGTGTGTGTGTTTGTGTTGTGCGTGCATAAGTCGTTTGGAGGTGGCCGACGGTGATCGATAGCAGTGGCCGCCGGTGAGACGGGGTGGGCGGTTGGGTTCAAGAATGTTTGGAAAAGCGGTGGGGAATGTGCAGTGGTTCTGGTATAACGCTGATTTTACTTTTGCGTGACGGAGGATGTTCCCAACCCTACGGATAAATATAATCTTTTGTATTCCATACTTTGTAAAATAATTTTTNAGGAAGTCGGGTAAACACTTTTGTAGCTATTATTTGTTGGATCATTTTAACAATTTAATTAAATAACATGCACCAATTTAAGAACACAATAAATCAATAACACTAAAACCTAAACACAACTACAATAACAATTGCAATAAAACACAAGAAAACATGAACATCAATCCATCATAATTGTTACACAAATACAATAACAATTATTTTAAGTTTAAATCATATAAAACATATTAAAATTATAACTGCTCCAATAGATCATCGACTCACCACAGATCATATAACCTACACAAAAAATAAGTCCTTGTTTTAACAACTCAAACATCCACAACAATAAAAATGTTATAATATAAATTATACCACACAAATACTTTTATAATTACTAAAAAAAATATAAAAAATATAAAAATATTTTTTGTAGATAGGGTAGGGTAAGAACGCAGAAATTAATGGGTATTCCGTATTCCTACCCGATTTAATCAAAAGACCAAAAACTCTTCTGCATTCCTACCAGATTTTTATGACTAGCCGTTAAGTAGGGTAGGGTAGGGTCGAGTAGGGTAGAAAATTGTGGTTAATCAAAAATTTAAACACCCTTACCCTCCTTTCTAGAAGCTCCTTGTCCAGGACCACTAGTGTGAGCTCTTCTACTTGCTCTCCTNGTGGTTAATCAAAAATTTAAACACCCTTACCCTCCTCTCTAGAAGCTCCTTGTCCAGGACCACTAGTGTGAGCTCTTCTACTTGCTCTCCTATCTCTCTTATGTCATCATCTCTGGGGTCAAACACCTCCACCTTTAGGGCTTCTTGTGGCTTTTTAGCCCTCATGGAGGAGACATAGCATTCTCTTACCNTACCTAATTTTTGCGGCTAGTAGTTCAATAAGGTAGGATAGAGTCAGGTAGGTTAAAAAATTACGATCAATCAAAAATTTAAAGACCCTTAGCTCAGAGGTTTTAAAAGTCCAACGACAAAAATATCTCCTCATACAATATGAGGTGCCAAACATGTGATATTTTTCTATCTCAACAGTTTGTAATTTTGAGAATTAAATTAGCGAAATTAAAATTTTAAGACTAGCAAATGATAAACTTCACAATTATTTGTACAATTTATTTTTTATTTATAAATATTATGATATGAACTTACAAAAATAAACTTAAATAGCTCGTAATATACTATTTATCATTTATTTATGAGCAATACTAGTCCCCTGGTGGCAGAACCTACCCTTTGGGTCCCAAAACCTTGGTTCCCAGCCCCACCAGAACCAACATCCCTCTAAATTTTACAACTTTTATACAAGTTTTATGATTTATTTATAGGGTCAAGGTATAATTTTTGTTCGAATTATGGTGGTCGGGCGTAAATCTGAACACTTGTAGAAAAAAAAAATTATAACCTTTATTGCAACTTGTGATCGATCTTATAAATATTATAATCACATGTTCCTATAAAAATTATAAAAAGCTAATAACATTTGTAAGGGAGAATTATACCTACATCTCTTAAAGTTTATCANTATTATAATCACATGTTCCTATAAAAATTATAAAAAGCTAATAACATTTGTAAGGGAGAATTATTCCTACATCTCTTAAAGTTTATCATTTAATCACTTAAATTTCTGATATTTAAAATATTAAATACAAATTTCTTAAAGTTTGTACGAGTATATCATTTAGACTTCTACCGTCAATATATGTATGTCCATTAATATCTATTAAATAACTAAATTGCCAATATAATATATTGTGACTATTACAGTTGGACCCTTATTTAATTTTTTAATTTTATTCTAATAGATAGTATAATTGTATATTAATTATGATTTTTTTTTAATTTTATTTTAATAAATGACATAATAGAACATGAATTTTGATTATAAAATTTAAAATTTTTAATATTCTATCTTTAGTTGAAATATTTTTTTATCTAAATATAATATTTTAAATTTGAAGGATTTAAATATTATATGTATATAAATTTCAAGAGATTTGAATATAATTTATTAACTAATATACTAACCGATGACAAATTCATGTGCGAATAAATTTTATGGGTTTATGTGTAATATTTTAAATATCATGATGCTAAATAATTAAGTAACAAATTTTAAGGCATGCGACCGTAATTCTCCCAATTTGTAACGAAGGTGTGTTATCAAAATTTGGTATGAGTTTGAATTCCAGAAGATTTTGATTTACTCCATGGAGTGTTATTGACGGAGGTTGATGATGACAGAGAGGAAATGGCGCCATAAAGAAAGCTTTAAATCCTGACTTTTGCTTTCGCTCCCTCTCTCTCTCTCTCTCTCTCCAAGGTGGAAAATTTGTCACCAAGCACTCCTTTTCAATTTCTTATATAACTTTCCCCAAGTTCCGTTGATTAGTTCTCAAGTTTCATAGCTCTTTCTTAGTCTTTTTCGGCGAAATTCGGCACCGAAAAGCTTCTCACAAAGCCTTTTCCTTCGGCCATGATTCCACTGGAGCATTAAATTGCTATTCTCTACCTACTCGATCGAACCCTTTCCCAATTCTCATCTCTCAACCCCGCATTCGAACTGTCTCTCGCATTCGCATTCGCATTCGCATTCGATCTCTCTCTCCTTAACTCCACGGATTTCTTATTAAATCCACAATTCTAAGACTTTTCTGATCATAGATTTCTCTAATTTGATCCAAAACTAGCCTTTTGTTTCGTTAATTCTGTTTATTAGCTGCGTTTTGTCCCATCTCATGTTCTATTTCAAATCTCTGTATCGATTGTCTGTTAATTTCTTCTCAAATCCGTCTAATTTTCTTCATTCTGACATTTTCTTTATAAATTGCTTCAACTGTCTCCGATTTCGCCTAAAAATTTTGAAATTGTCATCATTAGTCCTTTCCATCGACCTCACTAACCGTAAATTATGGCGGATCGGTTTAGATTCAGTTCGGTTGAGGACTTACCATCACATTTGATTTTTGAAATCCTGATCTCGGGTAGATTGAGCGCGGTTGATCTGGTTTGTTTAGAGCTGACTTCACGCACTTTTGGAGGGAGTCATGGGTTGTTTCCTCAAAAGTTTAGGTCTTTGGTGGATTTTGCGGCATATCAGCTTTGTGGGTCTCATCCTATATACGCTTCCATGCATTTCAACGCTCAGAAAGAGCTTTTCAATAGGTGTGGTGTGAATTGGAAGCGGGTTTTGAGGTTCTTGCAATCGGTGGAGCAGTCCTCTGATATGGTTGAAACATCAGCAGGCAATGTACGATTTCTTGGATATTATCCTTTATTGTTACATCTTGAAGTCTTGTGCACCATTTGTTAACTTGTGTTTTCATTTTTCCACATACGCTGACAGCTTACTGGGATTTGATCTCCCTTATTATAGATCATACACTTGTTTACGATTGAATTTCTTGCACCAATACGACCTTCTGAAATGATACGAGTAACATGTACATTATTATTGTATCATTTGCATATTCCTATGGTGTTTCAGCTCATAATGGTTTGCTGTGATGTCAAAGCCGTTATAGCTCAGTGGTTGACTTGCTGGCCCTGCGTCTAAGGGAGGGGTGGGTTGTGGGCGTCAGGTCTAATTGCAACTGTCTTAATGTGTCATTTCAAAGAAGGAAAGAAGGGAAAATCAGCTGAAAATTTTCCTTCAATAATTTTTTTGTTTAAAGTTGCTAATTTATTAGATTTTTTTAGATTTATGAGTTAGACGATTTTGATGTGTTGTAGATCTTAATTATTGGATGTTGTCAGCAGATGCAAATTAGGAGCGGAAGATATCACACATTGCTGATCAATGAGTCAGCAGTCTACTCATGTGGTTCCAGTTTATGTGGTGTTCTGGGTCATGGTCCTGAAACAACGCAATGTGCAGCATTTACACGAATCAATTTCCCATCTCCTGCACAAGTGATCCATGTCTCGGCCTCCCATAATCATGCTGCTTTTGTCATGCAGTCTGGAGAGGTTTGTATACGTTCATTCGTTTCAATATCTTTTGGAGAATTAACTATATCATGTTCTCCAGACATAAAAAATGCTACATAAAAACTGGATATTGGATAATAGGAATGCCTTTGTTTAATGGAGCCTCCTGTGCTCCAGGTGTCTTAAATGTTAGAAAAAAGTGGATGATAGGAATGCCTTTGTGATATGGAACCTTTGGTATTCTTAATTTTATTTTGATTTTCTTGTTGACGAAATCGCTCTATTGTTCAAGTGAAGAGTAATTAGCCCATTCACTCATCAATGATTATATGTTAATTTTGGAAATAATGATCAGTGGATCCTGTTCCTCCGATGTGCTATTTCTAGGGCGTATTTAATGTCAAATCACAAGTTAACATATCCTTTTCTATGTACCCACATGTATAAAATGCAATATTCTCCTTAAAATACCATAATATGTATAAGTATTAATCTTTCTACTGTAATGGATGTGCATCTTCTCTTTGCTGTATCAGATATTAACTATGCAGCACTAGATAAAATGATCTTATTGAAGTGGCTGCTACAAGTGATGTGATTTTCATTTTTTCATGCAGGTTTTCACATGTGGAGATAATTCATCCTTCTGCTGTGGGCACAGAGATACAGGTCGTCCCATATTCAAGCCTAGGCTTGTTGAAGCATTGAAGGGAGTTTCTTGCAAGCAGGTAAAGTTCATGGTGTTGTGGTTTTCTGTATTTGTAGTCAATGAAGAGAACATGCGTTGATGCTCAAATAAACTTTGATGCAACAACGATGTTTGTTGGATAGTGCCCTACACTGAAACAACACCCCCACCAGTCCACTCGATGCAAAACCAGAAAGGGTGGGCTGGTAGAAAATCACTTTCTCTTATTCTACTTTAATTAACTCATAAAATTTGATCAAGCATGCATCGATTAAATAATCCTTCGAAGAATTGAAATATTACAATTCTAAACAGATCTCCAAATAGAACTAAAGTCTATAGTTTTTTTTCTGCTACAGATAATTATAATAATCACCGCATGTGGGATGGAATTTCTAAATATATTTTTGCTGCTATTTAATTATTTATATTGGTAAATTGTAGCAATATCTCTAAGATTGCATGCTAAAATGGGAGCATCTGTAGGAACCTAAATATGCACACTCTAACCAAAAGGGAATTCGAGTTAGTGAACGCAATTTCACAGACTTGGGGGCCAAGCCTGATGAAATTTTGCAAACTGGAATCCACTTTGTTTAGTACTATATGTAAAAAAAAAAAAAAAAAAATCTGTAGTTTGACATTTTAATATCCTTCCATTTTTTCTCAATCCAAAGATTTGTTAGTACCACAAACAAGAAATTCTCCCCGTGACTTTTATGCACAAAGCACCATATGTCTGATATTCTGTTCATTCTCCGGTTCTTTGGCGGATGATGCAACCTCTAGCCCACTTAAGCTTCACTGAAACTGGACTAACTGGCAAAAAAGGAAGGTATAAACTTTTGGGGCCTTTACCTCTAACTTTCTGAGGACATTGGTCTGTGTTGTTGTTTCTAGCACTCAAATGGTTCCAAATTAATATTTTAACCAATTATCACACAAAAAGGAAGGATATTTTAGAGAAACAGTCGGCTTTCAAGTTTATCTCACTGTTTTATTACCATTTTCAATCATTGATATGTATAAGCATTTTACTGAAAATTAACCACATCTATCCAACATCCACCTCCTTTGTTCTTTATCCCTAAAGGGTGTGTGCTTCCAGGCGGGATGGTAAGCATGGTGGCCGTTTCACATACATTGTACCAACATTTGACCTTGAAATCTGCATAAATTAAGATCAGTTTTCTCTTAAGCTGATTATTATTACTCCTGGTTCCCCTTCATTAACTTTGACATGATACACTTACTACCTAGTGGCTCGCAATCTTCTTGGTGTTGAAGCAAATTTGTTACCCAATTTAGATGGAGTTTTTGTTCCCCCAAATTTTCGTTTTTTCCTTGAATGCTCCGATCTTACATTGGCATCCTTTTAAGCTAATCGGGCAGAGGTCATCAATAAAGTCAGCTATTGCACTTTGCTCAAATCCATATTTTGTAATGATACCCCAATTCTTGTAGGAAGTAGTATGTTTTTTGGTCTTGGTCTATTACTTTATATCAACTACTTGTCTCCTTGATACCCCTCAGACCAAGTCTGAGTCCTGCAGGTTCAGTGCTAGGAAATGGAAAAAGTCGATGCAATGATTTTTGGAGATTATGATATGTGCTTTCCATGTTTGAAGCAAAATCTGCATTCAATCTACCTGTCTTCTTATATATATGTGTGTGTGAATATATATTTCTATATGTATGCTTGAAGTAGTGCTGTTTGTCCTTTGATATTATTCTCTTTCATGTCGTTAGATGGAACTTGTTTCAGGTTGCAGCAGGGCTTAGTTTCAGCATTTTTCTCACAAGACAAGGCCATGTCTATACATGTGGAACCAACACACATGGCCAGCTTGGCCACGGTGACACACTGGATAGATCGACACCCAAAATTGTGGATCTACTTGACCATATTGGTTCAGTAGTCCATATTGCTGCTGGTCCAAGTTATGCCCTATCTGTGACTGAGGATGGGACAGTTTACTCTTTTGGGTCAGGCTCCAATTTTTGTCTTGGCCATGGAGAACAGCAAAATGAGCTTCAGCCACGTGCAATGCAATCATTTAGGAGAAAGGGTATTCACGTGTTACGTGTGTCGGCTGGTGATGAGCATGCGGTGGCACTTGACTCTAGTGGATTGGTGAGTTTCAATAACCCAAAACTAGTTTTGGCATTGTCTCTCAAAAATATAGAAAAGAAATAAAAATCATATCGAATATTGTTTATTTGAACTTTCTCAGCATCGTCATGCATTAACTGGTGATGACAGGTGTATACCTGGGGCAAAGGTTACTGTGGTGCATTGGGTCATGGAGATGAGATTGATAAGACTACTCCAGCATTCTTGAGCAGCCTTAAGAGCAACTTGGCTGTGCAGGTTTTATTCATGCATTATCTTTTGTTATAAATTGTTGGGTCTGAGCAGAAGGGATCCTATGCGGTAGAAGATAGAAAACATCATTGGATAAAATTATTCAAAACCCTTCAGGATCATCCAATAGAAATTTCCTGGAAATAACAGCGAGCCAATAGGTCTTATTTGTTAGAGTAGTCTAGTATTTCTAAGGCAACATAACATAAGGTAAATGACTAGACTAACTCTAACATTATTATGCTCCCGATCTCATGTTATGCATAGGTTCAATGATTTTAGCTTCTCAAACAATATGGAAGGGTATGTGTAACAGTTACAGGTTCCCATTTGAGTTCCAAAATTTATCAGGGATGGGGAAAAGGGAATTCAAGTTGATTGGAGATTTTTAGGAAATTGTTCACATGGGCAGTGTTCCTGCAATATACTCTATTTTTTGAATCACGTTATCCATCTCTGATTTGTGTGTAAGCTCCTTTTAAGCAAGAGACTTGTGGTGTTATGAACAGTTTACATAATCTTGTGGAGCAATAATGGTTTGCATGTTAATTGGCTTTGTGCAACTGTTTTGTTGCTTTGCCATGGCAGACCTGATGGAACGTCACAAAACCTATAATCCATGAAGCAAAGATGATCTTTGTTCATTAAAGGGGTCTAACTGCATCATTCTTCTATCTTTTTGTTTCTGTTCATTTGAGACTGCCCATTCAAACGTATGATGCAGCTTATGATCTCTTGTAGGTATGTGCAAGTAAGAGGAAGACCTTTGTTTTGGTGGATGATGGTTCTGTTTATGGCTTTGGCTGGATGGGGTTTGGTAGCCTTGGGTTTGCATCTAACAAAGTCATGAGGCCCCGAGTCCTTGATAGCTTAAGGTCTCACCACATTTCTCAAGTAAGCACAGGCCTCTACCACACTGTTGTAGTCACTAATCGGGGACAAATCTTTGGTTTCGGAGACAATGAAAGAGCACAACTTGGGCATGAAACATTGAGAGGATGCCTTGAACCAACTGAAATTTTCATTCAATAAATGACGAATGCTTAAGGTCTTCTATCAGAAAGTGGTTGACTTTGGGGGTCCTGACCTTATTCGATCGATTTCAGAGGTCTGAAGTATAAGGAAAAGCGATCTCCCCCATCAGTCAGACATACGATTATTAGAGATTTAAGATTCCTGTCGTAAATCAATGTTGTATTAGGAGATTGCGCATGCATCACGTAATAACTTCACGCATGTGGCATTGGTATGACTTCAAGTACATGATGGGTTGAACTAGTCGTCACTTTGAAGGTGGGAAATTTATGTCGTGTACCGTTTGTTATAAGCATCTTGGTAGCTGTTACTTGAGTCGGTATTATGCTGAGCCGTTCCTACCCACGACTCATGGCCCGAGTCACATTTACATGTTGGTTCTTCCACAAATACGAGGTAATAAACTAGCCGTGCAGGGTTTCAGGATGCTCGTGTGGAAGGGTGTCAACTCTGATCACTTAGCTGATCTGATATGATTTTAAAATTGACATGATTATTAAATACGTATAATAAATAGTTTAAATTAATATTTGACACTCAAAATGTAATAAATATAATTTTTTTTTTGTAGGTCTTGACAGATATAAATAATAATGCTATGAAACGAAAATACACGACATAACCTTGTTCATATGTCTGGCACTCTGAGCCTCTGCTGTATAGAAACAATCGACTTTACAGAAGCCTATGGGGCATGTGAAGTGATATGGATTCTATTACATCATAACATAAACAATGTTATCAAAAGGGTCTGCATCATTTCCTTCAAGTCACCTTCCAGAGCTTATGAGTTTCACAGCTAAAGAGAGGGGGGAATCAGCGCCCATCCCATACTTAAATAATTATTAATTTTCCAGTAATTTTCAATTAATTTTTACAGCTAAATAATTATTGTAATGTTTGTAAATGATAAACACTAATCAAATTTAATTGTAAATGACAATAATTAGTCTCGTATGAAGGTTTAATTAATTTATTTTTATTTTTTATTTATTCATGCCATGTAAATCATTTTTTAACTTTTTATATTTAATAAAATTTTACATATAATTATAGTAAATATGAATTTAAAAACTTTTGTTGTCAATTGAAAAAAAAATGAAAAATAATATTTAGACCTAACTTGAGGACTTAATTTAATACACCCATTGTATTGAAAGTAGACTCCATCTAATATTAGAAATTATAACTAATTCAGTGGTTGCATTGAATTAAGTCACTGATTAAGTCCCTATGACTTTGCTAAAAAAAAATTTAAAAAATTAAAACTTGTTACTGAGTCCACCGTAAAGAATTTTTCTGCTTCCGCCTTTGCTCACATTTAGAATATTACACTCAAACTCATTAAAGTTTGTGCATGTATAACATAATAAGCCCCGACATCCCGTTGTCAATATCCATTAATATAGCCGTTAGGATTTTATGATGTCATCATAATACGCAAACAAAATCCCAAAACCACCCATTCTTCTGTGCCCCTGAAACATAATCCTCAAAAAACACACCATTGATTAACCTATGGTAAATCAAATGCCTAAATGTCAAGATTAGGAGGGAGATTAAATCCATGCATTTGGATTTTTGCTCAGCTGAAAGCAAAAAGAACTTTACTTCGACTTGTCTCTGTAAAACCTAAGGTCCTCCAAGACAGAGAAGAAAGAGGGATTAAAAGACAGATTGTTAAATTTTTTGACGGAAGTAATCACGTGTCATTTTCTTAGACGGTATCATGTGCCCAACACATGATCATTCTGTCAAAAACTTAACGCTTCGTCCATGTGGAGACTAGAATGACATGAATTGAATAATTTATGTTCCGTTTGGTATGATGAAAAAATAGAAGGATGAAAAATTGGAAGGATGAAAAGTTGGAGGGATAAATAAAACATCATGTTTGGTAAGGAAGGAAAATAGGAAGAATAGAAAAGTTGATGAATTAACTTTCCTTCCAACTCACCAAAATCAATCCCTCCAAAATCGGAAGGAAAATAAATGAAAAATTAATTATTTGTATTGAGAAATATCTTATTTATCTATATATCTTTTAATATATACATATATTATGTATTCATTCATTTTATAAAAATATACAATAAAAAAATATGTATTTAATAAAAAATAAAAAAATAAAAATTTTAAATTAAAAAAAATATTTTTT